TAAGACAAAAATCATTAGGTATAAGAACATATGCGAAGTAATCGGTATAACAGCGTAGTTTATGCCCTGTAAATACCTTCTGATAACATTACTGATTTGTGAAAAGAAGTATAGTGTGCACGACAAAAACTTTTGAGATTAATTGTGTGCGAAAAATTGTCAGTCCTTCGGGAGCCTCCTGAGAATGGGGGCCCTGGGCCCCGTGTGCCCTTATGGTAAAGACGGTATTGGTCATGTAATAAACGATAAAAAAAATATCTTAGGACAATTCACGCAGTGCCATCTAGTCTCAAGCTAAGCAAAACTTGTGTTATGAGCACTAGACAACTAATTTTTTTTGTTAATACAGACATCATGTACATAGAAAATACTACCGATACAAACAATCATACTCATTAATATAAATGTTTGCACCGTGCGAGGAATCGAAACCGCGACCATCCGAAGCAAGATGACGTGCTAAACCACTAGACCAAGAGCGTTAAAACACTGTAGGTATCAATTTAGCTAGTTTATGTTTTTGACTTTGTGCAAAGCCTGCCTCGGTAAATGTTATTAAATTTCTTCAGTTTTCAAAAATAAATATTAATTATAAATTTTCTAGAAAATTTATAATTAATATTTATTTTTAGTAATTGGCAACCCTACCTCTGGTACACTGGTACTTAGCAGCTTAGCTCGCGAAGGCCACTGACCTGCGCTTACCTTGCAGATAACAGGTTCATACTCTATGAAACTACATGTAACTCATACATGAATTATATCATACATATTAATAGTATTTACCTTTCAATCTGCAGTTAAAATTAATGTATCAATGTACAGTTAATATATACATGTACCTATACATATAAATAAAATTGGAGTGTCTGTTTGTAATATTGAAATAACCGTTTCTTACTACATGCATATGTATATAAATACGGTACATGCACCAAAATATCATTTTTTACTAATTTTTTCTGTCTGTCTGTTTGGCTGGAAATGTATCTCTGTATAATCTGTATCTCTGAAATGGCTGGACCCATTTGAGGCACTTTTATTGACAGGTATCTGATGTAATAAGGAGTAACTTAGGCTACTTTAATTTTAGAAAAAATCTTTCATTTTAGAAATAGAAATAGAAATAATCTTTATTCAAATAAACTCATTACAAGCACTTTTGAATAGTCATATTTTGATTCTACCACTCATTCGGAATGCAGATTCATCACAAGAAGAATGAGCAAGAAACTTGTGTGTTGCTCTTTTTAATAGATGTTTTTTATATAAATAATTACAATATAACAAGTAAGATGCATGCAATAATCAACATAGAAATCGCTACGCACTCATTATTAATGTAATCAGATAATATTGTCAGTGCTATGGATTTAAAGTTTTTCTATAAACACATTATTATCGTTAACGAATTCTTCAATTTTATAGTAAGCTTTTTTGCAAAGGAAGTGTTTTATTTGACATTTAAATCTTTTTTCTGGCAGATTTATAACAGACTCTGGTATTTTGTTATAAAACCTTACGCAATTGATATAAAACGAATTACTAACTTTAACCAAAGGACATTTAGGTAAAATCTGTTTGTTATTTAGAAAATGAAAGTTAAATTCCACGCGGAAGAAGTCGCGGGGAACAGCTACTATATTAATAAATTTACCAAGGTCAACCTTGTATCAAATAGTCTGCGCAAATAACTAATAATAATAACTAAATAATTTCAAAAATGTATTTATTTATTTATAAACTGTGCCCGCGGTTTAAATTTATAGCCTATGTGTTATTCTGATCATCATCATAATAACAATTAAATAATCAATAAATCAAGTAAATAATCAAATAAATAATATTTGTTTTAGTCATTTCATTCACTTCACTCACTTCGCTCACTTCATTCACCGCCCAGTTATACATATATACATGGATTCAATAGAGCAGAACTGGCAAGAAACTCAACTGAATTTCTTTCATTCATTTCATTCATTCACATCATTCACTTCACTCACTTCACTCGCTTCACTGACTTCACTCGCTTCACTCACTTCACTCGCATCACTGACTTCACTCACTTCACTCACTTCACCCACTTCACTCACTTCACTCACTTCACTCACTTCACTCACTTCACTCACTTCACTCACTTCACTCACTTCACTCACTTCACTCACTTCACTCACTTCACTCACTACACTCACTTCACTCACTTCACTCACTTCATTCACCGCCCAGTTATATATACATGGATTGAATAGAGAAGAACGGGCAAGAAATACAACTGAATTTCTTTCATTCATTCACTTCTTTCATTTCATTAATTTCATTCATTTCTTTCATTTCTTTCATTTCATTCTTTTCACTCGCTTCACTCACTTCACTCACTTCACTCACTTCACTCACTTCACTCACTTCACTCAATTCACTCACTTCACTCAATTCACTCACTTCACTCACTTCATTCACTTCACTCACTTCACTCACACTCATTTCACTCACTTCACTCATTAATTTCATTCATTTAATTCATTTCTTTCGTTTCATTCATTTCACTCACTTCACTCACTTAACTCACTTCACTCACTTCACTCACTTCATTCACTTTACTCACTTCACTCACATCACTCATTTCACTCACTTCACTCACTTCACTCACTTCACTCGCTTCACTCACTTCACTCACAACACTCACTTCACTCACTACACTCACTTCACTCACTGTATTCACCGCCCAGTTATACATGGATTGAATAGAGAACTGGCAAGAAATACAACTGAATTTTTTTCATTCATTCACTTCAGTTATTTTATTCATTTCGTTCATTTCGTTATTTCATTCATTTCGTTATTTCGTTCATTTCGTTCATTTCATTCACTTCATTCGCTTCATTCGCTTCATTCGCTTCATTCGCTTCATTCACTTCATTCACTTCACTCACTTCATTCACCGCTCATATACACATGGATTCAATTGAGTAGAACTGAATGAATAAAATTCATTTCATTCATTTCGTTCATTTCGTTCATTTCGTTCATTTCGTTCATTTCGTTCATTTCGTTCATTTCGTTCATTTCGTTCATTTCGTTCATTTCGTTCATTTCGTTCATTTCGTTCATTTCGTTCATTTCGTTCATTTCGTTCATTTCGTTCATTTCGTTCATTTCGTTCATTTCGTTCATTTCGTTCATTTCGTTCATTTCGTTCATTTCGTTCATTTCGTTCATTTCGTTCATTTCGTTCATTTCGTTCATTTCGTTCATTTCGTTCATTTCGTTCATTTCGTTCATTTCGTTCATTTCGTTCATTTCGTTCATTTCGTTCATTTCGTTCATTTCGTTCATTTCGTTCATTTCGTTCATTTCGTTCATTTCGTTCATTTAGTTCATTTCGTTCATTTCATTCATTTCATTCATTTCATTCACTTCATTCACTTCATTCACCTCATTCATCTCATTCACCTCATTCACCTCATTCACCTCATTCACCTCATTCACCTCATTCACTTCATTCACCTCATTCACTTCATTCACCTCATTCACTTCACTTTATTCACTTCACTCGAGTGAAGTGAGTGAAGTCACTCACGGCGGTGTCGCGTACCACTGACGGCACGCGACACAATATTTTGGGCACGTAGTCGATCATAAATCTGTTTGAAGAAGCTGGCTCATGCTATTTTAACAATATTTTCACCTAGCTATGCCTGCGAGTTATTATTTTCAGAGATGAATAACATCAAAAACTCGGTTAGAAACCGTTTGACAGATGAATCCAGTTCAACATGCATTTTGATGCGTACAAGCCTAACATATATTATTTGTCATCTAACCTGCAGCAACAGGAGTCACACAAATTTTACAGTAATTTAATTTGTACTTGTAATGAAAACAATCCAAAATGTACCTCTTTTGTTTACTTTATTTCATAGAGAGTTTTGATAGTATTTATTATTATTATTTTCTAAATAATCAGAAAGTCAAAATTATTTCATGGCACGTCAATGACCCCATTAAACATTTTTTGGAAAAAATGGCACGTTGATACATAAACGTTCGCCTTCCCTGGGCTACATATATTATGCGCGTGAAACCGCGACCACAAACTACAAAATTACTACTAAATTACTACTAAAATACTTCTAAATTACTACTAAATTTACTACTAAATTTTATATAACATACTAAATAATAACTGCGCTACTAAATTTTTCAATTATTTAATTTTGTGCCCGCGGTTTCACCCACTTTTTTACAGCCTATATGTCATTCTGATGTATAAGTTATATCACTGTAAAGTTTCATCAAAATCCGTTCGGTAGTTTTTGCGTGAAAGAGTAATAAACATCCATCTATATTCACAATTTGATTCTTTAGAATTACAGGCAAATTTCTTGTTTGTTAGACATAGACGCCTATACAATATTACAATGCAAATAAACTGGCTTTAAAAAATAAAGAAATGAGTTTTTTGCCAGTTCTTCTCAATTAATTCTATATATAAATGGGCGATAGAGAAGAATGAAATGAATGAAATGAATGAAATGAATGAAATGAATGAAATGAATGAAATGAATGAAATGAATGAAATGAATGAAATGAATGAAATGAATGAAATGAATGAAATGAATGAAATGAATGAAATGAATGAAATGAATGAAATGAATGAAATGAATGAAATGAATGAAATGAATGAAATGAATGAAATGAATGAAATGAATGAAATGAATTAAATTAATTAAATTAATGAAATGAATTAAATGAATTAAATGAATGAAATGAATGAAATGAATGAAATGAATGAAATGAATGAAATGAATGAAATGAATGAAATGAATGAAATGAATGAAATGAATGAAATGAATGAAATGAATGAAATGAATGAAATGAATGAAATGAATGAAATGAATGAAATGAATGAAATGAATGAAATGAATGAAATGAATGAAATGAATGAAATGAATGAAATGAATGAAATGAATGAAATGAATGAAATGAATGAAATGAATGAAATGAATGAAATGAATGAAACTTCAACTTCAAACAGATTTATGATCGACTACGTGCCCAAAATATTGTGTCGCGTGCCGTCAGTGGTACGCGACACCGCCGTGAGTGACTTCACTCACTTCACTCGAGTGAAGTGAATAAAGTGAAGTGAATGAGGTGAATGAAGTGAATGAGGTGAATGAAATGAATGAAATGAATGAAATGAATGAAATGAAGGAAATGAAGGAAATGAATGAAATGAATGAAATGAATGAAATGAATGAAGTGAATGAAATGAATGAAATGAATGAAATGAACGAAATGAACGAAATGAACGAAATGAACGAAATGAATGAAATGAATGAAATGAATGAAATGAATGAAATGAATGAAATGACTGAAATGAATAAAATTAAGGAAATTAATGAAATTAATGAAACGAATGAAATTAATGAAACGAATGAAATTAATGAAATTAATGAATGAAAGAAATTCAGTTGATTTCTTGCAGTTCTCTATTGAATCCATGTATATATAACTAGGCGGTGAATGAAGTGAGTGAAGTGAGTTAAGAGAGTGAAGTGAGTGAAGTCAGTGAAGCGAGTGAAGTGAGTGAAGTGAATGATGTGAATGACGTGAATGAATGAAAGAAATTCAGTTGATTTCATGTCAGCTCTTCTCTATTGAATCCATGTATATATGACTGGACGGTGAATGAAGTGAGTGAAATGAGTGAAGTGAGTTAAGTCAGTTAAGTCAGGTGAGATTGCGGTCAAACGCGCTCAAATTATGATACAAATAAAAAAAAAAGAAGTGATTGAAGTGATTGAAGTGAGTGAAGTGATAAAGTGAGTGAAGTGAGTGAAGTGAGTGAAGTGAATGAAGTGAATGAAGTGTGTGAAGTGAGTGAAGTGAGTGAAGTGAGTGAAGTGAGTGAAGTGAGTGAAGTGAGTGAAGTGATAAAGTGAGTGAAGTGAGTAAAGTGAGTGGAGTGAAGTGAGTTAAGTGAGTGAAGTGAGTGAGTGAAGTGAGTGAAGTGATGATGAAATAAAAAAAAAGAAGTGATTGAAGTGAGTGAACTGAATGAAGTGTGTGAAATGAATGAAGTGAGTGAAGTGAGTGAAGTGAGTGAAGTGAGTGAAGTGAGTGAAGTGATTGAAGTGAGTGAAGTGAGTGAAGTGAGTGAAGTGAGTGAAGTGAGTGAACTGAGTGAAGTGAGTGAAGTGAGTGAAGTGAATGAAGAGAATTTAGTGTGTGAAGTGTGTGAAGTGAATGAAGAGAATGAAGTGAGAGAAGTGAATGGCAGTTCTCTATTGAATCCATGTATATATAACTGGGAGGTGAATGAAGTGAGTGAAGTGAGTGAAGTGAGTGAAGTGAGTGAAGTGAGTGAAGAGAATAAAGTGAATGAATGAAAGAAATTCAGTTGATATCTTGGCAGTTCTCTATTGAATCCGTTCTGAATTGAATATATAACTGGGAGGTGAATGAAGCGAGTGAAGTGAGTGAAGTGAGTGAAGTGAGTGAAGTGAGTGAAGTGAGTGAGTGAGTGAAGTGAGTGAAGTGAGTGAACTGAATGAAGTGTGTGAAATGATTGAAGTGAGTGAAGTGAGTGAAGTGAGTGAAGTGAGTGAACTGAATGAAGTGTGTGAAATGATTGAAGTGAGTGAAGTGAGTGAAGTGAATGAAGTGAGTGAGGTGAGTTAAGTGAGTGAAGTGAGTGAGTGAGTGAAGTGAGTGAAGTGAGTGAAGTGAGTGAAGTGAATGAAGTGAATGTAGTGTGTGAAGTGAATGAAGAGAATGAAGTGAATGAATTAAAGAAATTCAGTTGTTATCTTGGCAGTTCTCTATTGAATCCATGTGTATATATGAATGAAACGAATGAAACGAAGGAAACGAATGAAACGAATGAAACGAATGAAACGAATGAAACGAATGAAACGAATGAAACGAATGAATCGAATGAAACAAATGAAATGAATGAAATGAACGAAATGAACGAAATGAACGAAATGAACGAAATGAACGAAATGAACGAAATGAACGAAATGAACGAAATGAACGAAATGAACGAAATGAACGAAATGAACGAAAAGAACGAAATGAACGAAATGAACGAAAAGAACGAAATGAACGAAATGAACGATCTGAACGAAATATACGAAATTAACGAAATTAACTAAATGAACGAAATGAACGAAATGAACGAAATGAACGAAATGAACGAAATGAACAAAATGAACGAAATGATTCGTTTATTTCGTTCATTCCGTTCATTTTGTTCATTTCGTGAATGAATGAAATGAACGAAATGAACGAAATGAATGAAATGAACGAAATAAACGAATCATTTCGTTCATTTTGTTGTTTCATTCAACGATTTATACGAAATGAACGAAATTATCTAAATGAACGAAATGAACGTTATGAACGAAATGAACGGAACGAACGAAATGAACTAAATTAACGAAATTAACGAAATTAACGAAATTAACGAAATTAACGAAATTAACGAAATTAACGAAATTAACGAAATTAACGAAATTAACGAAATTAACGAAATTAACGAAATTAACGAAATTAACGCAATGAACGAAATTAACGAAATTAACGCAATGAACGAAATGAACGAAATTAAAAATGTGAATGAAGTGAATGAAGTGAAAAGTGAATGAAGTGAATGAAGTGACTGAAGTGAATGAAGTGAATGAAGTGAATGAAGTGAATGAAATGAATGAAATGAAAGAAATTAATAAAATGAATGAAGTGAACGGAGTGAATAAAAGAATGAATTGAACGGAGTGAATGATGTGAACGAAATGAACGAAGAGAGTGAAGTGAGGGAAGTGAGTGAAGTGAATGAAGTGAATGAAGTGTATGAAGTGAATGAAGTGAGCGAAGTGAATGAAGTGAATGAAGTGAATGAAGTGAATGAAGTGATTGAAGAGAATGAAGTGAATGAATGAAAGAAATTCAGTTGATTTCTTGCCAGTTCTGTATTGATCCATGTATATATAACTGGGCGGTGAATAAAGTGAATGAAGTGAGTGAAGTGAAGGAAGGGAGTGAAGTGAATGAATGAATGAATGAATGAAAGAAATTCAGTTGATTTCTTGCCAGTTCTCTATTGAATCCATGTACATTATTATGTAATATAATCTTATATTTGATATTGGTATGTTTTTTATTTGAACACTATTTTTCTCAACACTAACCATTATTGCAACTGATTTCAGGACATTTATAGTAACAAGGGCTTTACAATAATCTTGTTTTTATAGAATAGAATAGAATGGAATAGAATAGAATAGAATTATAAATAAATAACATTTATTAAATCATAACACATCAGAACAATAACGATGTTGACAGCAGCATATAAATTATTACCCCTACTAATATTATAAATGCGAAAATAACTCTGTCTGTCTGTCTGTCTCGCTTTCAAGTCAAAACTACTGAACCAATTTAAATAAAATTTGGTACACAGATAGTCCAGACCAGAGGTTCCAAACTTTTTTGTGTCGTAGACCCCTTGCCATATTTTCGGTTTTGGGTACACCCCCAATCCTTACCTGGTATTGATTTTTTGTAAATTTCTAACTGTAGTAAAGTTTACTGTTAAAAATATAAAGTAAAAACAACAAGATGACGCTGTCGTAGACCTCTTGCGATTTGTCATAGACCCCTGGGGGTCGATATAGACCACTTTGGGAATAAATGATCTAGACCCTGAGAAAGGACATAGACTACTTTTTAATGCTAAAAAAGGGTTGTAAGGGTTGTAGTTGTCCCCCCCTTTCGGATTGAAAGGGGGGGACAAGGTATGAAAGATTATCATTTCTGAAGCTGGAAGCTTGAAACTTATTTTTAAGGCTTGATTAAATATAACTTTTCATTTGGCTTTTATTGGGTTAGGTCATTAAATATTTTTTTTATTTACGCGGACGAAGTCGCGGGTACAGCTAGTATAAAATAAACGTAAATAACAACAATGCATTTGCATATTAGAGATGAATCATTGTATAAAAATCATTATATTTTTCTTTATTTAGTCAGTGTTTGTTCTCTCCACTGTCACATCGGGTTGTTCCGTCTTATATAATTGAGTGCTATGACGACTGCCTAATCCGTCATACTCGTCAACGGGTCACTCTTTGTCATCCCTCTCCTCGCTCCTTAACGTGTAATTAGAGGCCACTAAGATGTCAATATTTTAGTGTTGGTAGAAAAATTATCAAGTTAAATAAATGACATATTTTTTTCAGTACAATTCACACAGCGCCATCTAGACCCAAATTGAGCTAGCTAAAGCCTGTGTTATGGGTACTAGATTACTGATATAAATACATACATTTCGTAAATACCTACATAGAAAACACCCAGACGGATACAAAAAACAATCATACTCATGAATACAAATGTTTGCACCGTGCAAGGAATCGAACCCGCGAGCGGAAGTATGGCGGTATGCTGAACTGAGACCATCGAGGGCGTCATCTATTGAAATACTCATCTAATAATAATAATTTCACAATTGCCAAAATGGAAGCGAGCGCTGCGTTAACAGAATGTCTTGCCACAGATAACATAGTTTAATAATAAGTTTGTGAGCATGGATGTTTGTTACTCTTTCACGCAAAAACTACTCAACAGATTTTGATGAAACTTTACAATAACATAGCTTATACATCAGAATAACACATAGGCCATAAATCAATAAGATATAATGTAAATTGTACTTAATATAATGATAAATGTCAAGTAAGCTAATGCAGACGAAATTGCGCGGGTCACCGAGTGATATATATAGTACCAAGGTAACGTCAGACAGACTTTTCCTGTGTTATTCGAATAATTGTACATCCTACGTACAACACGTATGTACATACCATATGTATATATATATATGTAGTGGCAGAAAGCGAAATGTGTGTCAAGTGCAACGACTCATATGCGAACAAACATACATGCCCACTAGTGCCGAAGGATAGTGACATTTCCCTTTATTTTTTTAATATAATGTTGTCTAGAGGTTTCTTAACAGAGTTTATAGTCTCGGAGCTCATAAACTTTATATATTTTTCATTGCAATACATGTCAGAAATTATGTTTGTAAAGATGTACTCATCTCTAAATGAGATCTCTTCCAGTAGACCCAAAACAACGTGATACAGAAGGCTGTGTATGGGTCACAGAAGTGTCCCAAAAGTAAAGAATAAAAGTCCAATACAGTTAATATATATACGATAGAAATTCTTTTTTAGAGGTTTGTTAACAGAGTTCATAGTCTCAGAGCTCGTAAAGTTTCTGCAATGATAGAAATTCTGAAATCATAGGAGGAGAGGTCACATCTTAGTAGATGTGCCCACTGGTACCGAAGGAGAGTAACATTTCCCTTTTTTTTAAACATAATGTTGCTATATGTTGAGCTTCCTAATTTCTTGTTAATTGAAACACCGATTTAGATATGACGTATCTGTATTAAAGAGTGTCATTACAGAAATCATAAATAAAAATGTTGTTTATTAGTTAGCCGGAAAGAATCCAGGTGTTTCTTGAGCTAAACTCCCAGATGGACTCTTGATCAAGCCCATATCTATAATTTTACAATAAATTCAAATTCAAATTCAAAAATCATTTGTTCATGTAGGACATATTAGCCGCTTATGAACGTCAAATTTTTTATAATAAATAATAATTTATAAAATTTAATAATTTAATTTTTTCCCTACCATCCTAATAAGAAACCTATAGGCAATCTAGAAGTTTCTTAACAGAGTTCATAGTCTCGGAGCTGCCTATTACACACTAAACGATTACTTGAATGACAAACATGCATGGGCATGGTAGTTCACGCACGGGAATTTCACTTAATACCTATTAAACATAGACACCTACATAAATAAATTGGCTTCTAAAATAAAGAAATTCAGTTGAGTTTCTTGCCAGTTCTTCTCAATTGAATCTATATTCTGAACTGGACGGTAGAGAACAATATTAATACAAAAAAATGTATCTAAAGTATAACTAAGTCAAACTACAGATATTATATATTTCAGTGAGGGTAGATTTTTATTGATTATTATAGATATATATTATTATTTATAAATTGGTACAGATATTATGTTATCTGTGCTACAGATTACAAAAGAAAATAAAACGTTACGATTAAAACCGTTTTATACTCCTAATAATACTTTTTACGAATCTAAACTCAATCTTGATGTTAAGATCATGACTGTTACATCACATGCAAGTAATGTTTGACGGTCAACAGCCGGACGGATGCGGTCGGCGTGTTCGCTTCAAATTCTCCGTACACTTTCACTTTTAGTTCACATTTTAATCGTAGTCTTACAAGGTAGCGCCATCTATTAGCGAGTAGCAGAATTATACATCAGATTAGGTGCCATCTATCGGTGAGTAGATTTTAGTAGTTTTACCATTTGATTTAATAGATGGCGTTGAAATAAATAACTTATTGCATGTAAACAGGACTTTTTATGCTTAACTAAATTTATCATAATAAATATCATAAATTATAATTAATAAAAATAATATCTCAAAATGTTTCACTTAGCCTAATCAATACTTACATTTCGTTATCGTAAATTACGAGTACAATAACATTGCAAGCAGTCAACGCGTTCAATATGCAATTTTTAATCATTCTGCGCATGCAATTAAGTTACATTTTCATTGCACTATTGCAGTAACATTTTCTATTATAGTTGGTAATTTCGTTTTGCGGGACAGCTCGTAGTGTGGTTGTCGCGTCCGTAAGTCACTATGCTGACCGATGCAGGTACAGCGCTTACTATGCTTCGGTCACTTAGTGCTTGCTAGTCGCCACGTAAAACTAGGAAAAACACCTCAGTCGCCACACTGCGTGTAGTCCTTTTGTTAACTGTAAAACCAATAATGACGATTGTGAGACGTGTTATTAATTTTCTATCCTTTTTCTTTATTATAATGGGAAAGAAATTCACCCTCCAATCACATAAGATGGCGTGACGAATACGCTATTATCGCGTGGGAACACCGTTGCCTAGTAATTTAAACAGTAGTATGAAATTGGCACCGATGTCGGAGAAGTTGTAGAGTAATCGTCTATCGTGGTATGGACGGAAGGAAGGAAGGTGTTACGTATGAATGTGGATGGTTATAAGGGCAGAGGAAGACCGAAAAGATGGATGGACTGTGTGAAAGATGATATGGTGAGAAAGGGAGTAAATAACGAGATGACTGCGAACAGAGATGAATGGAAGCGAAAAACATATTACGACGACCACAAATAAATGGGATAAGGAAGAAGCTGATGATGATGATGGTATACAAAACACCTAACCGATACAGACAATTATACTCTTATTGCGGGTTAATGATACTATGTTGTTGGTTGAGACGATGTATATTACAGATGATAATTGACTGACAATATGTACATAGAAATATTGATCTTATATACTAAATGACAATAAGAAAATGTAAGGTGGGGTGACACAGTTTAGACACGGCAGTGCCCGGCAGTACACAATATTGGATTTGTCTTACTAGACATTATTAAATGCAATTATTATTTTGATGTATCTAGATAACTGTGTCCCATACTCATGAATACTAATATTTATATCGTGCGAGGAATCGAACCCGCGACCATCGGAAAGTGGTGCTACACCGCTGGACCACCGAGGTTGTCAATAATAATTAATACTAATAACTCCATTGCTAACAATGTACCATGTCAGGTGGACTTACAAGCGGTTCTACCTGGAAACCATCCTGGCAAATTGCCATTTACCACGATGTGCTGAACTGACCTGACCTCATGCTCATCCTATCATCCTCCACTGGTGTCCCGCCAGCGTAAACCGTTAGCGCAGGCGGGTGCAACATTCCATTATCTGTTTGTAATATTGAAATAATCGTTTTTTACTACATGCATATGAATATAAATGTGGTACATACACCAAAAAAACACTTTTTACAATTTTTGTCGATCTGTTTGTTCCGGCTAATCTCAGAAATGGCTGGACCGATTTTAACGGGATTTTTTTGGCAGGTAGCTGATGTAATAAGGAGTAACTAACTTTTACTTTAGAAAAATAAAGTTAAATTACACGTGAACGAAGTCGCGGGTGCAGCTAGTCATACCTAGAAAAAAAATTACATGCCGCTTATACTGTAATTGCGCTGTCTTATGTCATTGTATGACCGAAACAGATCTTACAAAGCAAGCGGTTTATTTGACTCAAATAGTCGGAATTGAGGTGCCAAAAAGGTGACTTTTTACAACTCTGTAGTCAACTCTCTATAGCAAGGATGTTAGGGAGCTTCGTATCCGTAACTGAAAGTATCGGATATAAAAAAATATTAGTAACCGTAACCGAATCCGAAATGAAGTTTCGGATAGTTCGGATAGGGGCGGAGCCTAATTGAGACACGTTATGTAACCATTTTATTAGCTATTTGTATTTTACTTTTGAAATTCCTTAAAAAATTAATATCCGTAACCGAAATTATCCGAAACTAACGGATAATCCGAAATAATTTCGTATCCGTATCCGGTATAATAATCATTCCTATATCCGAAACCTATTCGTATCCGAAATTTCATATCCATAACATCCCTGCTCTATGGATGTCACGATAGTCACAAAAAAAGTGGTGATTCATATTTAATTAGATCTAACATTTTTGTTTATATTGACTTTGGTTTAATGAATGAATCAACGTGTTTTTGTTAATTTGCGCCGTCAGACCAAAAAAATTACGTTCTATGTAAAAAAATATCTAGGATAACCAACAATCTACAAATAATTTTAAGAAAGAATCTTATATGATTATAATTTTCAACAAAATAAATTAAAAATTTATTTTGTTGAAAATTATACTCATAGAAAGTATTGCGTAATTTGCAACAACCTAAATTAGTCAGGATGGCCGAGCGGTCTAAGGCGCTGCGTTCAGGTCGCAGTCCACTTCTGTGGGCGTGGGTTCGAATCCCACTTCTGACAAATTATTTTTGTGTTAAATTTTCATTTTATGTCTCAAATGGGCAAATAAGATATATTTTTTTAGGAAGTATATAAATGCAACTAAAGAATTGAATTTTCAGATCAAATCAAGACGTCGAGTCGCGTCGTCATCCCTTGCACCTATTATTCTATCGTAATTTTTTTAACCCTATCAGTACAAGATTGGATCTAATTTAATTAGTTTTATTTACATTACTAGATTTGTAGACATTTTAGACCGTGTGATTTTGCATTATAAACAATATGGGTATAAAAAATTGTACGTTCATATACCAGAAGAACAGTTTAAATATTATTCTAAATTACTGACAATCTAATACAATTTTCAATTTACACAGTCAATTGATGATGATGATGATGATGATAGTAAAAAATATGCTTGTAATAATTTTAATTGATATTATAATTATTAAATTATTTTTGATTATTTTTATTTTTGAATTGTCAGCAATGGGACTAATAACCCCACAGCTAGCAATTTTTGGTTTGTCTCATTTCAGGTTGACCTCCACGCGGTTCCCTCTATAAACCATCGTGATAAATTGCAATTTGCCAAGAACGGCTAACTGATCTGCTTCATGCTCGTCTTATTATCCTCCACTGGCGCCATGCCAGCGAAAACAGTAAGAACAATACCAAGCTTCTTTTAAAAAAAAATTGGCGCCAATAATTATAATTATCAATCACAGTCTATCTATAGAGTACTGTAACATAATTCGGTCTGTAAATCAATCAGCTGTCAGTCAGTCAATCATTATTATTAGCAATATTTCAATATGATCGCAGTTCCCTTTGCCTTTTCTTTAAGGATAAACAACACCAAAAAAAAAGATATATTCCAATTTTTTTTATTTATTTCATTAATCATAATATAACCTAGCTTTTTTTGTTTATTTACTTTTAATATCTACATTATCAAAATGACGACTATAAAAGTACGAGATGAACAAGAAATTATAAATAAGCTAGTTTTATATATAGAGAAAATATCAAATGATGCTATAAACACGAGAGGAAAATTTTACGTCGGACTATCAGGTTAGTTTACAAGTTAATATATAATAATCGCAAGAATCTCTACTATTGGCTTTGTACGTATTGTACATACATATATGCAGTCACAGTTATTATAAGGATGTTTAATATATTCGGAAAATTCCCTAAGACGTAGTGTGGATGCTTCCATCTCTTTGATTTCTTGTATTTAATCCCGAGTACTACCAATGTGCAATGTCAGGTCGACCTCTACGTGAGTTGCTACTGGCAACTGTCATTGTTAATTCCTGTTGATTCCTTAATAATGGGCCAACTAACCTGAATCTCTCAGCCTATCATCCTCTTTACATTCAACATACAAATTACAAAACTTAGTGAAGTATTTTTTTTTATTTATTGCACAAATTACAGAAAAAAAAAACAATGAAAAATAGAAAATATACATTGATACAAAAGGCGGTGTTATTGCTAAGCAATCTCGTCCAGACTACCTTTAGGTGGATAGAGAAATAAAAATAAGAACAAGGTAGGTGCACATAATAAATAAAAATAAATATATATGACTCAAATATACATTAATATAAATATATATACATATAAATACATATCTACATACACATACATATACTCAATAGTGCACATACATTTGGAAATAATGAAGGAAGATTAGTTAAGAGAATAATAAGAGATTAATTAAAGGGAAAGAAAATGAGATGAAAGAAAAGTATGCGAGAAGGAATTTCCTAAATATGTGACTAAATATTTTTTAATGCATATAATACTTAAACTCCAGTTTACTGGGTGCTATAAGTACTTTGTTGTGATTTGGTACTAACAATCAAAACAAAGTACTTATAGCACCCAGTAATCTGGAGTTTTAGCATTATATCCATTAAAAAACAAGCACCATGGCTGGTTGACCTCTATGCGGTTCCGTTGAACGACATTGTACTTTTTTAAAATTTAATTTTTATGGAATGTTTAACCTACCTGTGCTAATGATTTATGCTTTCAGAGCATCAGTGGAGGATGATAGAATGAGGTGACCGACCTTAGTCAGTTAGCTCATGACAAATTCAATAAGAATTTATCAAGATCATTTCAAGTGTGAATTATGTGAAGGTCAACGGGGTCATCTCTGTAAAACACAATTACATAGATGGCCATACAAATTCTACTTTGTAACTGGAACTCATTGTCATAATTTCAGGGGGCTCGACAGTAAAATATCTCTCGGAAAGTCTGCCCAGAGTGGATACAGACTGGTCGAAATGGGTGCTAGCGTTTTGCGATGAGAGAGTAGTTGGTGAAGATAGTGATGATTCCACATTTGGCACATATAAACGGCAGCTGTTACCGAAGACAGGACTGAAGGCTGCTCAGTTTATAGTCATGAAGCAGGGTATTACAGGTATATAATCTATACATATAAATAAAATTGGAGTGTCTGTTTGTAATATTGAAATACATGCATATGAATATAAATACGGTACATACACCAAAATAACATTTTTTACAAGTTTTGCCTGTCTCTCTGTCTGTCAGTCTGTCCGTTTGTTCCAGCTAATCTCTGAAATGGCTGGACCGATTTTGACGGGACATTTTTGGCAGGTAGCTGATGTAATAAGGAGTAACTTAGGCTACTTTTATTTTAGAAAAATAAAGTTAAACTCCACACGGCTGAAGTCGCGGGATCAGCTAGTAATAATAATATATTTGGACAATTGTCATGTGACACATGTATATTAGACTTGTTCTATGAAATGAAAATGGTACATGTAAGAATACCGCTGGACAATTCACTAGACAACCGCTGGACAATCTAGTCTTGAAGTAAGCAGAACTTATGTTATGGGTACTAGACAACTGATAAAATACGTATTTTCTTTTGTAAATACATGTGTAATATACATAGAAAACACCAAAACTGATACAAACAATCATACGCATGAATACAAATGTTTGTACAGCTCTAGGACTCAAACCAAGGACCATGTGACCACCAAGGCTTTGTATATATAATTAAATACATTTTTTTGTTAATACATACATAATAAAGATAAAACTATCCTAATTGTTGACAAAATAGCTACCCCATTTAGAATTATAGCCCTGGAGACTTCCGTTCAAGATTTTTTAAAAATTTTCAGCACAAGAAGCAGCTGTGGACTACGCAGAACAGTTGAGAACAGCGTTTAGTGGTGATGACTTCAAATTCGACCTGCTGTTACTAGGCATGGGCCCTGATGGACACACCTGCTCTCTGTTCCCTGGTCATCCACTCCTCAACGAAGTCAGGTTACCAGTGGCAGCTATAACAGATTCTCCAAAAGAACCACCTGAGAGGATCACACTTACATTTCCGGTTGTGAATAATGCTAGGAATTGTATTTTTACTATAGGCGGTGCTGGAAAGGCTGATATGGTTAAGGTGGGGTTTTGTTTTTATTACTTACTAGCTGTGCCCGTGACTTCACCCGCGTGTAATTTTTAACATATGTATTATCCTGAAGTATAAACAGTCAAGTCAAAATCAAAACAAAATCAAAATCCGTTTAGTAGGTTTTGTGTGAAAGAGTAACAAACATCAAATTCATAATAATAATAGTAATAAATGAGAGGTTGCCGTACTATAAGTACGAGCCCCATCCGGTTCTCGAAAGCGACAGCGTCAGGCTCTACTGGGACCGATCCATCATCACGGACAGGATCGTTCTTGCGAACAAACCTGATATCGTGGTGATAGATCGGGCACTCTCGAGGGTGTTTTTGGTGGACATCACCATACATCAGTCATTAGATCAGCCATCCATACGTGTACGAGAAAAGAAAAAAAAGGGAAAAGATTAACTTGTGTGAGACTACTAATATTCAGTGCGGAAACCTGACCACCGCTCCTGGAAGCTGTACGACTGTTTGTGAGTAGTTCAGGCGTCACCAAATTGTTTCTTTTAATTCCAACGAGTTTATTGTGAAAATCATTTACAAGATATTATTATGGTTGACGCGTACAAGAGCGTATTATCGAAAAAATATATGTCTCGACTTATGAGCCGTTATGGCCATTGAATTCTCTGATCGATATGCACCGCACTCGGTGCTATGTTCGCACTGATATGTGCCGCCCCCTCCGCCCCGCTCTGCCGTCTATACGGCGTTTTTTTTTTCTTGTAACACAGGGGACAAACGAGCATGCGGCTCACCTGATGGTAAGTGATTACCGCCGCCCATGAGCACCCGCAACACCAAGGGAATTGCAAGTACGTTGTCGGCCTTTTAAAAAGGAATAAGCTCTTTTCTTGAAGGTTTCAATATCGTTTCGGTTCGGAAATACCATTGCTGGAAGGTGATTCCATAATGTGGTTGTGCGAGGCAAAAAGTTTCTAGAAAACCGCACTGTGGAAGACCGCCATTCATCCAGATGATCAGGATGGTATTTCAGTGAACGACATTTATTGGTGATGAAATTCAGACTTATTGGATTAGACCCATACTGGGACACGTGCCCTTGAACGAGGCATGAATTTGCTGTTGTTATACCAGGGCTCGTTTCCAGGTATTTGCAAATATAGCGTTGAGCAATACCACTTTAATTATACCAAGAAATAAGAAATGGGCGACAAAGTTTTTACTAATCTGATTTGATATGCCGCAGCTTAGATGGCATATCAAAACACACAACTGGCAAATTCATCAAATACCAATAACACCAGAAGTACATGCTCGATATTGACCCCTAAAAATAATATACAGGTTCAAGAAAACCTTGAAAATACCCATGCTAGTCTCTAGAGATAACCTTGGCAGTTCTCTACACATTATGTATAAGTGTGTTTTACCTGTTCAATACCCATAACACTAACTGTGCTTAGCTTAGGACTAGATGGTGATGTGTGAGTTGCCCTCAATTAATATTATTATTATTATTAAGGTATAACAATAGTAACTTCAATAACTCTTTGCTATCCGGTACCTCTATGCCATATTGTTTAATTAGAAAAATATTCCTAATTTTTTTCATGGTCTTTGACTTTTTACTTAGAAAAATTATGGTGCTTGCTCATAATCCGATTTATATATGTCGCCCGGGGGCCTCCGGCTTAACACCCTCCACTACGGCACAGAATATAAGTAGAAACTTAGTACCTATAAATAAAATAGTTTTTTTTTATTTCACAGCGCATATTAAAAGACAAGGAAGACCTACCTGCTGGAAGAGTGAAACCCACGAGTGGTTCCGTCTACTGGATTGTTGATGACGCGGCGGCTGCATATTTATAACTTGTTTTAACACTTTAACTGCTGAGAGGAACCCTAAAAAACGTAGATTCAAACTTAGCGAGGACTGTAAGCAGTCGTCTGTGAGGTACCACCAGAGGACTTTTAAAATGATGACAATGTAATATATATTCAATTCAAATCAAAATATCTTTATTTATGTAAGTCTATTACAGACTTATGATATGTCAAATCTACAGTCAGTTTGGAATGATTTCGAGATGAGAACTCAATTTAACAATTGTACCTACACAGTCATTAAAATTCAAATTTGACGCGAATTCATATGCTATTGCAAAAAACAAGAAATCTAATCAGTGTTCGCAACCTGAACAGAGCAAACCCCACAAGTAGCACCCGTTACGAGTATGACGGATGAGCCAGCCATCATTTATACCGTATTAAATTTGTCGCTGTCATTATGTATCATATATTACTGTAAAGTTTCATCGAAATCCGTTTAGTACATTTTGCGTGAAAGAGTAACAAACATCCATCCATACTCACAAACTTTCATAATATGTATATACGTTTATAATATCAGTACGATTCATACGTAAGTGCAAGTCGTTTTGTAAATTCTAGGGGTTGAGGTGCGTCCAAATTAACAATAGCCTCAACCACGCGAATTCCCAGCAGTTAAAGTGTTAAAGTTAGGTTTAGGAGAACGCTTTACTTCCGATGGTCGTGGGTTCTATTCCTCGCACGGTACAAACATTTGTATTCATGAGTATGACTGTTTGTACCGTGTTTTCTATGTATATTATGTATCTATTTACAAAATAAAATATATCTAAGTATTTGTATCAGTTGTCTAGTACCCATAACAAGTTCTGTTTACCTTGGGACTAGATGGCGCTGTGTGAATTGTCCTGACATTATTATTATAAAGTTTTTTTTAACATGATCTGTTAATAGTAACAATGATATCTTATATGATAGTAAGCTATTATTTTGTTAAATAAGTTATATGTATTTTTTGTTAACATTAGTTTTACCAGTTTGGTATATTTTGTTTTGTTTCATTACATTCCTGTTATATTTAAATGTTGATTGGGAATTATATTGTTTTCATTTGTCAATGTTTTTTTAATTATTCCCTAAATGTCATCAAACTTGTTGGTGGTAATCTGTTTTTTTTCTTAGGGATGATAGAATAGAATAGAATAGAAAATCATTTATTGAAATAAATTTACATTGAAGCACTTTTGAATAGTCATTACATTTTTTTAAACTACCGCTCATTCGGAAAGCTGTCTCATCAAAAGATAATGGAATGATGCACGCGCCTGTAATACCTAGTAAGCCGAAGAGTTTTAAAGGTAAAATAATATATTAGGTTACTTGTGACCCGATATCTGGTAGCTATTTTGCCCAAAGGCTAAGTATGGCCATTCAAAGAGGTAACGCTGCCAGTATCTTGGGTACGCTGCCTCGATGTGCCGCGTTGGATTACAATGATTGTTTTTTGTAATTGTTTGTATTGAATTATGAATTTATAGGCTGTTGAAAAATATTAGTTTTATTGATTAAACTGTTTTTACAAAATGTTTAGAATAGAATAGAAAATTATTTATTTTTTTATTTAAGCATTTTTGAATAGTCATAATTTTTTTTTATGTGCCGCTCGTACGGTAAGCTGTCTCATCACAAGAACGAGCAAGAAACTTGTGTTGCTCTTTTAATAATTATACTTTCTTCTTTGACAGTACGCTGCAATTGCAGTTGGGCATTCCCATCTTATCTGCAATATCATGAACAACCATATTTGAAAAGAATACGAGCTGAGTTTCTTCTCAGTTCTCATCTTAAATCACTCCGAACTGACGGTAGATTTGGCATATCATAAGAATCTGTAATAGACCTACATGAATAAAGATATTTTGTATTACGATTTTTTTAAAAACATAAAATGTTGTCATTTTGCAGTTAGGCATTGCCATCTTATCTGTGATCTCATGTACGACCATATTTGAAAAGAATACGAGCTGAGTTTCTTCTCAGTTCTCATATTAAAAACACTCCGAACTGACGGTAGATTTAGCATATTATAAGTCTGTAATAGACCTACATGAATAAAGATATTTTGTATTACGATTTTTTTAAAAACATAAATTGTTGTCATTTTGCAGTTAGGCATTGCCATCTTATCTGCGATCTCATGTACGACCATATTTGAAAAGAATACGAGCTGAGTTTCTTGTCAGTTCTCATATTAAAAACACTCCGAACTGACGGTAGATTTAGCATATTATAAGTCTGTAATAGACCTACATGAATAAAGATATTTTGTATTACGATTTTTTTTAAAACATAAGGCGTTGCGATTTTGCAGTTGGGTATTGCCATCTTATCTGCGATCTCATGTACAACCATATTTGAAAAGAACACGAGCTGAGTTTCTTGTCAGTTCTTCTCATCTCGAAATCATTCTGAATTGACGATATATTTAACATATCATTAGAGTCTGTAATAGACTTACATGAATAAAGAATATTTAGAATTACGATTTTTTTAAAAGGTGTTGCCAACATCAAAATAAAATTACTGTACGGTTTACGTACTTATCATAAAAGTCAGTAATAGATCTGCACGAACAAAGATATTTTGGTAGCAATGAAACGAGGTGGCGAGTTCCAATATTGTTTTATTCCCTCATACAAATGTCCGCGGGTTCAACACAACAGCATTCTTTCACATAAAAAAGACCTCGTCTATAAATTACGGTAGTGTTACATTACGATTACCTATGACATTTTTAATTATAATATGTAATTACAAAAATCAACTAAATACAAGATAATTCGGCGCGCATAGCGCACCAAACACTTACATATACATATTTTATATATAGAGATAAGATATACATAGCACTACAGTTAATTTTTAAACAATTATTGTAACCTATAACGGTGTTACGAATGAGAACGGCGCCGGCGCGAGCTTATGTATACAATAAAATAATAGTACAAAAAAAACAACCTAATATTGCAATTACATATCTAAAGTTCTAAACTTAATCTCTGTTACTCTATGATTTCGACGCGGCCCGCCACCGACGCCCGCACTTATGAATTTAAAATAAAAACATATTAACATAGTTGTCGTTTCAATTTCCTTTTCATTTTATTATACATTAGTTATACATTAAAATAGGTACACGCAAGACATCAAGGTGGCGTTACGGGTGCGTAGCGAGCACGCACGTAACGGACGGTCGGACTGTCCGGCGGCCGGACGGCCGGACGGCCGGACGACCGGACGACACGACAATTGACTGAACGTTGAGGGGGCGTTCGCACGCCATCTATATACATGTGTCTAACGACTGCTTGCTTTTAACCTGCAACATTCAATTGACTAATTAAATATTACAATCAATAATAACAAACTACCTTCGCCGCTGTTACCACACATAGGGTAGTCAGAGTCAATATCTGCCTTTACAGGTACGCTCTTTCAGGCAGGAAAGAATGTGCATGTAAATGGACGGTAGGGAAAACTTTCGACGAAAATTGACGATTTCTTTTTGGTTCTGTTTATCCTTGAACGGAAACTTTATTTTATGTCCTAAATTGTTGTACAAAAAAAATGTTCCCGAGTTTCTCAATAGTTCAGTGCAAAAAAGTTCTAGAATCTCATAATAGTTCTATAGAGAGCAGGATACGCCCACTACCATGGCAGACCCCAAGGAGTCCGGACAATAGAAGTTGCAGTATAGAAAAACTCTGACACATGGATACAAACTCTCCTAGCGGAAAAATTCCCCACACAACGAACTCCCATCCGGAATGCACCACGAAGTCTACCACAGCACATCCCGCTCTCCCGCCATCTTTTTTTTGTAATTATTTTTTATTTAATGACTTATAGAAGGAGACAACTAACAAAAGGAAATGGCTGTCGGAAGGAGTCGACTGACAGAAGGAGATCAACGACAGGAAATGACTGACAGAAGAAAATGGCGGTCAGAAGATGGCTAACAGTAGAAGATGGGCGAGCACAATAGATCTATGTAGGTAGGAGTGCTACTGGTCCAAGCACCTGATAATAGCCCAACCCCCCCCCCCTTCCAATAAAAAAAATAACAGTAGGAAACACTGACTGACAGAAGGCTACTTACCGAACAAGCGGCTAGTTGGGCGTCCAGTAGGACTGCGAGTACGCAGGCTTGCTGGCCTGGGGCTTCGACGACGCGTTACGACCGCCGCCCGCGCCGCTCTCCTGTCAAACATTCGTACATATATACATACTGCGCAATACATTCAAATAGCAACCTTAATTCCTGCGCATAAGGTTGATATTATGTTAAATATATAGATAACGTTCTGCGTATATTATTATTGCTGTCGAGTCACACAACCTTATATATATACTCAGCAATACAGTGAAATAGCAACTTTAATGCTTGGATATAAGACATATAATGTTAAATATATAGATAACATTCTGGGTATATTTTTGTTTCCGTTTAGTTACACATCCTTATGCATACATATATACTGAGCAATCAATTTAAAAAGCAACCTTAATGCTTGTACATAAGATTCACATTATGTTACGTATATATATAACATTCTGTATATATTATTATGCAGTACAGAGTAAAGGCGACAATACAAATAAGCAATTGTATATATTAAAACTATAAGGCATTGAACACATCTGTAAGTATTACAGTTGTTGTTGCAGTTGAAAATTTTGGCAAATCCCCTACTGGATGTGACGTAACGAATTTTGAAACGCCTACCGGATGTGACCTAACGGATTTTGAAACAATTCAAACAGTAGTTGCTAAACGACTGAGCTCGCGATATCACTTATGCGTTGCCATTCAAGTCAAACTAAAATATCAAATTTGCCATTCAAGGTAATTAAAATATCAAATTCTTTTATAAATTACTTCAAATATGTTCTTTAAAATACGACAGAACTTTCATTCCAATCTATTATATACTAGCTGTGCCCGCGGTTTAGTAGTTTTTGCTTGAAAGAGTAACATACATCCATTCATACTCACAAACTGTCGCGTTTATAATCTATACATATATATGTATACATAAAGTAAGTGTATACAGAAAGTTTGTGAGTTTGAATGGAAGTATGTTACTCTTTCAAGCAAAAACTACTAAACCGCGGGCACAAACAAGACAACAGAACTTGGCAGAATATTGTCAGAACCAGCTTCCGGTGCAGCCAAGTTGTTGTTAGTTTAAGTTTTTTTAGTTGATTTTTGTTATTTAGTATAGGTACGATCGGATTGTCATCGTAACATTTTGTGTACAAAATCCTAATTAAAAAAAAAGAGAAATAAATATACGCATATAGTAAAAAATGGTTATTTCAATATTACAAACAGACACTCCAATTTTATTTATATATCTATACATATAAATAAAATTGGAGTGTCTGTTTGTAATATTGTAGTAACCATTTTTTACAGTTTTACAGTTTTTATCTGTCTGTCTGTTTGTTCCGGCTAATCTCAGAAATGGCTGGACGGATTTTGACGGGACTCTTATTGGCAGGCTGATGTAAGGAATAACTTAGGCTACTTTTATTTTAGAAAAATTAAATTAAATTCCACGCAGACGAAGTCGCAGATACAGTCTATATAAAAATTACATAACTCGTTGTTTATCCACGATGGACTCCTACTGAACCGATTGCAAATTTGATTGCACATTGTGTAAAATTTGATCCAACTTGAAGCATCTCAATTTATAGTCGCAATATTATTTTATATAATAATACTCAAGAACCTTATATAGCAATATAAGAAACTTAGCCACAGCAATGTGTGGCCGGGTCTGCTAGTAAAAATAGATATATATTTAACATTTTGACTCCTGAAATGTAGAATCGAATAACTTGATAACGATAACAATGTTTATTTAAAAGAGCAACACACAAGTTTCTTGCCCATTCTTCTTGTGATGAGTCTGCATTCCGAATGAGCGGTACAATCTAAAAATGTGGCTATTCAAAAGTGCTTATATTAAAAGAATAGAATAGAAAATCATTTATTCAAATAAACTTACATTGAAGCACATTTGAATAGTCATTACATTTTTTTTTTTAATCTACCGCTCATTCGGAATGCTGTCTCATCACAAGAAGAACAAGCAAGAAACTTGTGTGTTGCTCTTTTAAATAATTTATTCTAACTTACAATTTAAGTTTAAGTGTGTGAATACGAACCACCGATTAACACTAATTCAATGAAATAATAAAATAGAAAAAACATTCAATATACAACAACTGGTTAAACAATTAATAAGAGAAAATAAGTCATAGTGATTAGAGCAGACCAGTCCACACAAGCTGCACCCGTTCACGAGTATGACGGCTGAGCCAGCCACCATTGCGCTCGAACAAATTTAAAAAAAATATATGTTATTCTGATGCATATGCTATATTACTGTAAGGTTTCATCAAAATCCGTTCAGTAGTTTTTGCGTGAAAGAGTAACAAACATCCATAATTACAAACTTTCGCGTTTATAATATCATAATAAGATTCAAATAAACTCAGTACAAGCAATTTTGAAGTAATATTTTTGATTCTACCACTCATTCGGTACGCAGATTCATCACAAGGAGAATAAGCAAGAAACTTGTGTGTTGTTCTTTTAAATAGATATTTTTTACATTACTACAAATGCAAAAACTATATTTTTCACCTGGATTTTCCTTAAAATAATGGACAATAATAACAAAAGTACCAGAACATATATGTACCCCATCCATCTAAATCCAAAACTGCATATTACATAACCATATAATATAACTACTCGCCCCGGCTTCACCCGGGTGTACATGTACCTTCCTCTTGAATCACTCTATCTACTAAAAAAACCGTTTTAAAATCCGTTGCGTAGTTGTAGATTTAAGCATACATAGGGACGGACAGACAGCGACAGCGACTTTGCTTTATACTATGTAACTAGCTATTCGCCTCGGCTTCACACGGGTGTACATGTATTAAACATATAAACCTCCCTCTTGAATCACTCTATTAAAAAAAAAAGTTCCAAATCCGTTGCGTAGTTTTAAAGATTTAAGCATACATAGGGACAGACAGCGACAGCGACTTTGTTTCATACTATATAATAATATACCTTCATTGAAGTCGTTTAAAACTATATATTTAAAACTATATATAAATGCAGAGATTTACAACCTTTTTTTGTTAAATACAAACATACAACAGAAAGAAATATATATACTTAACATATACATGCATTATGAAAAGGCGGGTAACACTTTATTAAATATATATATATACAACAATAGCGATAGTACAGAATATATTATATGTAATATATATACTTATTTAACAAATATAGTGCGTATATAGGTCGGTTCGTACGTAAGCTACGACAATGGTATAGCATACATATATATTTTGTGTAATTGTCGCGCTGTTTGTTTTTTTTTTTGTTTGTTTAATGTGTGTTTTAGTTTTTTCTTCTACTGAATAAATATCATTTCATTTCATATGAATAGTTTGGTTGTTGGGTGAACATGCTCTTAGGAACAATGTACCATTTCGAATAAAAAAAATATTTTATTGTTTAGTACCCTATTTATCTAGGAAGGCTTTATAACATCTTGCCACGCCTAATAAAAGTGGAGATTCCATGTAAATCTATGAGTAATTCGTAAGATTCGAACCCGGTTACCGTTGTTGAGGTTATATACCATTATAAGAATCTATACATATAAATAAAATTGGAGTGTCTGTTTGTAATGTTGAAATAACCGTTTTTTACTACATGCATATGAATATAAATACGGTACATACACCAAAATGTCATTGTTTACCATTTTTGTCTCTCTGTCTGTTTGTTCCGGCTAATCTCTGAAATGGCTGGACCGACTTTGACGGGACTTTTATTGGCAGGTAGCTGATGTAATGAGTAACTTAGCTGAGCTACCTTTATTTAGAAAAATTATTTTATTTTAGAAAATAAATTTAAATTCCACGCGGACGAGTTCGCGTGTCTAAAATATAACTAATCAAAAAGCTACATTATCTTAATTTTTTTATTATTCGGCATTAAGAAACACAGACATATATAATATAAAATTGCCAGGCGATTTATGAGCGTATACTTCTCGGCATATATATTACTATTGACATAGCAGAATTACATTTTACAATTAATATGTTACAAAAATTAATACAAACAATATTATGTAAAAATAAAAACGCATATTTCTGGCCCTCATTTTATATATCAACTAGTATATAACCCCCTAATCCCAGCTTCGCCCCGGTGTACATATATTATACATATAAACCTTCCTCTTGAATCACTCTATCTATTAAAAAAACCGCTTCAAAATCCGTTGCGTAGTTTTAAAGATTTAAGTATACATAGAAACGGACAGACAGCGACAGCGACTTTGTTTTATACTATGTAATGATATCTATTTAATGTTTTTCTTATTATATTATATACACAGAGTTAATTATTATTTCTTCAACCCTCTCTTTATTAAACCGACAAGAAGGTAAATTTTTAATTATGAATGAATGAATGAATGAATGAATGAATGAATGATAAAGTACCAACCGTATACCTCTCAGTATACACGTAGCCTACATACGAACCGTCAGCGTGCTTGACATAAACATATATGTGTATATATTAACTTACCCGCCTATTATGACTACTGTTCACCCGCACATCCATCTACAAACGAAAGCAAACTCTAAGAATATAGTAATTAAGATCTAAAATAATATACTGTCTGTCGAAGCATGCAATAACATAACATTTTCAATCATAACAAGACTTGATACCGTGCGTGCCACTGAGATGTTGACTGTAGAAGAAATCGGTTTAACATATTTGAAGGTTTAATAACTGTAGCAGTTAACTTTCTTGCCAGTTTTTCTTAAATGTAGTAGTTAGCCAAACTGGACGATAGTGATAGTGTTAAAAATAATGACGCTAACAATCAACAACGTAGAAGAAATCGGTTTAACATATTTGAAGGTTTAAAAACGGTAGCAGTTAACTTTCTTGCCAGTTTTTCTAAACTGTAGTAGTTAACTGGACGGTACGGATAGTGACAAAAAATACCAAAAACTATATCTTAAATCAACAATTTTTTAAGTTCAACTTTAGACTGTGTTTGTTAGTTCGATGCCCGTACAATAAAGACATATTGGTACAAATAATATGACCGTAAATCATATGATAAAAATGTTGCCATTCTAATAACACGACGGTATGAAAAAATACGTGCTCGAAAATATTCACTGAAATTTCTGTTTTATACCTATCAAGAAATTCTTCCTTTCAGGAATGAAACCTCCTTTAATTTGTATTGAATGAGTACTTTACTGTATTATGTTTATTTATAACTAAAACAAAGTATTTTTTTAATTATCATTGTTGGCGACCAGCCGCAGCAACCTCTTTTGATACTTTTATTATTTTTAAATCTATATTTTTAGAACAGTTCTTTTTATACGTCATGTTTTTTTATACATATAAATTACTCTCTTATTGTCTTTGGATAGTTTCGTATCTACACAATAATATACCATTATCACATAATCTACGTGTTTTCATCATTTATATACTCATACAGTCCACCGATCCATTACAATCGTTGAGAAATATAAATCAAATATATAATAATAAATAAATTTTATTCTGGTCAATAACCTGATTATAATTTTGTTTTTATATGGTGTAAACCCATTATAACAATGAGGAAGGAGATACTCAAATGAGGTGAAATAAACGAGTAACTCGGCTCGAAATTACATTCCAACTGACTATCTATGGTAGATTTGACTTAGCATAAGTGTCTGTAATAGACCTACAGGAATAAAGATATTTAACTTGTATTGATAATTTTAATAAGAAGTTTAGTTTTAATATACTTAATTTAGTTTTTTAAACAGTTAATTACTTTATAGGATATCCTCTAATTTTGTTTTAATTAATTATTAGGCATACATTACCTAGGTAAAGCATCTTCGCTTAAATGAATGCTTGATGGTTCTGCAGAATTTTAATATACTTAATTTAGTTTTTTAAACAGTTAATTACTTTATAGGATATCCTCTAATTTTGTTTTAATTAATTATTAGGCATACATTACCTAGGTAAAGCATCTTCGCTTAAATGAATGCTTGATGGTTCTGCAGAATTTTAATATACTTAATTTAGTTTTTAAACAGTTAATTACTTTATAGGATATCCTCTAATTTTGTTTTAATTAATTATTAGGCATACATTACCTAGGTAAAGCATCTTCGCTTAAATGAATGCTTGATGGTTCTGCAGAATTTTAATATACTTAATTTAGTTTTTTAAACAGTTAATTACTTTATAGGATATCCTCTAATTTTGTTTTAATTAATTATTAAGCATACATTACCTAGGTAAAGCATCTTCGCTTAAATGAATGCTTGATGGTTCTGCAGATTGCAGATTTTCTACAGATACTGCAGAATAACTAGGTATTCTGTGAAGCAAAACCATTTTTTGTACGTTAATAGTTTTGGCTAGATTAACTGTGGACTAATTTTTGCAATCTATGGTGATTGTTAGTTTTGGGACCTAGAGGTCCCATTGGTGTTAATGTACTATATCAGATCGGCTTCTACGTAATTCTCTAAAAGAATTTATTTTATTATCATATACTATCTATATATATCTTCCACTAGTTCCTAAAGAAAAAATAATCTATTCAATCAAAGTTTAATAGTAGACAGATGTTCGAATATGAACGCTAACTTCAATGTCATAAAGTTCAATTTCGTTATTTAATAGGATGGTGTACTATACACCTTTTTAAACAGTCTCATCTCAGTGACACGTCTTGGTTTATTCATTATATATTGCATGCTTGAATAGCACAAAAACTCAATTTACTAAAAAAAATGTAAATACATTCGTCTACAATGATACGTAAACACAGGTGTGTCATATTGACATGTTAAACGTGTCTAAACGTGTTCAAACGTGTCTAAACGTGTTCAAACGTGTCCAAACGTGTCTAGTGCTAAAGCATTTATGTATCACTGCTCGTGACTATGTAGCATGCAAATTTTCAAAGTCAGAGATGTAAATAGATGCCATAATCATTTAATTTATTGAATGTAATAATAACACGTCAATATTATTGTTACTAATGCGATAGTTTGTCTGTCTGTCGGTTTGTGGATTTCTCACGGCAAAATGGCTGAACAGGTCATAATGAAGTTTGAAGAACGTACTCCAACAGTTTACACCGCCTTACTTACGATGGTGTGTAGTTCGATTCTCAAACGAGATTATGAATTGGCGTGGGGGGTGTTTACGTATATTATGTATGTATTAAAAATATATTTACTATTTCTCTCAACTCAATTGTTTAGTACCCATACTAATCTAGTTAATTAGGCACTATTTGGGTTGTCTCAGGTAGATGAATTTTAGTATAGAGATAGATTAGATCTTGACAAAATGGTGGATGAAAGTTTGTATTGGTAAATATTATTATTTACCAACTAAAGGGGATAAGATGTTGGTATATTACGCTGACGAAATCGCGTCCATCAGTTGGTCTTTAAAATAAACCATATGCTTCTTGAAAATAAGCTCAAATTACCTTATTTGGTACTTAATGGACTTTCCATTACTTTCTATACACCTATGTGATATTTCGACATACATGTATTATAGCAGAGGTTCCTAAACTTTTTTGTGTCGTAAACCCCTTGCCATATTTTTCGGTTTTGGACAGACCCCCCATTCATACCTGGTATTGATTTTTTGTAAATTTCTAACTGTAGTAAAGTTTAGTGTTGAAAACATAACGTAAAAACAAGATGACCGATGTCGTAGACCCCTTGTAGTCTATCACAGATCCCTGGGGGTCGATATAGACCACTTTGGGAATCACTGTATTATAGCATCTATTTACATTACGTGTATAGTCAAATATATTTTACATTTTTACAAGTTGTGGATAAATTTCCATGCCAATAATGATATTGTTATAATTATAGACAATTCCCAAATACCGTTGTTCTAGCTAAACCGACGCTCCTCCATTCCGATGGTCGAGAGCTGGATGGTCACGAGTTCGATTCTCGGACGTTATAATTTTACGTTCATTTATAAACTTATAGATATATATGTGTTTAGATTGTAGTGGTAATCATATTAATTTAATTTAATTATTGTTGTTACTGAATAGATTTATATAATTTTGTTTAATTCTGCTTTTAATATACAGTACGACACAGTAATGGTTGGTCGTCGAACAGTCAACACTAGGTTTCCAATATACGAGTTTTAATCACAGCCTGATAATGCCTCGTTCAGAGGCGAAACACGTGTCGCAATATGGGTGTAGACTCAATAACGGTCGGAATTTGATCACCAACAGAGAAGCTCGAAACGCTTCCAGTAACGGTGGTCAGGTTTCCACATTAAATTTTTGTAGTCTCACACATGTTAATGGTAGCAGAATTAAACAATATCATATAAATGTATTGAGTAATGGATGGTGTGGTCACCTAGTATGGCGCGTGGTGGTGGTGGTATTGTGGTGGTGTTGGATACTGTGGTGTATGATGGTGGTGGTTGTGTTTGGCAGCAGTGGTGGTGATGTATGGGGATTGTGACGGTGATGGTGTGTTGGTGCGGCGTGGGGATGTAGTGCGAGTCGGCGGGGTGCCGCTGTGAACGTGTGGCGTGTGTGGTGGTGTGTGGTGGTGGTGTACGTGGTGTCACCTGGTGCGGCGCGTGGTGGTAGTGGTGGTGGTGTGTGGTGGTGGTGTGCGTGGTGTCACCTGGTGCGGCGCGTGGTGGTAGTGGTGGTGTGTGGTGGTGGTGGTGGTGGTGGTGTGCGTGGTGTCACTTGGTGCGGCGCGTGGTGGTAGTGGTGGTGTGTGGTGGTGGTGGTGTGCGTGGTGTCACCTGGTGCGGCGCGCGGTAGTGGTGGTGGTGTGTGGTGGTGGTGGTGGTGAGCGTGGCGTCACATGGTGCGGCGCGTGGTGGTAGTGGTGTGGTGGTGGTGGTGGTGGTGTGGTGGTGTCACCTGGTGCGGCGCGTGGTGGTGGTGGTGGTGTGTGGTGGTGGTGGTGGTGTCACCTGGTGCGGCGCGTGGGGGTTGGTGGTGGTGTGTGGTGGTGGTGGCAGTGGTGTGTGGTGGTGGCGGTGGTGTGTGGTGGTGTCACCTGGTGCGGCGCGTGGTGGTGGTGGTGGTGTGTGGTGGTGGTGGTGGTGTGTGGTGGTGTCACCTGGTGCGGCGCGTGGTGGTGGTGGTGGTGCGGCGGCGCGGGGATGTAGAGGTGCGAGCCGGCCCCGAACGGTGGCGGCGTGCCGCTGTGGAACGTTGCCTTCTCGTAACTCTGAAACAACACACCACCACCCACCATCAATTACATAGCCCCTTCCTATACAAAGCTACTCAAATCTTTGATACTGATATTTATGAGATACAGTTACCTAGATACATTTAGATATAAGATCAATATTTTTATATACATACTAGCTGTACTCGCGACTTCGTCGGCGTGGAATTTAACTTCATTTTTCTAAATTAAAAGTGGCCTAAGTTACTCCTTATTACACCAGCTACCTGCCAATATAAGTCCTGTCAAGATCGGTCAGATCGACCAGCCATTTTAGAGATTAGCCGGAACAAACAGACAGACAGACAGACAAAAATTGTAAAAAAAATTATTTTGGTGTATGTTCTAGATTAGATATTACTGTTTTTTTTATGATTCGGCTTAAATTATACATACCATCGTAAACTTTAAACCATCGACCATTGATACGGTAATTTATACTTACATTAACTTTGGAGAGCGCTACATGAGGCTTGCCGTATGCTAACTCGGCTGCGCCACCCGCTTTGCTGCCCGCTCCGCCATATGCTCCGCCGCCGCCTGCAACAGTTGTGTGTTATGGTAAAGAGTGGTAACGGCGCAAAATTACCTAATACATGTGCCACCTTAAGTCGTTGCAACTGTTCTTCGTAGAACTGCATGCAATTACTTACTCCGGCACGTGTAGCTCATTAGCTGCCTCTACACATACGTTTTTTCACTCGCGAATCGGCTTTCACGCAGGAAAGAACGTGTATGTAAATGTAGACAGAGAAAAAGATATTTACTTTGGAAATTACACACTGTCCTAAGGAGATAAAAACCATCGCTTAAGAATATCCTTCAATTCTTATACTTGATAGGCCTAGGCAGCTGTAGTATATGTGGGAAAGAGAAGGAAGTATTACGTCGTCTCTGGCGCACACAGCTGGCGTCATTAAGCTGTGAACGGTGAATGAAAACAGTCTATTTTAGAGACGATAATTAGGAATACAAACAGACACAATAGAACTATGCCGGTTGCTACATTTGAATTTCTTATCAGTTCTTCTCAAATATGTATGTGCTAAAAAAAATATACATAAACACTTGACAGCTAAAATGATACCGATTTGAACTGTTGTCACAAAAGTACAATAAAAATATCTTGATGTTCATAAGTGGCTAAAATGTCCTACATGAGTAAATGATATTACTAGTTCCCTTTAGGATCAAATAATGGCCCAACCCAACATGAATAAATGATTTTAGATTTTACAGGTTTTCTTTAGCATCGACTTATGGCCCAAGGCTCTTAATAAAGAAACAAGGGGTGACTGGTAGAGGGAGTGTGAGTGGTGGTGGTACCAGTCTTGTAGGAGTCCTGTGCGTCGTACTGGGGCTGCTGCTGCGCGTAGGTGGAGACCTTGCCGGCCGCGCCGCCCACGCCGCCCACGCCTCCCACGCCGCCCACGCCGCCCACTCCGCCCACGCCGCCCACGTTCGACCCTCCGCCGTACTGCAACCAAATCATTATCTAATTAAAATCAACCCGCAAAGTAAAGTAACGAGAGACTTTGCATGTCCCGACCTATACTAATCACCGGCTCGATCTGTGTCAGAGATATTAATATAGTAAGAATGAGTGAGATATATAAAATAATAAATATCATTTATTTGCTCCATATGTTCATACTACGTTCATGTACTATAACGAAAACAAATCCTCGGAACGGTGAGGTCGCTCCGTGAAACCTGAGAAGACACTAGGAAACTTCTGCGCTTGTGAGAAGCTTGGCTGGCTACCTTTGTAGTCTAGGCTCTACACGCATAACGGCTCAAATGAGAGGCTGATTGCGGAGATTGTAGTCCAACATACAATACAATACAATAAATATACTATTTTACTTCTTTCATGTTCACTACATACATAAAAATAGTAATATATTAAAAAATCTTTCACCCCATATGTAACTTTTGGTTATCTGAGAAATTAGGATTACATAACAGTGTTACATTTCAACTAATTACGTTTCTCTCGCTCTTTTCATAGAATCAGTGTTCGAGTAGCATTCAACCTAGGTGCTTTCATTTAATGAAACCCCTCATCAATCTATTAATCACTATCACGGAACTGTGGACTTAACCCTCTCCCAACATTCTTTGGTCCTTCGAGCCGGATGTGACACCTTACAACGGTAATTTCTTATTATATTTGATGCAGTTAGTCTATATTTTAGAGAAATATATGTCAAATAAAAAATATAACTATTTTGATACAGTACTATTTATACGATACTATTTTTGAGTAACTTATTAGAAAATTTGGTAATTAATATTAATTTTTGATAGGCAATATATGTAATGTTAAATTTGTTTCTGAGATTAAACATAAATCATATACAACATATAGAATACTTAAATACATTTTATTTCATAAATATGTATTTATTTATCAAAAGTTTCGTGCGAGGAATCGAACCCACGATCAATGGAATTAAAATTGGTGTGCTAAACCCAGTAGACCAGTGATTCCCAAAGTGGTCTATATCGATCCTCAGGGGTCTATGAAAAACTGTAAGGGGGTCCACGACAGCGGTCATCTTGTTGTTTTTACTTTATGTTTTTAACACTAAACTTTACTACAGTTAGAAATTTACAAAAAATCAATATCAGGTAAGAATGGGGGGGTTTACCCAAAACCGAAAAATATGACACAAAAAAGTTTAGGAACCTCTGCAGAAGACCATAGAGAAAATGCTTAGAAAATATACAGCCAACTTCCTTATTAATTCTTCTAAGCAACATTTCAGTAATACAATATACAAAAACTAGCTTTTGCCCGCGGCTTCGCTCGCGTTAATTTATCCCCTTAGGGGTGGAATTTATCAAAATCCTTTCTTAGGGGATGCCTACGTCATAGTAGCTTTATGCATGCAAAGTATCAGCCTGATCGGTTTAGAATTGACAAACTTTCATACAAAATTGTATCCCATATTTTATCCCCCTGGGGGTAGAATTAATCAAAATCCTGTCTTAGCGGATGCCTACGTCATAATATCTACCTGCATGCCAAATTTCAGCCCGATCCGTCCCGTCGCTTGGGCTGTGCGTTGATAGATCACTATGTCAGTCACCTTTCAGTTACATATATATAGATAACAATTTAAAATTGTGCTACCACAAATGAGTATGTATGTGAGCACTGACCGGGTAGACTCCGTACTGGTAGGTGGTGGGCGGCGGCTGGTAGAAGTAGGCGTACCCGGGCGGCAGGGCGGCTGGTACTTGCTGCGGGGAGGCTGCGTCCGTCCGTCCGAACCGATCTCCTGCTCCCAGACCGAAGCTACCCTCGCGCGCGTTCACCCCGTACCCCACCTCGTAGTACCCGCCCTGGAAACGTACATTTATTTATTGACGGTTTTCAATTATTGTCAGGTGGTTATTTTTATTAAAAGAACATTTTAAATTTTCTATAATAATTCTATGCTTCTGCGTTTAGCGCATACGAAAATGTTGATTTGTTTATGACTAGCTAACTACCCACCCCGGCTTCGTACGGGTGTACATATATTATATATATAACCTTCCTCTTCCCAACAGTAAAAGCGACTTTGTTTTATACTATGTAATGATAATGAAGTGGTTTTTATTTGAGTTGGAAATTTACCAACTAACAAGTTGGTAAATTTCCAATGCACAAGTTGGAATTGTGAATTATATGAAGAATATGATTTACCTTTACATTACCACATACATGAAATATTTCATACTAGCGCACTATACTCGCGCAAAATCATTTGCATTACATTTACTTGACATTTAGAATAGAATAAAATAATATTTATGTATTAAAAAAAATACTAATAACAAGCTCTGCTTAGCTTGGGACTGAGTGATATTGTGTATATTGTCTATTATTATTACTGCAATATGTCGTGACGGTGGTGGTGGGCGTGGTGGCGGCGGTACTGACCATGTGGTGTGGTAGCGTGGTGGTGCCGCGCAGCAGCTGCTCGTCGTACGCGTACCCGGCCGCGTGCGCGCCGCCCGCGCCGTACAGCGCGCCGCTCGCGTACCCCGCGCTCACTCCGCTCACTCCGCTCACTCCGCTCACTCCGCTCACTCCGCTCACTCCGCTCACTCCGCTCACTCCGCTCACTCCGCTCACGCCGCTCACACCGCTCACACCGCTCACGGAGCTCACACCGCCCACGCCGCTCACTCCGCTCACGCTACTCGCGGAGTTCGAGCTCGTCGATCCGTGCGCTGACACAAAATACGCTTATTCATTACAGGGTCCTTCGAGCCGGATATTATTATTTCAATAATTTTATCAATTTTAATTAATATTAACGTTAAATTAGAATATAGACAAACTTAAACATGTTATAATACTTCGAGAAGGATAAATTTTAAACGAAATTTTATACTATTTTTTTTTTTTTTATTAAAATTTGTAACTTTAATATTCGTTTTTATCTGACCACTAACAAAGATTCAGACATATATAATGAACAAATCTCACCTGTGGTGGTTGCTACTTTGGCTGTTGACGTCTGAGTCGTTGACGTACTTGATAAACTATTACTCGACGCTACTGGCCCGTCATACTGTAACAAAATTGAAATGTAATAAATAAAAAAAAGGTTACTAATGACTAAAAGTAATAAATGTAATTAATATAAGGCTAAATTTTAAAATCATGTTAAAATTTACATATCGATCTTAAAATGTTTGCGGATTCGATTTCTCGCATGATGTAATTTTGTATTTATGAGTATGACTATTTGTATTGGCGTGGGTAATTTCTATTATATATGTATATTACGTCTACAGTATAACTTAAAAACTAATAATTTATTATATAATCTTAATCAAATCTGTTGGAAATTATTGTATATCAGATAAGCTGTAACTGTTGACACATATATGTATATTGTTATATACATTGCAAATTATTGTATCCACACAGTTAGGAATATTTATTCTATTCTGTCCTCTGGTGTCCTACCAACGTAAACCGTTAGCGTAGGCAGTGCACGATTTCAAAATCATGCATAAAATAAATATAGATTGCGGTGCAGTACTAGCGCGTATTGGACTGCCCTATTATCATCCATAAAAATATTTCAAGACGGTGTGCGATGTGGTAGTAGCGTGTCCTTGAACTGCTCTACTATCATATATAAAAAATATTTCAAGGCGGGGTGTGCGATGTGACACTAGCGCGTCCTTGGGCTGCCCTATTATAGTCTATAAAAATACTTCAAGGCGGGGTGTGCGATGTGATACTAGCGCGTCCTTGGGCTGCCGTATTATAGTCTATAAAAATATTTCAAGGCGGGGAGTGCGATGTGATACTAGCGCGTCCCTGGGCTGCCCTATTATAGTCCATAAAAATATTTCAAGGCGGGGAGTGCGATGTGATACTAGCACGTCCTTGGGCTGCCGTATTATAGTCTATAAAAATACTTCAAGGCGGGGAGTGCGATGTGATACTAGCACGTCCCTGGGCTGCCGTATTATAGTCTATAAAAATACTTCAAGGCGGGGAGTGCGATGTGATACTAGTGCGTCCTTGGGCTGCCGTATTATAGTCTATAAAAATATTTCAAGGCGGGGTGTGCGATGTGATACTAGCACGTCCTTGGGCTGCCCTATTATAGTCTATAAAAATATTTCAAGGCGGGGAGTGCGATGTGATACTAGCACGTCCCTGGGCTGCCCTATTATAGTCTATAAAAATATTTCAAGGCGGGGAGTGCGATGTGATACTAGCGCGTCCCTGGGCTGCCCTATTATAGTCCATAAAAATATTTCAAGGCGGGGAGTGCGATGTGATACTAGCACGTCCTTGGGCTGCCGTATTATAGTCTATAAAAATATTTCAAGGCGGGGAGTGCGATGTGATACTAGCACGTCCTTGGGCTGCCGTATTATAGTCCATAAAAATATTTCAAGGCGGGGAGTGCGATGTGATACTAGCGCGTCCTTGGGCTGCCGTATTATAGACTTCAAGGCGGGGCGTGCGATGTGATACTAGCACGTACTTGGGCTGCCGTATTGTAGTCTATAAAATACTTCAAGGCGGGGTGTGCGATGTGATACTAGCACGTCCTTGGGCTGCCGTATTATAGTCTATAAAAATATTTCAAGGCGGGGAGTGCGATGTGATACTAGCACGTCCTTGGGCTGCCGTATTATAGTCCATAAAAATATTTCAAGGCGGGGAGTGCGATGTGATACTAGCGCGTCCTTGGGCTGCCGTATTATAGACTTCAAGGCGGGGTGTGCGATGTAATACTAGCACGTACTTGGGCTACCATATTATAGTCTATAAAATACCTCAAGGCGGGGTGTGCGATGTGATACTAGCACGTCCCTGGGCTGCCGTATTATAGTCTATAAAATACTTCAAGGCGGGGTGTGCGATGTGATACTAGCACGTACTTGGGCTGCCGTATTATAGTCTATAAAAATATTTCAAGGCGGGGTGTACGATGTGATACTAGCACGTCCTTGGGCTGCCCTATTATAGTCTATAAAAATATTTCAAGGCGGGGAGTGCGATGTGATACTAGCACGTCCCTGGGCTGCCCTATTATAGTCCATAAAAATATTTCAAGGCGGGGAGTGCGATGTGATACTAGCGCGTCCCTGGGCTGCCCTATTATAGTCCATAAAAATATTTCAAGGCGGGGAGTGCGATGTGATACTAGCGCGTCCCTGGGCTGCCCTATTATAGTCCATAAAAATATTTCAAGGCGGGGAGTGCGATGTGATACTAGCACGTCCTTGGGCTGCCGTATTGTAGTCTATAAAATACTTCAAGGCGGGGAGTGCGGCGGTGTACCTGCGCGTCCTTGGGCTGCAGCTTGGCGGCGGGCTGGGCGGGCTGGGCGGGCGCGGGCGCGGCGGCGGGCGCGGGCTGTGCGGGCGGCGGCTGGTAGGCGTAGGGCGCGGAGTACAGCGCGCTGCCGCCGTACGCGCCGCCCACGCCCGCCACGCCCGCCACGCCCGCCACGCCCGCCACGCCCGCCACGCCCGCGCTCACACCCGCCACGCCTCCGCCCGCAGCCGCGCCGCCCGACGCAGACTGTCACACACGGTACTACGTTATACAACCACGCACGCGATCGTGTCATAACAATACGACTAAAAAATACTCTAAAAAATCCACCTCATAGCTAATACGGTTAAGTCCATTTTTATAAACTAAAAAAGAGTCAAATTGCATTATTTTCGGACTACTTTAATGCTGTCGATCGCAGCTGGCCTTTACAGCTTCGGAAAATAGAAAACGAGTGCAGAGTATAGACCCGTAAAATGACTTATGGAGCGGCTGAAGGCCAACTCCTGCCTGACGGATACGACTTTAGTCTGAGGGGTCGTCTGGGGGGAGTCTGCTAGGGGTTTGAACCTAGGCTCAGGCCATCGTAATTTCAAACCCATTTAAATTGTACGGGGTATCAAACGAAGGGGCGGAGGATCGATCAGAAGAGAAAATGCATACATTAATTCCTATGTAAGTAATGTAGACGGACTACGATACTCTTATTTTCCATCATACTAGTGAACGCGAGTTGCTTGTATAGGCTGATCTGCTCTATCACTACGACCAATTTAATGTCATTTAATTTTTCTTTCTTTCCTATCTGCAATCAGTACCTAAACTATGAGCAGATGTTTTGTGTGCGGGAACTGAGAATGGAATGTCCATCCCAACAGGAGGATCTGCTACTTAAAAATACTCGACACATTACATAATGTTACTTCGTTTTAGTAGTGTAGGGTAATGTTTTTCTAATAGTTGAGCGGCCAGTTGATTTGGGGGTTACAAAGGCAAGAGATTTATACCTGGTAGGAATTGAGGATGGGCTGGTATTGTGTGAGCGCCACGCTGGACGGGTAGCCGGCCGATAGTGACGCGCCGGCCAATGACGCATTCGTTGAGTTCACCTACAAGATACCAATGTTTCATTATTGTTTACAGTACAATACAATTTATTTTAACTATTTTACTATTTATGTACTTTATTTAAATTGCGTCCGTGTTGCGTAAGTATAAAAGACAAGGGCGAGCACAATAAATCTATGTAAGTCGCAGTGCTACAGATCTTAACACTTGACAATGCCCCAAATAAAAAATGGTGTGGTATAAACGAAATCTCTTTTGGAAAGTATAAACTCTATCCTGAGGAGACCAAAACTTTTGCTCGTTAAAACATCATTCGATTATCCCTGACCCTAAGGCCTTAGGCCTTAGGCGCCTAAGTAGCGAACTCTGAAAAAGGGATTCCGGGTTCAATAGATCTATGTAAGTCGCATTGCTACAGGTTTTGAACCATCTGACAACAGACCACATGCCTCAATAAAAAACGTTAGTTGCAAAAAAAAATAATAAAGAACAGAGACGTGTGTTTCCTCGCTCAAAACATTATGCATAAACGTACGCAAAATTCAACCTTATCTCATACATAATAAGGTCACAATCGAGCCGGACTACCTGAGAATTACCGATAATGAAACCTTCAAGAAAAGAGCTTATTCCTTTATAAAAGGCCGACAACGCACTTCCAATTCCCCTGGTGTTGCGTGTGCTCATGGGCGGCGGTAATCTTACCATCAGGTGAGCCGCATGTTCGTTTGTCCCTCGTTGTAGGGTCGACCTATCGTCGAGAACAAGACAAACCACATTCCATTGCATAAGTGCATCAGTTATATTTTATGTGATAATATTGAAGTTTTAAAGTTTGTAGTGGTACCTGCTGTGCGTACACGCCGCCGTAGACGGGCGGGTGGTGCGACACCGCGTGGTACAGCGGCGGACCGCCCGACTGCGCGCCCGCACTGCTCGCCGTCTGCAAGTCACCACAGTCATTACCGTCACATACATATACACTCACTTGTACCCAACACACCATTATATATATTCTTATATCAATTATCAACCAAGTGTAGGGAACAACCCCTAAATTTTTTGGTCCTTCGAGCTGGATTTCCAGCACGTACCTTGGGCCGGTGGTGCGAGTACGAGTGGTGGTGCGGCGCGTGGTGCGCGGCCGAGGTGGCGGGCGAGGGCGCGGCGGGGGGCGCGGCGGGGGGGCGGGGGGGCGGGGGGGGCACGTACCTTGGGCCGGTGGTGCGAGTACGAGTGGTGGTGCGGCGCGTGGTGCGCGGCCGAGGTGGCGGGCGAGGGCGCGGCGGGGGGGGGGGGGGGGCACGTACCTTGGGCCGGTGGTGCGAGTACGAGTGGTGGTGCGGCGCGTGGTGCGCGGCCGAGGTGGCGGGCGAGGGCGCGGCGGGGGGGCGGGGGGGCGGGGGGGCACGTACCTTGGGCCGGTGGTGCGAGTACGAGTGGTGGTGCGGCGCGTGGTGCGCGGCCGAGGTGGCGGGCGAGGGCGCGGCGGGGGGGCGGGGGGGGCACGTACCTTGGGCCGGTGGTGCGAGTACGAGTGGTGGTGCGGCGCGTGGTGCGCGGCCGAGGTGGCGGGCGAGGGCGCGGCGGGGGGGCGGGGGGGCGGGGGGGGCACGTACCTTGGGCCGGTGGTGCGAGTACGAGTGGTGGTGCGGCGCGTGGTGCGCGGCCGAGGTGGCGGGCGAGGGCGCGGCGGGGGGCGCGGCGGGGGGGCACGTACCTTGGGCCGGTGGTGCGAGTACGAGTGGTGGTGCGGCGCGTGGTGCGCGGCCGAGGTGGCGGGCGAGGGCGCGGCGTCGGCGGCGGGGCGGCGGCACGTACCTTGGGCCGGTGGTGCGAGTACGAGTGGTGGTGCGGCGCGTGGTGCGCGGCCGAGGTGGCGGGCGAGGGCGCGGCGGGGGGCGCGGCGGGGGGGGGGGGGGGGGGGGGGCACGTACCTTGGGCCGGTGGTGCGAGGACGAGTGGTGGTGCGGCGCGGGGTGCGCGGCCGAGGTGGCGGGCGAGGGCGCGGCGGGGGGCGCGGCGGGGGGGGGGGGGGCACGTACCTTGGGCCGGTGGTGCGAGTACGAGTGGTGGTGCGGCGCGTGGTGCGCGGCCGAGGTGGCGGGCGAGGGCGCGGCGGGGGGCGCGGCGGGGGGCGGGGGGGGCGGGGGGGGGGGCACGTACCTTGGGCCGGTGGTGCGAGTACGAGTGGTGGTGCGGCGCGTGGTGCGCGGCCGAGGTGGCGGGCGAGGGCGCGGCGGGGGGCGCGGCGGGGGGCGGGGGGCGGGGGGGCACGTACCTTGGGCCGGTGGTGCGAGTACGAGTGGTGGTGCGGCGCGTGGTGCGCGGCCGAGGTGGCGGGCGAGGGCGCGGCGGGGGGCGCGGCGGGGGGGCGGGGGGGGCACGTACCTTGGGCCGGTGGTGCGAGTACGAGTGGTGGTGCGGCGCGTGGTGCGCGGCCGAGGTGGCGGGCGAGGGCGCGGCGGGGGGCGCGGCGGGGGCGGCGGGGGGCGCGGTGTCTGCGGCGGGGGGCGCCGCGCTCGCCGCGGGTCCCACCGACAGCTGCTTCATCGACGCCGTCAGCTGCTTCTCCAGCGCTGGACATAAACCGCGACATCCTACATCTCACTTATCCGCTTTAAACTACATTCTAACACTCGCTTAACCAGCAACATTACTGTTGCCGGTGAAATGAGAGCCATCTCAATAAATATAAATTTGTTTCTTAGGAGAGGTCTCAGGATGCAGTCGGTGTATTTTGTGATCTTTCAAAAGCATTTGATTGCGTTAATCATGAAACACTTTTACACAAACTTGAACATTTCGGTATTAGATATAAAGCCCTAAACATGATGAAATACTATTTAAATAGAAGAGAACAAGTTGATAAAATAAATTGTGTAAAGTCTGAAGGAATTTGTGTTAAAATGGGTGTTCCTCAGGGATCTATTCTAGGTCCTTTTTTATTTTTAGTTTACATAAATGACCTTCCTTACATCGTAGAAAACATAGCTGACATAGTTCTGATTGCTAATGATACTTCATTAGTAATCAAAGTCAATCGGCAAATTAATGATATGGACGAAACGGTGCTCTCACTTCTGTTTTAAAATGGTTTACTGCTAATAATATGCTATTAAACGCAAATAAAACTAAATATATTAAAGCCTCCGATCTAGGCCGTTGTGCATATAGTTTGACGATACTGTATTTCAGGGTATCACATTAGATTTCAAGTTATAATGAGGTATCCATATTTCTAAATTGGTGAATCCAATAACTTCTGCTGCTTATGCGGTAAGCAGAATTAGACAATTAACAGACGTGGCAATGGCTAAACTCGTCTACTTTAGCTATTTCCATAGCATTGTTGTATAGTATTTTGTTATGGGACAAAGCAGCGGATATAAATACAATATTTATTTTACAAAAGAGATACATTCACTCAATTTATAGGTTGGATTCCAGGGAGTCTTTACGAGAGTGGTTTAAGGAATGCTCACCGTTGCTTCTCAATACATTTACAAAAATATCATGTAGCATGTATCATGGAAAAATATAGACCATTTCAAAAGATTTAGTGATTACATTATTAAAAGCTTATGTAACAATAAAACAGATTTTACCTAAATCTAGTTTAACTAAAGGTAGTAATTCGTTTTATGGAAATTACATAAGGTTTTACAACAAATTACCACAATCTGTTCTAAATCTGCCTGAAAATAGATTTAAATGTCGTATAAAACACTTCCTTTGCCAAAAAGCATATAAAATTGAAGAGTTCGTTAACAATAATAACGATTTTGTGATGTCTGTTCATGTCAATCCACCACTCATAAACTACCGTACGCTAGCATGCGCTATTATAAAACGGTTTCAACTTATGCATAACTATTTCTCGGGCATGAATCAAATGAAGACACAACATGAATACAAAAACCTACTAATATAGCCACAAAGGTCAGCTTTTCTAAAAGTAAACCAGAGCTGTGGTAAACTGGTTTAATTTAGAACTCGGACAGCAACCAGATATACTTACTACTATGACCCAGGAAAAACAGCTATTATAGAGGAGTAAATGTAAGGTTTTTTAAAACATCCAGTCTTTGAAAAAGAATGAATAAACTCTTAATAAACCCGTATTAATATTGCATGAATTTTACATCGGTGACAATATAATATCATCCCGCTTCTAGCATCATGCTTGTAAAAAGCCAGAGGTAGACTGTAAAAATTTACAATAAGATACCAAAGGAAATATTGGAATTACCCTTAAATAAATTCAAAACATCTGTTAAATCATATTTACTGAGCAAGGCCTATTACTCACTAAACGATTACTCGAATGACGAGCGTGCATGGCAATAGTTTTCATGTTCGGGATTTTCATTTAATGTTAGACATAGACACCTATATAAATACCTATACATTGTAAATAAACTGGCTTTTAAAAAAAAAGTAATACAATTGAGTTTCTTGCCAGTTCTTCTCAATTGGATCTATATATCGAACTGGACGGTAGGGAAAAAAAATATAATGTAAAAACTTGACGTTCATAAGCAGCTAAAATGTCCTACATGAATAAATTATTTTTGAATTAGAATTTGAATTTATACAGATACAGATATAGATTCAGATACAGATATTAGTACAGATTTTATTCGGTATAATAATAATACAGTCCTTTCGCTCACATATTGGTTTTTAACCCTGGTAAAGTACAAGCAAAATAAAGACAACATTATAAAATAGGTATACATTGTAGGTATTAAAATTAGAAAATATATAGTGAACGGAATAGAAGGCGCGTACCTGCGGTTGTGGAGACGACCGTGTCGGGCGCGGGCTGCGCGGTCACCGGCTCCGGTGCTGGCAGTTCGCTCAGCTGCAACAAACAACGTTGTATTCAGCACTTCATTACACATTCATACTCCCTTCGATCGATCCCCCGTCCAATTAAAACGGGGACTGAAATTACGACGGTCTGAGCCGAGGTTCGAACCCCTAGCGGTGCCCTCAGACTAAAATCGTATCCGTTACACGGGAGTTGGTCTTCAGTCGCTCCATAAGTCGTTCCTTTGGTTTGGAGTGGCATCTGCACTCGTTCTCTATCGTCCGATGAAGCTGTAAAGGCCAGCTGCAGCCGACAGCATTATAATGGTTTAAAAAAATTCTAACAAAACAGAAATTAGCTTTTATAAAAGGGGCATAATGTTTCCAGTTAATACAGCTCCATAAAAAGTTTTGAAATAGCCTAATGATTTTCCACCCCTACTTGGACTTAAAGCTCGTGGTTTTAAACATGTCTGAGGTCAAAAATTTAAAACTATGCTTGTGAGTCTATATTTTTACTCTCCAGTGATTAAAATGTTCGTAAGTTCGCACCCGATAATAAAAATAATTTTGCCTTTTTTCCCGAAAGTTGGGGTACATTTTGATGTTTAAAAAATCTCCCGCAAATCGGCGTGGCTTTTGGCATAGGCCTCCTCCAGCTGTCTCCACTGAACTCTGTCTTCCGCAACCCTGTTCCAGAACGGTCCCAGAGTCCGGTTGATGTCATCTTTCCAGCATATTCTTTGGCAACTCTTCTTCTGGTCCTGTCTCTAGTATCCCAGAGTCACTTGCTCCATTTATTTATTTTGCACCTTATATGTCCAGTCAAACTCCATTGTAAATGGTCCATTCTAGAGAGTACATATGTTACTTTCGCACCCAATAGGCTGAATTCAAATATAGCATTTGGACCCATCGTTTAAACCGAGACACTCCACGAGCAGGGGGCTCGGGGGACGGTAGCCCCACACCCAGATTCAATCTCCCGACCTTACCTTCAAAGTCAGGATAGTAAACCACTAGGCTCCAAGCTCTCCAGGTCTCTCTCCAGCAGTAAACATAAAACAATACTCACTATACTGTTGGTGTTGGGATATACTGTGGTAGGTATTTCCGTCGTCGTCTCGTGACTGCTCGATATCACAGACTGTGACTCCGCTACTGACGTCGGCTGCACCTGAACACATCACATATTAATATAATTTATTATTCATTCATATATTATATTGTTCTATGACCCATGCATGTTAGGTATATGTAATTGGTGAATAAAGGATTTATTTATCTATTTGCTATTTCGTAGATTTGTGTACTTGTTTGCCACCAGTATAGTGTAAATAAAAAGAAAACTTATAATACCCTTATGGGACACAGTCACCTATATACATCAAAATAATAATTGCATTTAATAATGTCTAGTAAGACAAATTCAATATTGTCTACTAATCACTGCTGTGTCTAAACTGTGTCACCCCACCTTACATTTTCCTATTGTTATTTAGTATATAAGATCATTATTTCTATGTACATATTGTCAGTTTATTATCATCTGTAATATACATCGTCTTGACCAACAACATAGTATCTTTCACCCGCAACACCCTTAATAAGGTTTATTTATGGTGGACACTGCGTACGTAACCTTTCGTTTTAGGAGTCCACACGCTACGGTAATGGTTTAGTATTAGGCACGCAATCCTGCGCTGAACAAAAACCTGCAGATTTTGCCAAGCCGAATAGGAAACGCCACTCCACATATGGTTGTAGCCCACTCATACATAAACGAAATATCTTTTTTGGAAAGTATTTGTAAAGTATACACTCTATCTTGAGGAGATAAAAATCATCGTTCCTAAGAATATCCTTCTTGTCCCTGACGGGTCTAGGTAGCGTACTCTAAAAAGGCGCGAGCACAATAGATCTATGTAGATCGCAGTGCTACAGGTCTTGAACAACCTGACAATAGCGAGGGGAGGGGATTGTTAGTAATGTGGACTGTTGACCCTATTACTAGCAATGTACCATGTCAGGTTGACCTCCATGTGGTTCCCCCTGGAAATCATCGTGATAAATTCCTAATGAATTTGTCACGAAAACCAAAACCCTTAATAAAACGAAAATCGGCGAGCATTATAGTAGATGTATAAATGTAGATCGTGTTACAGATGTTGAACCATCTGACAACAACCAACACTAGAGATGTATCAACTCGAGTGGGGCTGAATTTGAGTTAACTCAAGTTGATTGCTTAATTAATTAAAAAAAATATTTCTTCTAGGTAACTCGAGTTAGTCCGAGTTAACTCGAGTTACCTGAATTTCAACTCGAGTTAACTAAAGTCACATATATTACGAGTTAGTACATCATTACCCCACACCACTCAATAAAAAAATCTTGCACGTACCTGTGCGGCGTGCGCGTGTTGGTGCTGGTGTTGATGTTGGTGTTGGTGCTGGTGTTGGTGTTGGTGCTGGTGCTGGTGTTGGTCCAGGGCGTCGTTGTCGAGCGCTCCGAACTGTACGTCCAGGAACACCTCCCCACCGCCCGGCATCTCCACGGCAGACACCGGGATCTACAAACAAACACACATACTTACTATTTACTATGTATAGTATGTACATATTCAAGAAAAAACATATATCTGTGTATCAAACTATTCAAATATATCTTTTTCCTTACTTCTTCACATAATCCGGGATAACTTCTTAAATAATCATAATATTTATTTATTGCCAGAACAAAAGATACATAAACATTTGAGTTCGTACACAAAAACTATATAAAAAAAAGCAACCTCTTAAACTACGTATAAAAACCAACAGTAGTACCTCATACCGCGTATTCTGGACAAATGGGGCTGACTCAGCTGATGCTGTGAGCGTAACGTTTACACGTGCTCTGCACAGCGCTGATTTTCAGTCAGTCCCTCTCATTTAGCGAAATATTAATTTAATATCTAATAAATAAATATGAATAATAATTATCTTTTTTTTATCATTTTGTACATAATTGTATTTTCTGTGAGAGGAACAATAAAGAGTTTCATTCATTCATAATAATGGCGTGATTTGAATGAATTTGGTATAAATTTAAAGTTAACGGTTTACCTTTAAAATTTTTATTATTCTTAACTAGTTATTAAGTACTCAAAATCAATTCTAAGTAAGTGATTCCATACTTCTGCTCGCAAGTGTATATTAATAATAATAATCTCAGGACAATTGACACACAGCGTTATTGACACACAAGTTAAGCTAACTAAAAGCTTGCTGATACAAATACATAGATAATTTTTTTTTTCGTAAATACATATTATACATAGAAAATACCCAGACCGATACAAACAATCATACTCATGAATACAAATGTTTATGCCGTGCGAGGAATCGAACCCGCGACCATCGGACGTAAAGCGGTATGCTAGACCGCTAGACCACCGAGGCCGTCATATTATTTATATTTTTCCATAAAAATTATAATCCATAGATGATGATATAATGATAGTTAATGTGATAGTACCTTGGATGGCGGTGGTAACCTCGCCCGTTGCTTCCGTCCCGCCTCGCCGTATACGAACCCACCGTACGCATCTACAAACCAACAAAAACACCTCTTATTTTATGTAACAGCAACAGCAAACAACCTGTCTACCTGATGGAAACACCCATTATCTACAATCCGACCGCTCAGAGTTTGAAACAGTACAATACAATAACCTTGAAACAGCGCAGTTTGGTGTGGTTTGACTTTTAAAAACTATTGTTTTTATATTTGTTAAGTAGATAATAGTTGATAATTTGAACCGAAAATTAATACTATACTATACTAATACTATTTTGGTCCATTTAATCCAGATTGTACATGCTTATTACACTTATAACTCTTAGCAATATTGATTACTAGTCTTAACTAGTCGTAATTAAAAGCAAGTAGCATTTTTTTTTTCTCTTTACAATAACAATCTAACGCGTTTACGTAAATAACCCACATTTTGAAAAATCTTACGTTTGATTGGGGATTGGGGGGAAAGAGGTTGAATAAAATCTCACGACATCTCACCAGTGGGGGAAGAAAGAACAGAAAATTCAAAAAAACACCTTACGTAATTTATGGACGCCCAGTTATATAAAAATGTATGTCAAAGTCGGGTCAAGGAAAACCTTGGAGTCGTATCGTATCAACAATAATTAAAGATTAATGGAAGATCATGAGAAATGGCAAAGCAAAACCTTGGAGTCGTATCAACAATTAATGAATGATTAATGAATGAATGAAAACTGGCATTATCAAAACCTTTGTGACTGTCGTATCAACAATAATAAATAATGGAAGATCATGAGAAACGGCCGACAAACTGCCAGGGACCAGGGCGCGGCTCTTAAACAATTAATGAATGAAATGAATGAATGAAAACTTACTATTGTCGTGCCTTTGTGACTGTTGGGTTAACTGTGATAAATACTGCGACTGTGCGGCCGACAAACTGCCAGACATGCCCATCGGCTGAAATGCAAACACATTACATATATTAATATAGAAATAGAAATAATCTTTATTCAAATAAACTTAAAATATCACTTTTATTGTACTACTCATTCGGAACGCAGACTCATCACAAGAAGATTATTACGTTACATTTTTAAGTTTAAGTGTGTGAATACAAACCACAAATTAGCACTAATTCAATTAAATACTCAAAAAGTATTGCTTTTTTAATAAATAAATGTTATTCAGAATTAAGTTTTTAAGAATGTTGTGTTAATACAAACTATTAAATACTAAAGTTCACACAATTAAATAAACAGTATATATAATCTCACTACCAGTTTCACATGGGTTTACTCCATGGTGCAATTTAACTTTAGTTCCGTAAAATTTTTTAAACAATTAAAATTTTAAACACTGCCAACCAAAGTAAGGAAGCATGCCTATTATTTCCTCATTTAGTTAAGTGGGTTTTAAAAAAAAACCTTGTAATATCGAGAACTGCTTGTACATTAAATTTTAATTTAATACTTTGTCGGTCTCGATGATCTAGCGGGTCATCACACCCCATCCGGATGATCACGAGTTGCATTCTATGCCCGGCGGGATGGTACTGACACGTGGACTGGAATATGCAGCCCACACTGCTGCACTGCTGGCCTCCTGCTGTCGGGCGGCACGTACCTGGTGGTGGACGGCGGCGAGGTAGGGCTCCGGTGCGGGCTCGGGCGCAGCCGCCGGCGAAGCGCTGCCGCCGCTGCCCATCTGCTGCAAAACGATTGCCCAAAAAATTCAACAAAAATTGAGATGGAACACATTTATCACATTGGAGTATGAAAAATTGTTAATTAAGTCCTTATACTCAGACCTACTGTATATATAATTAAAACTTCATAAGAATCGGTGGATTCATTTTGAAGAAATTTTGTTACAAGCACTGTGACACGAAAATTTTATATATCTATATTATAATATTATAAAGTTGAAGAGTTTATTTGTTTGTTTGAACGCGCTAATCTGAGGAAGTATTGGTTCAATTGAAAAAATATTTTTGTGTTGGATAGTCTATTTATCCAAGAAGGCTTTAAGCTATATAACATTACGCTACGATCAATAGGAGCGGAGCTGCAATGAAAAATATTGCAAAAGGTGGGGCAACGAAACGCAGACGAAGTTATACGGGTCAGCTAATAAGATATGTATACAAAAGATGTATCAAACAACACCTTTGGTAGTACATGAATAACATTAAATATTTTGACCACAGGCACAAAAAAACTAAAAAATAAATTTCCATTATATCTAAATACTTAAAATATCTGAATATATCTTCATAAACTTTAGCTAAGGAGCATTTCAATCATATCTACTTTCAACTAAAAAACCCCATAATAGTCGGTCCATCGTTCTTAGCAAGTGGTGACTAAAATGTGCATGTACGTACGTCGATGAGTGTATGGTGGTGGTGCGCGTTGTGGTAGGTGTAGGAGGGGATGTGTGCGTCGGGACCGTTGCTGGCCGCCCCCGGCCCCCCCGCCCCCGACACCCCCGCCACCCCCGCCCCCGCCCCCGACACCGCCGACACCGCCGCGACACCCGACTCCCAGTCCTCCTGCACACAAACGTTATATGACTTTTTTGTTTCTAATACAATGAAACTTGGTTAATTGGGATCTCAAAGAAACAAGATTATGTATCAATTATTGAAGTAAAACCTGATTAATTGGGATCTCAAAAAACCAAGATTATGGACCAATTATTGAAGTAAAACCTGGTTAATTGAGATCTCAAAGAACCAAGATTATGTACCAATTAATGAAGTAAAACCTAGGTAATTGCGATCTCAAAGAACCAAGATTATGTACCAATTAATGGTTAATTGAGATCTCAAAGAACCAAGATTATGTACCAATTAATGAAGTAAAACCTAGGTAATTGCGATCTCAAGGGACCAAAAATTATGTACCATTTATTAAGTGTTTCTATTAATCCAGTTTTCCAATTAAGCAAATTTAAAATTATAGTTGCCTCATTTACAGAGGCCCCCGATTATAGAGATCGAAATGTACCGTTATTCCATTTTTAGAGGTGGAAAAAACTGAAATAGCACTGATAAACAATGCATATTCGAAAGACATTCAAAACAAACGAAACCTATCCCAATCTGATATTTATCTCACTTATATTTATCACACTTCACAATGAACTACAGAGTCCCAATTATCTAAATATATATATCTCAAAGGTGACTGACGTAGTGATCTATCAACGCACAGCCCAAACTACTGGGCGGATCAAGCTGAAATTTGGTATGCAGATAGATGTTATAGACGTAGGCGTAGATATATGACGTAGGCATCCCCTAATAAAGGATTTTGATAAATTCCACCCCTAAGGGGATAAAAGTAACGCGAGCGAAGCCGCGGGAAAAATCTAGTAGAGATATAACATTAAGAAATCTTAGAATTCAAATCTCATTTAAACAGGTTGGAAAAGTTCCACTAACAGAGGTAGTTCTATGAAACAGTACCGGGACCTCATTGCAACTCTCAATCAAATTCAAATTCAAATTCAAATTTGATGATTTTATACGTATAATTAGTAAAAATCTCGGGATCTTACCACGTTTTATATTTATTTGCTGAGTTCCCGATATTTCGGCAGTGTTTCAACCACCATGATCACGGGTAAACTGATAATAAATATAAAACGACGTAAAAAAAAAATATAAAAGATCCCGTGATTTTTACTAATTATACGTATAAATAATGACCGTGTCAAATTTAAAACATATAAGTGATTTTATTTCACGCCTTTATAATAACAACAACACCCCCTCTCTTATAAATTTCATTTAAGGTATCAGAAATCATATTGATTTTATCATAAAACTTGCTGGTATGGTAAAATACCGAAGAAAACTGTGATATTCTTCGGTATTTTACCATATACTTGTGAACAGCAAGTTTTGTGAAAAATCCATGTGATTTCTGACACCTTAAATGAAATTTTCCGTGACGATACTTGCAACTACGTCGTCAATAATATATCGCTTCATTCATTCATTCATAGTTTAAGAGCCGGCTCGAAGGACCATATGTTCTTTACAATAGGGTCCGTTTTCGATTGCTTGATTCTGTACTATTTATTTTGCAAAGAATTAAAATACATGTGCTTGCTTCTATTTTTTTATTGAAACTGACTTTAAACGGATTGAACATTTTATAATATAGACAACGACTTCGTTGTCTATATTATAAAATGGTCGAGACAGTATGAACTTAGCTTCTAAATAACTATAAACTAAGACTCATGAATACAAATGTTTGCACCGTGTGAGGAATCGAACCCATCATAAGTAAAGTGGTGAGTTTAACCGCTTGACCACCGAGGCCGTGTCGTCACCATTGTCGTATTTGTATTGAGATACTCAATACAAAAAAAAATTAATTAGGACACAGTTATCTAGATACATCAAAATAATAATTGCATTTAATAATGTCTAGTATGACAAATCCAATATTGTGTACTAAGCACTGCCGTGTCTAAACTGTGTCACCCCACCTTACATTTTCCTATTGAGATTTAGTATATAAGATCAATTTTTTTATGTACATATTGTCGTCAATTATCATCTGTAATATACATCGTCTCAACTAACAACATAGTATCATTAAGGCCAGGCCAGTTGATTAAAAAGTTGCTCATCCCTGATCTAATGGATATATTTTATCACGGTAAAAAGCTAGTATAAATATAAAAAGCTATATAAACTCACTGTGGAATTAATCTGTGTGGCGACAGGTTCTGTGTCGTTTGCCTGGTTTTGAGCACTCGAACTCGGCGTGAACACCTGCAGTATAAAAATTTAATTATTAAAAAAAATCCACATTTTTTATAGAACTAAACTACATACAGATTCATCTGAGAGGACCCTTGTCTCACCCATCTCTGCAATATCTTTGTAGCTGTATTTTAGTTTGAAGGTGAGTGTACGGAGAACAGCACATGCCTGCTTACTGTGCAATACACAATTCCCGACACTTACAATTTTGCCGCATAATACATTTCACCTCATTACATTTCTTTTAGCAATAAAATCAGTGTTCGAGTAGCACTCAACCAAAGCGGTTTTATTTAGTAAAAATTCCTCATCAATCAATTAATCATTAATCAATTCATAATTAAAAAAAACTAAAATAGCTTTAAGAAATATTTGCAATTCAATCATATATCATATTAGCTTTTGCCCGCGGCTTCGCTCGCGTTATTTTATCCCCTTAGGGGTGAAATTTATCAAAATCCTTTCTTAGGGGATGCCTACGTCATAGTAGTTTTATGCATGCAAAATCTCAGTCTGATCGGTTTAAAATTGACAAAGTTTCATACAAACTTTCATGACGTCAACTTATGGTCCTTCGGATAAAATGGACGGACATCGTATATTAATACCAGTTGGAGACAATATAAAGAGTCTCTATTACTCGCTGACGCCAAGATATGGTCCTTCGAGCCGGATATAATGGACACAGTTTAGATACAGCAGTGCCTAGTAGACAATATTGAATTTGTCTTACTAGACATTATTAAATGCAATTATTATTTTATGTATCTAGGTGACTGTGTCCCATAGGCACTATATGTTAATACCAGTCGGAGACAATATAGTCTCTTTTACTCGTTGACGCCAACATATGGTCCTTCGAGCCGGATAATGATAATGATAATGACCTGGTATCATATGTTGGAGTACCTATTTTTTTTAAGGCTATTAAAAAGTTAAAGAATAGTTGTCTGCGCGACAAAGCGACTTCGTGTGGTCGTGAAACATGAAACCTTTCTCATCTACCAGGCGATAATGTTCCTAATTTTATTTACAGAAGATAGATAATAGATAAACGTAGTGCGTATAATCTGACGTACATATACCTTGGTGTCTGACAGAGATCCTGACCACTCCTCGTTGTCCCAGTCTTCTGTGGTGGGGAACGAGTCCCCGATGTTGCCACCTACACATACAGAAATGATATTTACTTTTTATACATTTTAAGTTCAATTTTGATAGTCATTTTATCTGACTGGTAAATTTGGATGAACTGATATCATCCAGTCATGGGAGTTGTACTTCTTATGTACCCTGTGTCTCTTGCTTGTATATTCTGTTCCCCGTTTCCCATGTGTGCAGTCGTACCCTTCAGCCAACATATACATTCTGCTCTTCAATCTCCCTATGTATGCCTTGGTAAGTGTGTATATGTACCAAGAAATATGGAAACCTACGAGTGTGAGAAAGCTTCGTATATAGGGGTCGTCGGAGGCTCTGCGTGTAGGAGGTAGTGTGAGAGACCTTACGTGTTGGGGGGTTGTGGGCGCCTGTGAAGGGGGCGTATATTGTCCATCACCCGTGCCGCACTTTACTGTGCCTCTTTTTCTCGGCCGCCCGCCCCCGCCGCCCCCCCGTACTGACCTGTGTGTGCGGGCGCGCGCGCGGGCCGGGGGCGGGGCGGGCCGGCGCGCCTGCCCCCGCGGCCCCGGCCCGCGCCCCCCCCCCCCCCCCCCCCCCCCCCCCCGCCCCCCCCCCCCCCCGCCCCCGCCGCCCCCCCGTACTGACCTGTGTGTGCGGGCGCGCGCGCGGGCCGGGGGCGGGGCGGGCCGGCGCGCCTGCCCCCGCGGCCCCGGCCCGCGCCGCCCCCCCGCCCCCGCCCCCGCCGCCCCCCCGTACTGACCTGTGTGTGCGGGCGCGCGCGCGGGCCGGGGGCGGGGCGGGCCGGCGCGCCTGCCCCCGCGGCCCCGGCCCGCGCCGCCCCCCCGCCCCCGCCCCCGCCGCCCCCCCGTACTGACCTGTGTGTGCGGGCGCGCGCGCGGGCGGGGGGCGGGGCGGGCCGGCGCGCCTGCCCCCGCGGCCCCGGCCCGCGCCGCCCCCCCGCCCCCGCCCCCGCCGCCCCCCCGTACTGACCTGTGTGTGCGGGCGCGCGCGCGGGCCGGGGGCGGGGCGGGCCGGCGCGCCTGCCCCCGCGGCCCCGGCCCGCGCCCCCGCCCCCGCCGCCCCCCCGTACTGACCTGTGTGTGCGGGCGCGCGCGCGGGCCGGGGGCGGGGCGGGCCGGCGCGCCTGCCCCCGCGGCCCCGGCCCGCGCCGCCCCCCCGCCCCCGCCCCCGCCGCCCCCCCGTACTGACCTGTGTGTGCGGGCGCGCGCGCGGGCCGGGGGCGGGGCGGGCCGGCGCGCCTGCCCCCGCGGCCCCGGCCCGCGCCGCCGCCGCCGCGCGCCGCGCCCCCGCCCCGCCCGTGTGTGCGGGCGCGCGCGCGCCCCCGGGCGGGGCCGCGCGCCTGCCCCCGCGCCCGGGCCCCGAGTGCCCTCGCCCCCGCCGCGCCCCCGAACAAAAAACATGTGTGTGCATATACGCGCGCGCGGGGAAGAGCGCGCCTGCAGCGAAAACTTACTATATAAACTTATAGTAACAACAATCTGAAAGCAGTAATCAGTATCTTGATAGTGTGTGCGATAGCGCGCGCGCGAATGGTATGGGAGGTGGGTGAGCCTGTATGGGAGGTGTGTGAGAGTACCCCGTGCGCGGCCGCCCCCCCGGCTGCGGGGCGTGTGGCTCTAGCTCGCCGTTGTATGGGAGGTGGATGAGTTGTATGGGAGGTGTATGAGAGTACGTACGCGTGCGCGGCCCGGAGCGGCTGCGGGGCGAGCGCGGCTCTAGCTCGCCGTTGTATGGGAGGTGGGTGAGTTGTATGGGAGGTGTATGAGAGTACGTACGCGTGCGCGGCCCGGAGCGGCTGCGGGGCGAGCGCGGCTCTAGCTCGCCGTTGTATGGGAGGTGGGTGAGTTGTATGGGAGGTGTATGAGAGTACGTACGCGTGCGCGGCCCGGAGCGGCTGCGGGGCGAGCGCGGCTCTAGCTCGCCGTTGTATGGGAGGTGGGTGAGTTGTATGGGAGGTGTCTGAGAGTACGTACGCGTGCGCGGCCCGGCCGCCCCGGGGCGAGCGCGCCTAGCTCCCCGTTGTATGGGTGTGTGGGTGCGCGCGCGGGAGGTGTATGAGCGTACGGCGCGCCTGCGCGGCCCGGAGCGGCCGCCCCGAGCGCGGCTCCCCGCCGCCGTTGTATGGGAGTGTGCGGGCGCGCGCGCGGGGGGGGTGTATGAGAGTACGTACGCGCCTGCGCGGCCCGGAGCGCGCCGCGGGGCGAGCGCGCCTAGCCCGCCGTTGTATGTGTGTGCGGGCGCGCGCGCGGGAGGTGTATGAGAGTACGGCGCGCGCGCGCGCGGCCCGGAGCCGCGCCGGGCCCCCCGCGGCTCCCGCTCGCCGTTGTATGGTGTGCGGGGCGCGCGCGCGGTATGGGAGGTGTATGAGAGTACGTACGCGTGCGCGGCCCCGGCCCGCGCCGCCCCCCGAGCGCGGCCCCCCCGTAGCTCGCCGTTGTGTGTGGAGGCGCGCGCGCGTTGTATGGGAGGGGTATGAGAGTACGGCGCGCCTGCGCGGGCCCGGAGCGCGCCGCTGCCCGCCCGCCCGCGGCTCTAGCTCGCCGTGTGTGCGGGCGCGCGCGCGGTGAGTTGTATGGGAGGTGTATGAGCGCGCCGCGTGCGCGGCCCGGAGCGCCGCCGCCGCCGCGCGCGCGCCCCGCGCGGCTCTAGCTCGCCGTTGTATCTCGGAGGTCGCCGCGCCCTGAGATTGTTACATATACAAACAATAAGGAAGAGTGATCAGTGAAAACTTACTATATAAACTTATAGTAACGACAATCTGAAAGCAGTAATCAGTATCTTGATAGTAAGCGATAGCGATAGATAGCGAATGGTATGGGAGGTGGGTGAGTTGTATGGGAGGTGTATGAGAGTACGTACGCGTGCGCGGCCCGGAGCGGCTGCGGGGCGAGCGCGGCTCTAGCTCGCCGTTGCCGGGTGCAGGCGCCGGTTTTTTCTTTTTTTTTTCATTGGTCTGCCATTCACCCTGAAATAATTAAACAACTGTTACACTAATGTGTATTTAATTCCACACAGCATAATAGTGAATGTCGTTTAATAAATATGCTGAAGCCTATAATTACAAATTCACAAAGTAAAGCTAAGTATCAGTGAAAAATGTTGCAAAACTGGGGAAAAATATTCATATTTGACGGCTTCCGTTGCGTAAACGGTTCAAGTTACCCAAAAAATATATATGAACGAATTATTCCTCTTTAAATGATCTAAAAAAATATCTGCGACTAATCGCGATAGTGTTTTTGATAACCACACGAACTCGCGGGCAGTAGTAGAAGGCTAATTGTTGAGTCCGCATTACATTACATTTCATTCACATTACATTACATTCACTTTACATTACATTACAGCTAGTAGTTAATAATGTGCGTAGGTATTAAGACCAGTACTTTGTAAATAACCATTCATTTAATTTCAAGAAACAAAAAAAGTCTTGTAACCTGTATTCGTTGCGTGTCCTCCAGCAGTAGATTACATGCCGCGACCAAATCGTTGTCGGAGTCATGCAGTGCCGAACAAACCTCCTCCTCTGTACGACGCGTCATCTCCATTAACTCCAACACCTGCAAATAATATAAACATTGTCAGAACATTTATTTTAGGAATAGCAAATAGACTTCTGTAGTCTTTGATTGAAATAATCGCTCTCAATGCACCCTCTGTTTTGAAGTATGAAATCTAATATATAAAATTCTCGTGTCACAGTTTTCGTTCCTATACTCCTCCGAAACGGCTTGACCGATTGTCATGAAATTTTGTGAGCGTATTGAGTAGGTCTGAGAATCGGCCAACATCTATTTTTCATCCCCCTAAATGTAGTCCACCCCTAAATTATTATTTTTTATTTTAAGGCAAAACAACGTTTGCCGGGACAGCTAGTATACATATAAATCTTATAATCTCTCCGACACTGTCGTACTTCCCCTGATGTCTTATATCTGACTAGCTGTTCCCGCGACTTCTTTCGCGTGGAATTTAACTTTATTTATCTAAAATAAAAGTAGCCTAAAGAACTAAAAATTATTTTGTTCGTCTTAGTTTATTCGTTCCATTAGGTACTGATAGATTCAAACTAATACATTTACATCCTGCATCACCCCTTACTTCATCCCCATGGGGGTGGAATTTATCAAAATCCTTTCTTAGGGGATGAAAGTTTGTATGAAACTTTGTCAATTTTAAACCGATCGGGCTGAGACTTTGCATGCATAAAGCTACTATGACGTAGGCATCCCCTAAGAAACGATTTTGATAAATTCCACCCTTAAGGTGATAAAATAGGGGATGAAAGTTTGTATAAATCAGTCGCGGAAACAGCTAGTTAAAAAATAAAAACAAACATTTAGGGCCTTCCATAAGTCTAGTCTGGCCAATTTCAGCAATTTTATATTCAATAGAAATAAATATTTTTACTAGAGAGTTCAACTTACCATTCTGCGAACATCTGTGGAATCTTCACTTTTACGGTCGATCATGTTTGCCATACGTAGTTGTTCAGTTGTGGCCTGAAATTAAAAAAAATGTATATAAATAACAATTTGAAAAAATATTTAAAATGTCTTTGTACGTGTTACTATTGTAGTCTTATGATAATGTAAAATTTCCTCTACTGTAATCTATACATCTGCATATATAAATAAATTTGGAGTGTCTGTTTGTAATATTGAAATAACAGTTTTTTACGGTACATACACAAAAATGACAATTTTACAATTTTTGTCTGTTTACTCCGACTAATCTCTGAAATGGCTGAACCGATTTTGACGGGACTTTTATTTACAGCTAGCTGATGTGATAAGGTAACTTAGGCTACTTTTATTTTAGAAAAATTCTTTTATTTTATAACATGAAAGTTGAATTCCACGAGGACAAAGTCGCGGGAGCAGCTAGTAGTTAATAACATCTGGCAATTCTTATGTGGACTCTCGCGATACGGGTTAGTCTAATGCGGTGTCCAATGTATAGTTAGGTTTGTTATATATGAAAATTTCAAGATAATTTAAAATAAATGTTAGCAATGGGTTCTAGAGGTCCCATTTCTAGCAATATACTAGCCGTACCTACGGCAGGTCGAACTTCACGCAGATCTCGCTGGCATCCATTAGATAGATATATAGATATATCGTTTATTTGTTTGTTACTAATCACACACAACATGTTCATAAGAATCGACAGTACCTAATACGACATAAGATTTATAAAATTGTGTTATTATGTGTGATCTGTAGGAATAAAAGGTCGAAGCTCAGCGTGGAACATTGTTCAGGGAAGAAAACACTGATTTTCAGCTTCAACCCATTTGAGAGTACGTGAAAATAATAATTAAAATAAATATAAAATAAAAAGAGCAATGTAATTGGTGACTTTCTGTGCGTTGTGTGTATAATAAAAATGTAAATAGTTCAGAGTATAATTTGATATAATTTTAACTGGTAAGGATTAATCGAGAGAAAAGAAAATATTAATAAGAAAAAATTTTAAAATGAGATTGCAACCGCTAGCCAAGAAATTTCTGTGGAATGTCTAAAATTTCTTTTTTTGAATTAGTATTCTTTGTGATGTTTATTATGGGATAACAGACCTGACTACAAGCTCTTCCTATCAGGACAAGAATTGAAGGATATTTTTAGGAGCGATAATTTTTATCTCCTCAGGATACAGTGTAAACTTTCCAAAGGAGATATTACGTTTATGCATGAGTAGGCTACAACCACATAGGATGTATAGTGGCGTTTCCTCTTCTGCTTGGCAAAATCTGCAGATTGTTGTTAAGTTAAAACATAATTTCGCCATGTACTTATAGATCATAGATCTATTGTGCTCGCCCTTTTTCAGAGTTCGCTACCTAGACCCGTCAGGGACAAGAATTGAAGGATATTCTTAGGAGCGATGGCTTTAATCTCCTCAGGATAGAGTGTAATCTTTCCAAAGGAGATATTACGTTATGCATGAGTGGGCTACAACCAGGGATGTTATGGATATGAAATTTCGGATACGGATAGGTTTCGGATATAGGAATGATTATTATACCGGATACGGATACGGATACTAAATTATTTCGGATTATCCGTTAGTTTCGGATAATTTCGGTTACGGATAACAATTTTTAGAGGAATTTCAAAAGTAAAATACAAACAGCTTATAAAATGGTTTCATAACGTGTCTTAATAGGCTCCGCCCGTATCCGATATTGTCCGAAACTTTTATTTCGGATTCGGTTACGGTTACGGACATTTTTTTATATCGGATATCCGATAGATATGGTTTTTCAGACAGCGGTCCGTGACTTTGTTGACTTTATCCATCTCCATTAAAATTAATTAAAATTTTCATTTATTGACATTTTATGGTTTACCGCCCTATCTATTTATATATAGATATGTATATATATAACAATTAGAAATTACATTATATATTATAAGTTACAATTAGAATCCGATTCAAAAACTATCAATAAACAAAATTATACGACAGTTTCGGTTACGGTGACGGATCTCCTTAACATCCCTAGCTTCAATGCATAAAGAACACTCAGTTAACTAATTTGTTACATACATATCAAATTAAACACCATAGCGAGTCACGTGATGTTGGTGGCGTCTAATTTGTTTGGCGGAGTGTAATTTGAAAAAGGAATAAAATAAAAGTACTGCTGCACCGACATATCATTTCTGAATTTCCGAATAACAGTTAGTTATTTATTTATTCATTTGCATTCCATAGTGATACAATAGTGGTTGACATATTATTATAAGAGCACCATTGACCCTGATGGGCGCAGCAAGCTACAATGAGATACAGTGTTAACAGAATTTGATTATTTTATATATTATTTTTCAAATCGGTCTGTATACATTATTACTATAGACTGACTTTATAATTTATCTGTCAAATATTCGTTGACATTATAATAACATTTTTGTATTAGTAATTTTTTAGATTATCTTTAAAAAAATTTTTTTTTATATTTTTCAAATCTTTCGGTATTTTATTATATATTTTTATCGACATTGCCATAGGACCAGATGAGTGCAAACTAAGTTTGGGGTCTGGAAGCATTAATTTGTTTTGCAATACAGAATAATTCTGTTTAATATCTACTCTTTTTTTGTATAAATCTGGGTATTTGCGAACAAATTTACATAGTTCCAATATATTGTTAGGGTTCACATCGATATTATCGAAAAATCTGATATTTTATATTAAAAGAAGGTAGTTTCATTATTACTCGGTATCGTTAAAGGCCAGCTATGGCCAACAGCATCATAGTCCGGAAAAAAAAAAAAGCCGCGGCATTCGGTCTTTGCGCACAGGATGTGCTGGTTGTATTTTAATTGCTAAATAAATTGTATTAGAGACATAGTTAAATTAATGTTATTTTATTACAATACATACTTTTACTAGTACATAGAGTTGATATATCTTACAATATAAATACATGGAAGACAGTTATAACATTACGCACCTGTGGTTTGATCTTCTCCTTTGTCTGTATCTTATCTGTGGCCTTGTTCTTGTCCGGCGCGTGTTTCCCCTCCTTCCCCCCGCCGGTTTTCGCACCACCCTTGGTGGCGCGCGAACCCAAACTCATTTTTACTTGCTATGGTTATATTTACAGCCTCTATTTACAAGCAGCTGTGGACAAACATAAAAACATCTGATTAATATTGTTATTTATTGTTAGTGCGTGTGGATGGATGGCTGTTTGTTACTCTTTCACGCAAAAACTAAGGAATGTCATCATCTGCTTCTTCCTTATCCCATTTATTTGGGGTCGGCGTAATATGTTTTTCTCTTCCATTCATCTCTGTTCGCAGTCATTCCGTTATTTACTCCCTTTCTCACCATATCATCTTTCACACAGTCCATCCATCTCTTTTTCTTCCTCTACCCCTATAACCATCCACATTCATATATAACACCGTCCTTAGGATATGATCTTCATTCCTACGCATTACATGCCCATACCACGATAGACGATTACTCTTTAATAAGGAATGTATTATAATATATATAGCTTTTACATAAAAATAACACATAGTCTATAAATATCACGCAGGTGAATGACGGGCACAGCTAGTAATAAATAATTACAAAATTTAGTAGCTAAAGTCAAAAACACAAGAATATAAGTATACTAACTAGCGCTACATGTGTTTTCACTCGCATAAAATATACAGCCTATGTGTTACTCTTGTACATAAGCTATATTATTGTACAGTTTCATCAAAATCAGTTTAGTAGTTTTTCCGTCAAAGAGTAACAAACATCCATCCATTCTAACTTTCGTGTTTATAATATTAGTAAGATAAGTTTTTGGTCTGCGGTGAGGTTAACTTAGTTTTTGAGATTGAAGGAAACAGAAACACCTAAGTTAACACTAAAGGATTTTTAACTAACTAACCGTACAGTTAGTTTTAGAGAATAAACTTTAGTATTATAATTAGTTTATGTAACAACAAAACCAGAACGCAATCCAAAGTTTTAAAACAAACAATTTTTGGTTGCGTATAAAACATTCTACAATATTGTTTCGAGAATATTCTATGACTTCTCGTAAAGTCAGCAACTGAAGGTCTACAAGTGAAGAGTGTTGGGGAATAAAATAGTGTATTAATTTTAAAACTGTTCTAAGATTAATATGTTTATTTCCGTCAAGCACTCAAATTATTGGTTACCATCTTAGAATTTAATTAATAGTGTGAATGTTAACTTTTTTTATTAAAATTAAAATGTCTATAATAAAATAGTGATAAAATATCTATCTATACATATAAATAAAATTGGAGTGTCTGTTTGTAATAATGAGTTTTTAAGAAACTAACGGATAATCCGAAATAATTTCATATCCGTATCCGGTATAATAATCATTCCTATATCTGAAACCTATCCGTATCCGAAATTTCATATCCATAACATCCCGGCAACAGAGTATGCAAGCTCAGCAATTAATAAGAAAGAAAGAGAAAGAAAGAAAGAAAGAAATATATTTTATTCAGTGCAATGTAAAAATTACTAAATACATTTTAAGTTATAATCTTACTAATTATAAACGTTCGTGAATATGGATAGATGGACGGATGTTTTTTACTCTTTCACGCAAAAACTACATAACGAATTTTAATTAAACTTTACAATAATATAACTTATACATCAGAATAACAAATAGACTATAATTTAAAAAGATATTATGAAATGAAATGGTGAAAGGGAATAATATTATGTAAATTGGGCGAAATCTTTTATATATAAAAATTACGTGTCACGTTGTCTGTCCGCGATGGACTAAACTACTGAACCGATTGCAAATTTGATTAGCACATTGTGTGCAATTTGATCCAACTTGAAAGATAGGATAGCTTACATCTCAATTTATAGTCGCAATATTATTTTATTCAAGAACCTTAGCCAAAGCAACGCGTGGCCGGCTCTGCTAGTATTATGATAAATATCAAGTGTGATGCAGGCGACGTTGCGAGGGTCAGATAGTTATTCAATATTCCTATAAAAATTAATAAAAATAAAAAAAATCTAACCTAATAAAAAAAAAATTATATGACCATAAAAAATAACGTTTTTAACGTGTCTGATTCAAATTATACGAAGTTGCTTAGAATCATATCTATAAATAATTCCATTTCTCAAGCGAGAAGGCATCGAACTTGTGACCTCGAAATAGTTTACCATTAAACTAGAAGTTCAATGTCAACAAATACAAATAATGTGGTGATGAATGTAGATCGAACTGGTTTTCACGATTTATGCAAAGTAATTGCTTTTTATTTTTAAATCCCGACTAAAAATAATATAATAATAATCTAAGGACAATTCACACAGCGCCATCTAGACCCAAGTTAAGCTAGCTAAAGCTTGTGTTATGGGTACTAGACAACTGATATAAATACATGGATGCAATTTTTACACAGCGCCACCTAGTCGGCAACTTAGCAGGGCTTTTTATACTATAGGTAATAAACAAATAAACAACTTAAATACATTTTTTTATGTAATATACATAGAAAACTACCAGACCATAACACTCATGAATAAAAAAATTTCGTCCGAGGAATCGAACCCGCGGCTATCGAAAGGAAGTTACTACACTACAAATTAATAGACCACCGAGACCGAAATTTTGCATTCACAAATTTAAGTTAAATTTATTTATTTATTGACAAACTTAATTTAATTTAAGTTAAAATCTGAATTTTTTTAAGTTGGACCACATTTATTTAAAAGAGCAACAGGCAATTTCTTGCCTCATTCTTGACACAATCTGCATTAATGAGCGATAGATTAAAAAAAATACTATTCAAAAGAGCTTATATTAAGTTTATTTGAATAAACATTATCTCTTCTTAATTGATTAACGTGTCTATCTGTGACATCATATCTCCTAAACGGATGGACTGAATTTGCGCTTAGGTTTTTTGGTGCTTTTTATTTAAAGTTGACGTCATCGAAATTATTTTTATAGTATAGGAGACAAACTAGCTTGTGGCGCATCTGATGGTAAGTGATAACCGTCAGGTTTTTTTGTTTATTTATTGAACATGTTATAAGTATAGCACAGTGATAAATTGCTTGTGGGTTAACTATACACAGCAGGCATACAGCGCTCTGTGAGTTCAATATAATAATGTTTTCAGAATGTTGTTGCGTTTGCCGCGCTTTTGTAGTGCATGCATTATCATCATCATCATCAATGTTTGCAGCAGTATCTACAGACGACCTGTATGCCATCAGACGCAAACGGATCGCCTCTTTATTGCACAGACTGCGGGGCAGCAATAACAGCATTCTAAAAATGCAGTGCAAAAAATTTGACAGCCCAATACTTTGTTTTTGGACCCAAATTGTTACGAGGGCCCTTAAATGACAATATGTAATTTTAGATATACTAACATAGGCTAAGTACAATTGTTACTAACAAATTGGATCTCTGTTATCTGAATATATAAATTTAAATAAATAATAAAATAAATAAATTAACACAATGATTAGGATATAAAGTTGGAGTCAAACAACACATCTTCAAAACAGTCAGGAATGTATTTTGTTAAATACACACCTGAATTTAATAAAATGATGCAACTGCGCTAATGGTTTACGCTGACGTGGCACCAGTGGGGGGTGACAAGATGAGCATGAAGTACTAGGATGGGGGTTTAATACGACGAGGTCAATCTAACATGGTACATTGCTAGCAATTGGGTTATTAGTCCACTTTACTGACAATCCCCTAAGCCCGTCAGTTATGTATTCCTGAGACTGAAATAAACTACTCGTCTACCCAAGACAGATGACGACCTAGACAGACGCCTGGCGAAACTGACTAGGAGAGCCGACCCCAAATGAAATCGGAAAAGGATAGAGAGAGTCAGTTATATATTCTTTACTTTTTTGTATATGGATTCAAACTCATCAATGACTGAGAGACTAGGTAGAGAGAATCAGTTATATATTCTATAATTTTTGTATATGAATTGAAACTCATCAATGACTGAGAGACTAGGTAGAGAGAGAGAGAGAGTCAGTTTTGTATTCTATACTTTTTGTATATGAATTGAAACTCATTAATGACTAAGAGGCCAGGTAGAGAGAGTCAGTTATGTATTCTATAACTATTGTATATGAATTGAAACTCATCAATGACTTAGGACTAGGTAGAGAGAGAGAGTCAGTTATGTATTCTATAACTATTGTATATGAATTGAAACTCATCAATGACTGAGAGGCTAGGTAGAAAGAGAGAGAGAGTCAGTTTTGTATTCTATACTTTTTGTATATGAATTGAAACTCATCATGGATTGAGAGAGATTCCAACATAATCTTGGTGTACGAAATTATAATGTATTGCGTAGAAAACACAATTAATTCTTTCAATAATGGACTCCTGTACATTTCCACTGTAGCGCCGTATATTTATTGAGTAAGGTTTGTATTCTAAACATTGGAGTATAAACAGCTTGAACTGGGAGCACTAATCAAATACTGAATCAAATTGGGAAAAGGGAACTGAGTATATATATATATATATATATACTAGCTGACCCTGCAAACATTGATTTGCCATACAAATTATAATCGCTATAAAAAATATGGTAAGTAAAATATGTCAGAAGTGTGAAAATTTACGGTAGTATGTATTTTTTTTTATCCCACATTTTGATAGTAGCCGATTCTCAGACCTACTGAATATGCATACGTCCTTGTGGTATTTGACGAATTTGTAAAATTATATAAACAGGCTCCAACAAAGTAAGAAGTGTCTGTTGGTAGGTGAGATATGGCAGTAACAAGATGTAGTATAGTATTACAAGGTATCTCTGATAAAATGAATAGAACACGAACTTGAGTTTCTTGTCAGTTCTCATCTCGAAATCATTCCGAACTGACGGTAGATTTGACATATCATGAGAGTCTGTAATAGACGTACATGAATAAAGATATTTTGAATTTGATACATGTTCATATTTGTTTGGGCAGAAAACAATGTACGCCAGTCGTGACTAAAATTACTCATTAATAAATCAACATCCATTACTAACTACCTAAATGTATATATAGTGATAAGAAAATAAACAAATATAGATACAATATATTAGTAACAATACAGTAAACAAGTATTTTATACTCCAAATCAACAAAACAGTCAACAAGCAGTAGTCTACATCCGGATATTTGATATCTATATATATATATATATAACTCAAAGGTGACTGACGTAGTGATCTATCAACACTCAGCCCAAACCACTGGACGGATCGAGCTGAAATTTGGCATGCAGGTAGATGTTATGACGTAGGCATCCGCTAAGAAAGAATTTTGATTAATTCTACCCCCAAAGGAATAAAATAGGGGATGAAAGTTTATATGAAACTTTGTCAATGTTAAACCGGTCGGGCTGAGACTTTGCATGCATAAAACTACTATGACGTAAGCATCTCCCAAGAAAGGATTTTGATAAATTCCACCCCTAAGGGGATAAATTAACGCGAGCGAAAGCTAGTGAAATAATATAATCTGATTTTGGTATTATCATGAAGAAATACATTGCTGCATGGTGGTCATATATTAAACCAACATATCTTAAATAAAGTAAATAAACATTCATAAAGTCTACAAGAAAATCCCAGCTACTCTAATTTAGATGCAGTGGTTGAAAATCAACTAGGATTCAGTAAATTTTAAGTTTGATTATTATTAAGTGTCTATTGTCAAAGTCTAGATATATTTACTGGCTTGTAAGCCTTTGAATAGAAACAGACAACCAAGAATATCAGATGTAGTGTAAACAGCAAAAAAAAAATGTTATCTGTGCTTAATGTTTTTTTTTAATAATATAATTTAAAAATATTTGTAATCTGCTCTCCCTCTATACAAACTTAAATAATATTCATAAACTTTTCGAAATTTTCGTAACTATTCAATTTATATATGACTAACTACATGCCCCGGCTTCACATGTATTATACACATAAACATTCAATCAATTGCTAAGAACTGCATTAAAATAAAATACATAATTTAAAAGATCTAAGGGAACAGAGAGAGGAAGTTACATCATCATCTACTTTTTCCTTATCTCATTTAATTAGGGTTGGTATGATCATATGAGTATAATATATCATATGAGTATTATATAGAGATATGGTTTGCATCATAAAACTCACAAATAATTCGGTGTTATTTAAAGCTTGTTAATGAATCATAACATTTAAATGCAAATTGTTGTTATCACCAACAAATAAATTATAATATATAGTACCTACATACTAAAAATTTTTGTACTGTATATTGGATCATAATAAAATTAGATAATTTTAAATTACAATGAAACAGTGAAGTCGCTCCTTGAAGACCCAGGAGACTTCTGCACTTTTGGGAGGAGCTTGGCTGGCTACTTTAGTAGTCTGGCTCTACATGCACAACGGCCCAAATAAGAGGCTGATTGCAGAGACTGGAGTCTAATTTACATTTACAATTACGATGAAGTCAGTTAATACAGATAAGAGGCTACGGAGAGTAGTTATAGGCTCATATTTCCTTAAACTTATCATTACATAGTATAAAACAAAGTCGCTGTCACTGTCTGTCCATACCTATGTATGCTCAAATCTTTAAAACTATGCAAAGGATTATGAAGCGGTTTTTTTAATAGATAGAGTGATTCAAGAGGAAGGTTTATATGTATAAAACATGTACACTGGTGCGAAGCCGGGGAGAGTAGCTAAGTTAAATATAAACTATTGGCCTACTCTAGCTTTACTTGTGCTCATAACATAGTGAGTTTCACATATAATAATGTATTAAATTCTCATGTAACAATGATTACAATAATAAAATTTCTTAAAGAAATTTTTATGTCATATTCAGTAGGTCTGAGAACCGGCTACTATTTTTTATACACCTAAGACATTTTATATTTTTTTTGATTTTTTGACATATTCTATATTTATGTTTTGTTTACCAATTTCATTCAACTAATTTTTTAGTTTTCTATTATTTTCTAGAATTTTCTTATAGAGTGAGAAATAAAGAAGGATGGAAAAATATAACAATTATTGTAACTTATTGAAAAAATATAACAATTTCATTCCTATTATTTTTCAATTATTTTCTCATGGAGTGGAAGGATGGAAAAATTCTGTAAATATACCAATCAATTTTTACTTTCGTTATAAAATCATATTTTACTTTTCATGTGACTATTAAAGAAGACAATATCCATTGTGCTATCTAGTATTAGTATATATACACAAGAATAGAATAGAACAGAATAGAATAGAAATAATCTTTATTCAAATAAACTTAATATAAGCATTTTTTAATATTTTTTTATTCTACCGCTCATTCAAGAATATCATTTTCATTTAAGTTTTTAAAGTAATTTTTACTTGGCATGTTAATTTTAATAAACTAATATTGTAGAACTAAATTATTTCATTGTACTCATACTATCTAACAGTATGGAGGGACTAGTATGGTTTTAAGAAAGTTTTTTTAACCATTCTAATGCTGCTGGCCACTGGTCTTTACAGCTTCACCATATAAACATTTATTACTATATGTATATTCACTATATTAATTCATTCATAATTTAAGAGCTATCCTTTATGTAATTTCCCTTAATATTTAGAGAACTTGCACTTATTTATTTTCTTAGTCAAATAACCATATATCTTAATAATATTATAAACGCATAAGTTTGTGAGTATAGATGGATGTTTGTTGCATTTCCACACAAAAACTACTGAAAGAATTTTGATGAAACTTTACAGTAATATAGCTTATTCATCAGAATAATATATAGGCTATAAGTTTCATGCAGGTGAAAACGCGAGCACAGTTAGTATTTGATATTTTTAACATCAATTCATACTGTTTGTAATTCACACAAAATCTTACAAAAATAAAGTAAAAGAGCAACAGGCAAGTTGCATTTACTATACTTAGTGAATCTGTATACCAAATGGGTGGTAGAATAAAAAAATAGCTTACATTAAGTCAACTTAAACGCAGATTACTTCTATTTCATATTTATTTATAATGATATCAAGAAATTGTATCTGTTGATACTGTATTCATTGCATATTCATTATCTACGTTGTTGGTATTAATAGTGTTTGTGCTTAAAAACCTTGAGGAAGTCCCCTATCACTGACAATTTCGCTGTAATCAGATAATATACCTCTCATTAAATAAAAGCGTCGTAAAGCTGTAAATTAGTAAACAAAACATTTGGGTGGGTCTACCAAATTTTCGTATTATTTACAACTAATACCAAAGATATAAAACTGCAAAAACTCTAAAAGTGGTCGCTGCAACGTCAAGGTTGTAGAAATACGGGAAATATTTAACAACTTTTCGACGAAACCAGGACAATGAATCATTACAGGCGTTATGGCAAGGGCAAAATGCGATTGTAAAGGATGCAAAGTGATTTCCATTGCAAGAACAAAATATTCGATGTATGCACTTTGTCACGAGATTTTAACCGGTCACGTTAATGGATTTTTGCACTTTCAATAAGAAATTTCACAGGCCAGCGGCACATGTGGGGACGCCATTCTTGAAGCACCTTTCTTGGTATCAAAATGACAGTCTTTGTTGACGAAATAATCGTGCACAACACCAAACTACACCTTATATTCACGCACATCGTAACACATTAAATAATTATGTTTGATTTTTACCTTAATTCTAACAAATATCCGATATAAAACTGATTTTTTAAATAAAATTTACGAATTTCCATACCTGTGAATGCGCTCTCAAACGCAAGCTGGTCACGTGATTTCCTAGTGTTGCAACAACATGCAGAATTTTAAAAAAAGTACAGCCATTTAGAAAAATTTTTCAATGTTTAAACTTCCTAAGAATGCAGGCACGTTCATTTACTAATATAAAATAAATACTTCCTATTTTTTTTTTTTCACTATTTACTGACAACAAAATTAGAAATACTTTACAAAATGCGGGGTCGATTTTGTTTACTGCTATTATATTCCATGGTAAAAAGTTGATTTAATTTGTTTAATAATTATTTATTTAAAAATAAAAATTGTATAAAGAGAGGTAAAATTTGTATATTTTGTTTTTTATGTTTTGTTATACAAGACAGTTGCTAAATATTTTCTAATTGGAATGCCGCCGTATACATATACATGCGGTATATTGTATATACCTAAGGCGCTTTTAACAGAATATATAGAGGCAATATCCCTATTTACTGATTACTTACTAAATTAAAAGCTCTCTGTAGAAAACTGCATGAATATTTAATTATAATTCATAGTAATGACACCGTTAACTATCCTTTTAAATTAGCTATCTGTGGATTTTTCATGTAGATAAAGAAGAAGCGTTCGCGGTAAAATTAATGTCAATACATTGTTACGAAAGATGTCAGTCAAGTCAAACAATGTGGTCAAATTATAGTATTTTACCCTTTGTTTCGGGTAAAAAAGATTATACGAAACTTACGAATACGAAATATACGAAACAGGGTGATATTGATAACTACTTCATTTTGTATTTTCAGTTATCAATTGTAATCACATTATACTTCATACTGAAATATCTGAAATTTTTACCTAGACATTAATTTAATGTTTATCTTCTATTTTGTGCATCACAAACTGATAGTTCATAGTACAAAATAGTTTATAGTTTCTAAATAATTAACGAGCATTATGTAATGTAGTGGTGTTTTAAAATCGCAGTCTTGATTATTTAATACAGATCTTAGAATAAAGTGAAAACTAGCAATAATTTCTATGTAACATATTGTATTTTACAGAAAATCGCTTACAACACCATTTAAAAAAAAAAACATTCACCAGTCAATTGAAGTCAATCAAGAAGTCAAGGGTCTCTCAGTCAGTAAAATGTACAAAGGCGGCAAATAAATACCAAGAATATTTCGATTTCGAAAACTTTAATTTCTATTGAATTTAAAATATATGTAATTTTCACTAACATATAATATCCAGAAGAAGGAAATTCGAGCTTAGTTTTCGGTAAGTATTTTAGAATATATTGAAAAATTTGTATTGTGGTGTGCAGTATCACTTTTTCTTGTTATTTATTATGTATTGTTTGTTTTTGCTGTGAAAACGTGTAACATAGTTCAGATCACCTATACTTTGTATATTTTATACAATACAAACAAGTAAGTAGGCTGCAGGCAAAAATATTTCATCTATTGGAAACTATTTTATTAGTGGTTAACATACTTTACTTTTTAGTATAGATCTAATATAACACCTATTCAATACCTCCTGTTTTGAACGTTTTACTCTCCGATAATCACGGGTGTGATTCCTCAACTGTACAAACATTTGTATTTATGAGTATGATTGTTGGATATTTACGAAATTGTCATTGTATATATATATTTACGAAAATAAAAATATGTACATATCGGTTGTCTAGTACCCATAACACAACCTCTGTATAGCTCTGTTTTTTTTATGGATGGTAATGGAAATGATGGCACCCGCCTGCGCTAACTGTTTACGCTGGTGGGGCACCAGTGGAGGATGATAAGATGAACATGAGATTAGTTAGCCCATCATGACAAATTTACCAAGAATTTATCATGATGGTTTCCAGGGGGGCCGCATGGAGGTCAAACTGACATGGTACATTGCTAGCAATAAGATCATCAATCCACATTACTAACGACCCCTTTCCTTCCTTTCTTGTCCTGAAATATTATTATTATGTTGTTATATTTATGTTATTATAGAGATGTCACTTCTTGAGGATGTCTTCCTGGAGGACGAGGCTGGTGAAGCTCAAGATTTGGAGCGTGTCATTGAGGGTGATGAGTATGATGATAGACCACAGTCAGTATACAGAGACAGTGACAGTAACAGTGAGAAAGAAGACGAAGCTGGTATGTGTGTAAATAATATATTCTTAAAACTATTAAACTCCTTTTTTCATTAGTTTTCTTGAGAGACAGCATAGGTGTGTATTTTCAATTTTTTTATATATATTTAAAATCCATTTTCTATTGTTCTTTTTATTGTCAATATGAAATATATGCCTTTACCTTCAGCGACTGTAGTTTCTCTTAAAACTAAAATTAAAATATATTAAAAATACAGTCCTTAGAAACATCAGTAATTAAAAATAGGGATTTTCAAGAAGGGTATATAAATTTCTTAAGGGTCTGCAATGCGCATGTGACTCCCTTGGTATTTCAGGCCTCCATAGGCTACGGTAACCATATGCTTGCTTGCCACCTGTATGGTATAAAATAAAAAAAAATTAATGGACAGTTTTATTTACTACTACCTGACTGCGCAACTTCATCTTTATTTCATTTTCCCACCTTTTGCAATATTTTTCATTGCAGCTCCACTCCTATTGGCCATACCACACTGTTTTATAACTTAAAGTCTTCCTTGACAGATGGACTATCCAACACAAAAATATTTTTCCAATTTGAATCAGTAGTTCCTGAGATTAGCAGGATTAAACAAACAAACAACTCTCCATCTTTATAATATTAGTAACTAGGTAGCAGCCTCTTCAAACATTGTTTTGCCCTATTAAAAATTAAAGGTTGGTGATAGAAGGGTGAAAATTTAAAATTGCATGTATTTTTAATGCCACATAATAAAAAAAATGTTAGGGGTACAACCCTTATCACTTTGGGGTATGAACAATATTATTAGTAACTGAATATATTCAGTAGGAGAATCGGAGAATATAAAATTTCAGAGGAGCCATTCTAGTCAAACCATTTCAGAGGAGTATGGTGACACAAGAATTTTATATATAAGATTCGGGTATATTGGTGTCGTAGTGTATTTGAAAGCCTCTGTGGTCTAGCAGTTAGCACACCAGTTTGTTTCCAACGTTCACAGATGCTATTCCTTCACAGTGCAAATATTACAAGTATAAATGTATATAAATATATCAAACATTTAAATACAATGTACATTGTTTATGAAAAAAAATATATTGCTTTGCGTGTTTGTATATTAGTATATACTGTAAGGACAGGACAGATAGGACAGGATGCAATATCTCACCGCATAGCCAATAGGTCGAGTCTGTCACATAGACGTTGATTACCAATGATTCATGCTGCTCGGTTCTCTATTTATATAGTGTGTTTAAATTTCAATAAAAAATATAGCCTATGTATTGTTCTGATGCATAAGCTATATTACTGTAAAGTTTCATCATAATTTGCAGCTAGTTCTTGGGTGAAAGAGTAACAAACATCCATAGTCACAAACTTTCGCGTTTATAATATGACTAGCGTTTACCTGCGGCTTCACTCTCATTGAAACCATTCAATAACTGGCTGCTAGATGGCGCAGAAGTAGCAAAATGCTGATAATTTACTTCTTTTTTTTTTTATAAAAATATTTTTTTATTTTAGTTTTATAATTTTTTAAATTTGACCACGGCGGTCTAATGGTTTATCACACCGCTTTACGTCCGATGGTCGCGGGTTCGATTCCTCGTACGGCACGAACATTTGTATTCATGAGCATGATTGTTTGTATCGGTCTGGGTATTTTCTATGTATGATATGTATGTATTTACAAAAAAAAATATCTATGTATGTGTCAGTTATCTAGTACCTATAACACAAGCTTTAGCTAGCTTAACTTGAGTCTAGATGGCGCTGTGTGAATTGTCCTGAGATTATTATTATTATTATTGTTGATTGTTTTTAATTTTAATTTTACAGTGGAAGACAGAAGGCGTGTTGATCCTACACAGAATAAAACAAAGAGGGTCATAAAGAATCCCAGGTTTCTCTTGAATCCAGCCAGGCTGACAGGTCCCAGGGGTATACAGGTCATTCCTGAACATTTTAAGGATTTTAAATTTAAAGGTAGTTATTAAGTTATATTTTATTATATTACGTACTAGCTGTTCCGCGGTTTCATAGCATATATGTTATTCTGATGCATAAGCTATATTTCTGTAAAGTTAAATCAAAATCCGTTCAGTAGTTTTCCGTTGAGTAACAAACATCCATACTTACAAAATCTCGCGTTTATAATATTACTAGCTACTCACCCCGGTTTCGCACCTTCCTCTTGAATCACTCTATCTATTAAAACCGCTTCAAAATCCGTTGTGTAGTTTTAAAGATTTAAGCATACATAGGGACGGACAGACAGCGACAGCGACTTTGTTTTATACTATGTAATGATTAAGATTATTGCATGGTTTTTAAGTATATTTGTTTTTAAGATATTGCGACCGCTACCAGTATTACGCATAATAGAAAAACACATATTAATTTTTTTTTATCTAGATTTATTTTGGAGTTTTTGTTTTTAGACATGTCAACCCCATTATTGCAAACTAATCGGAACAATTCTTAAAAATAACAAATATTAAAATAACATTCACAAACACATTAACAAATATTAAACAAACAATACAACAAAAATAGCTTTTAATCCCGGAAAAATGTTTATATTTTAGGAAAAGGGCATGAGAAAGAAGATCTGGACCTGGTTCTAAAGAAACTTGAGCACTGGGCTTATAGGTTGTACCCAAAATTTGAATTTGAGGACTGCTTGAAGAAAATTGAGATGCTCGGAAAGAAGCGGCCGGTTATGGTAAATATTATCTATACTAATATTACAAAACTGAATAGCTCATTTGTTTGTTTGAACGCACTAATCTCAGGAACTACTGGTTAGAATTGAAAAAATATTCTTGTGTAGGATAGACCATTTGTCGAGAAAGGATTTAGCTTTATAACATTACGCTACGACCAATAGAAGTGAAGCATCAGTGAAAAATGTTGCAAAATAAAAACAGGGAAAATTGAGAATATTTGAGGGCTTCCGTTGCGTGCACACAGAACACAGGCTAGTCTTTAATATAAAAAAAAACATACAACTACAACTAACTTTAACTACTATATAATAACACTATGATGAGCTAACTGACCTAATTTTCTTCCACTGATGCACCTCCAGCACAATGAAATATGTTATATAAAATACAGTTGTCTAGTACCTATAACACAAGCTCTGCTTAGCATAGGACTAGATGGCGCTGTGTGACTTGTCGTAAGATATTATTATTATACATATTTGAAGTTTGTCCAGTATGTTTACATGCAAAATGTTTTGCATATTTGTCTTTATTACATAGATAGTATAAAAAGTAGTCGCTTCCGCTGTTTGTTCGCTTCGATCTTTTAAACTACGCAACGCATTTTTAACTATACATAGAGTGATTCAAGGGGAAGGTTTAATATAAAAGGAGTATACATCCGTGCGAAGCAGGGGCGGATAGCTAGTATACTATGACAATTGTGCCACTAAAATTAAAACCATTATAAATTAAATTTCTAGGTTCATTTACACAAAATCAGATCAGACCAGTTCACCACCGAGGAGACAGTTGTCCAGAAAGATTCCAGCGATGAGGACACACCAGTGGTACAAGAGGAAGATGAGTTTGACAAACTTTTGCAGCAGCAGATAGAGTTGGCCAGATCCACTCCAGCGTCCAGTTCTGTGAAGTCTTTCAGTACTCCGAAAGTCATTGACAAGTATGTTTTGGATGTTACATATGTGTCTATTACATTACCCATCAACTTTTGCCTTATTGCCTTTTTAAAATAAGAAATAGCATATGTCCATGTCATGATATATCTTCACGCTATATTTCTTTTAAAATCAGTATCAGAAACAGATCCTAATAAAAATTTATATGAAGATTAGAAGGACCTATTTGATATAACGAGGATAAGTTTACAAAATATGTGTTATCTTTACATTCTCTCTTTGGGAGCGTCTGTACTTGAACACTTAATTAATTGAACATTTTTTGTCATTTTACAGAACACCACGAATGATGCCAAAGGCAGTATCATCACCATCAATAACAAATGAGCAGAAAGAGAGAATGCTTCAGAACAGAAGACTGGCTGAAGAAAGAAGACTTGCTAGAATACAAAATAATACTAATAAAAGTGATGGTACTATCAATACAGAGACTATAATAGTTGAAGATCATGTAAATTCAAATATAACTAAGGATCCAGATGATAATAATGAAATTGTAGTTGTAGAAAATTACTTTGCCAATGAACGAATTGCAGAAGACGAACCTAGAAGGAAGAAACATAACAGATCAAATGTAATCGATAGTTCAGATGACGAATGTGAAGAAGTAGCTGTTAATAAATCAATAACTGTTGATGTACATGAACAGAATATGGATATTGTAAGCAATAGCAAAATATGTGCTAAAGATTCTATAGATTTAACGAATAGCAATACAACAAATAACGAAGTAGATGATTATAATACAGTAACAAACAATAGTATTCATGATACTGTTGAACGTGATGATGAAACTGCTATTGCAACTGTTACAAAAGCAAAAGATAGTGGAATTACTGAAGGTAAACATAAAAAATCTATGAATATCATGAATAGTGAAGAAAATATTTCTAATTGTGATGTAACATCAGATACAGAAAAGAATGCTATGCAAATAAATACAGTAGAAAATAATGAAACATTAGAAAATGATAATATAGAAAATGAAGTAAACAAAGAAAATGATAATATAGAAAATGAAGTATCTGGAATGGATGATGATAGTAATAGTGGTATAGTTGATGAAAATTCCGTAAAACCTATTGAAGGTGATAAAATTCGAATCTCTAATGATAACTTAGACGAAGAAATAAATCAAGACAGTGAATATATAAATAGTGAAAATAATGTAAAAGAGAAATCAATTAACAATGTTAAGGAAAATGTACCTAATAATGATGTTGAAGAGTTCATGGATGTTGATTTTAGTGATGACTTCTAAACTGTTTTGTGTTTTCAAATTCAAATTCAAAAATAATTTATTCATGTAGGACCTTTTAGTCGTTATGAACATAAAATTTTTTTACATTATAATTTTAATTTATTTCCCTACCGTCCAGTTTAGTATATAGATCCAATTGAGAAGAACTGGCAAGAAAGTCAATTGAATTACTTTTTTTTAAAAGCAGGTTTATTTAAAATATATATTTATTCATATAGGTGTGTATGTCTAACATTAAATGAAAATCCAGTGCATGAACAACTATTGCCATGCACGCTCGTCATTCAAGTAATCGTTTAGTGAGTAATAGGCTTTGCTCAGTAAATATGATTTAACAGTGTTTTATATTCATCTAATATATTTGAATTTATTTAAGGGTAATTCCAATATATCCTTTGGTATCTTATTGTAAAATTTTATGAAAGAAATGTATGTATGTACCTACATTAGAAGATAATTTTTGACATTCCTACATTAAAATATAATTTTTGAAATGTATGCATACTAGTATGAAAGAAATGTAGACCTAATTAAAATATATTTTTGTAATGTATGAAAGTAATGTAAGATGTATCCCATAAAGGACCTATTGACTTTTTCTAAACGATACGATATTTTGTTATCAATATAAATAAATGTATGTTAATTATGGGATTGCAGTTTCTTTTATTTAATTAGAATGGTAAACAGTCGTCTATATACATTAAAAATGCTACAGTCATACATTGCTACTAGCTGTTACATATACTGTTGCTGTTACTGGTGATGACTATGATGTCATGCCTCTTATCCTGTATTTTTTTTATACCACGTAGGTGGCAAACAACTGCCTAATCAGTTTAGATCTTAGTAAAAATATATCTCAGTGGAGAAGTGGGGGATACTGGATAAGGTAAGTGGACTGTATATAGAAATAAGGGATGCACGAGTACCTGCGACTAGAGCGGGTATATTCTTGTACAGCTGCTGCACTCGATGAATACTAGGTTTAACACAGGCACGCACAGAATCAAAATTACTTATTTTGATGTCAATATATTATATTAATTAATTTAAAGCTGAGCGGTCGGGACGAGATGTCACCATTCGGTCTTAACCGTTAGTAGTCGGGCGACCTCGACTTTACATACTGTGAGCGGGAAAGTGATGAAGAATGAAATGGATAAAAAAATGGCGCGAACTCTCTCAGAATAATTAATACAGCGCCATCTAGTCCCACGTTTAGCATACCTTGTGATACTGGACAACAGATAAAAATTGACGACCTCGGTGGTCTAGGGGTCTAGCACACCGCTTTACGTCCGATGGTCGCGGATTCGATTGCTCGCACGCCACAAACATTTGTATTCATGAATGTTTGTTTGTATCCGTCTGGGTATTTTCTATGTATAATATGTATGTATTTACAAAAAAATATCTAGGTATTTGTATCAGTTATGTAGAATCCATAACACAAGCTTTAGCTAGCTTAACTTGGTTCTTGATGGCGCTGTGTGAATTATCCTGAGATTATTATTCTTGGTAAATTTTGTTTTCTCAGGTTTTTTTGCTGGAATTTTTACGCTTTGCGGCGTATACCACACTTACGGGCCAAAACCAGATAAGTGCAGTGTGTATGTATGTACGTGCGTGTTATTATTATATACCTAGACATACATTTTTTTAAAATAAAACAAAAAGCCACATTTCATATTTTATTTACGTGATTGCGAACAACATATCTTATCACAGTACACAATGATTCTTGTAATAACATGCTTCAGAAACTTTTATATTGACGACTTTTTGCTTTTTAAACATGACAATCTGAGAAATTAACTTTACGTAGCTTCTGTTTAATATTTAGGTTTTATTCAACTATAACAATAATAACTTAGAAATAATCATACAGCGCTATCTAGTTCTAAACTAAGCAGAGTTCATATTCCGGATACTAGATAATACAAATACTTTTTCGTAAATACATACATACATAATATACATAACAAACACCCAGATCAATACTAATACAGTCATACTCCTGAATATAAATGTTTGTACTGTGTCAGGAATCGAACCCGCGACCATCGGAAATAAGATGGTGTGCTAAATCAGGATGTACACGTTGTTTTGTTGATGTTTATTCTTATTTATTCTCTATGTCTAAGAAAACCAGTGAAATTAGTTTGTATTAAAAAGTACGATTGTTTGTATTGTTCTGGATGTTTTCCTTATATATATACCACTACTACTCATAACACAAGCAGAAGCTCAGCTTAGCTTGAGGCAAGATGGCGCTGTGTGAATTGCCCTGGGTTTATATATACATATAAATAAAATTGGAGTGTCTGTTTGTAACATTGAAATAACCGTTTTTTACTACATACTTATGAATCTAAATACGGTACATACACCATAATAACATTTATTACAATTTTTGTCTGTCTGTTTGTTCCGGCTAATCTTTGAAATGACTGGACCGATTTTGACGGGACTTTTTTTGGCAGGTAGCTGATACAATAAGGAGTAACCTAGGCTACTTTTCTTTTTTTATTTTAGAAAAATAAAGTTAAATTACACGCGGACGTAGTCGCGTGTACAGCTAAGTTTATTATATATTTAAAGTTTAAAATCTGATGTTCAACAAACAGTCGTCAATACCTAAGTTTCCTATATCAATATCCAAAACTTATAATTATAACAAAATGCAGGTGATCTTTGTATGACGTTTCATTTTGTATTTAAATTAATTTGTAATTAAACATAACCAAACGGTTATTTTTTAAATTTAAACAACTGTTATAAATTAACCCCTTAATCATAAAACGTTAAACGTTTATTAAAGCTACTTTACAACTATTTAATTTAGGTATTAACGAGCTAAAATTTAATTACAAACTGACAAACAATTACTAAAATATGTTCATTGGAGATTTTAGTTTTATATGAAAACATTTTTTTAAAATACATTTTTACGTAATTTTTTTTTATTTAACATTCCATTCCAACCTTGTACTCTAAAGTCGAGATTAAAAAAAAAGAATGGCTACTATCGAATATTATTAGATTGGTAGATATTGACTTCCAGAGAAGAATGTCCTATATATTTCCTTACTTAATAGTAATGATTACACCAATTTAGTTTCTGCACTATAAAGTCACTCAAAACTTCAAAATAAATATGCAACAAGAACCAATAATAGTACACAGAATTGAAACCAAAATGATATTTAGGGATGTCTTCTATCTCGCTTGCACTCGCATCGGAGCAGCTTAGAAACAATGAAATAAAGATATTATTAAAAAATTATAATAATCTGTGACAAATGGAGAAAAAATTTGTCTGATTAATCTATAGGAAATTTATTGGTAACAATTATATGTTTAACACTTAACTAAATAAAAAAAAATAAGAAAAGAAAAAAAAGTAAAAAAAAACCTAATAGTACATATAAGTCTGTCACATTTTACTTTAATGGAGTTACTAATAAGTTAGAAGATCCAATGTGCAAAGATAATTTGACATTTCGATGATAGATACTTTTTGTTTTTTTTTTTTATCATTATAGGAAAGGCAAAGAGTCTAAGCCCATACAGCCAGATGGTCGTCACTACTTATTTTAGGCATTGTCATTTGTATCTTACGGTAATAAATAATTCTTTTTGTAAATCCACCAATCGGAACGGGTGTCGCATTTAGACAACCTGACGGGCGACCAATCGTCTAAGGCTACATATAATACGGTTCAGTTAATATTTTAATCATGTATCTGTAGATTTAGTTATGATTCTTGAAGTCAATGTAAGAATAACTATATGGTTTCTAAACTTGTTGATATTAAAACACACTTTTACTCAATTAGAGTCGCAAATTTAAACTAATTCAACGACCTTGTTGTTGTTTTAATAATTTATCTTATTTTTTTCCCTTTGGAGGATGTTTTTAGTAAACCATATATATTACACTATGAGCTAGGTGAAGGTACAGGTGCATAGAAATAGTCTTTGTTTAAATAAACTTATAAGCACATTTCTATAGTTATATTTATTCTACCACTCATTCGGAAAGCAGACTCGTCACAAGATATTTTGCGTTTGTAGTAGTCTACGGTCAGTAAATAAATACACAAATACTTTATATATATGATTTCTTATTTTTATATGTAGGTTTTGATTATTGCACATGCTAAATTTAATTTTTTATAGTGCATTTCTTCAACTCCAGTTATCAAGAAAAAAATGACACTACTTACAAGGTCATGCGATAAACACATACGTTAGTGTGACGCACATGTTTACTTGTTCAATCTGGTTTATTCCAGTTTTAGTGCCCATCTGTATAACCATGTTGACTAGTTCAAACTGGTTTATTCCGGTTTTAGTGCCCATCTGTATAACCATGTTGACTAGTTCAAACTGGTTTATTCCGGTTTTAGTGCCCATCTGTCTAACCATGTTGACTAGTTTTAACTGGTTTATACCGGTTTTACTGACTATTATAACACTACTACAAACGTAAAAACGTCTTTAGTCGATAAGCCTGTACAATCACCTTGATTTCAGTGTTTCTTGTCACAATTTTAGCGGATATATTATATTTACTACTTAACTGCATTACATTAAATTATATATAGTGGATACAGTATCAAGTTATATATAATTAATTCAAAACTCACCAAGCTCAACTTACGCTATATTAAAACTAAGGAGCCGTTCCAGTATTACGTAAGCAGATTTATTAAAATTATTTACCCCCCCCCCCCCCCACCCCAAGTCAGCAAAAGTAAGTAAAGTCCTTACCTCTGGAGGGGAGGTCCCATGCTTACGTAAACATTTTTTAATTAATGTATTGTTTTTTTAGCAAAGACAATGTGAGGGTTGCCATTCGTGTAAAAAAGTAAATGACTACCGATGACGTAATCATCATTTAGACTCCCCCACCCCCCATCATCCAAAATAAGCAAAACAAAGTTCTCCCGTCCGCTTATGATGTTTACGTAATACTTGAACGGCCCCTAACTACAATATAAGTAATACACGACCAAACAACTGGACATGTTGAATAAAACATGAAAGTACGGATTTCAAAACGGCAATATATAATTTAATATCTTTTGAGAATTCAATGACCTACTACTGATATTGCTCTGTTTGTGTGCGCTGATAAAAGCAATTTAATAAATAGATCCCTGGACAAATCACAAAAATAAACTATAATACATTGTCTATATCTAAATTAATATACAATTAGTATTTGGTTTGACGTCAGTACGAATGTATAATTTAGAGATAAAAATTTCATAACATTGAACTGTTAATGATATAACAGTTTCCAATTATGACGCTAGATGGCGTTAGTAAACGATTTAAATGGCGTTGTTAAGATTTTTTTGTAATATTATATAATCAAACGGAATTTTTGTTCTATTCAGTTCCGTTCAGTTCTGTTCAGTTCTGTTCAGTTCTGTTCAGTTCTGTTCAGTTCTGTTCAGTTCTGTTCAGTTCTGTTTTGTACAAGTCAATATTGCTATAGCCTCGATCTAGTGTTGTGAATACGCAGATGCTCAGACAATGATACAATTTCGAAGCACAACTCTATTCTAATCAACCAATATGTTTTTGGTTGAAAAATAACATTTTTTATAATTTTGATATTACATGACTTTCACGTCAACAACCCCAAATAGAATAACAGTCGAGGACGTGCTAGAATTATTATAATTTAATTCAATACAAAATATATGTATTATTTATTGAAAGTTAAAATATTTTTGAAAGAAATTATGTCATAACTTTTAATAATAAACAATAAATAATGCACTGGGCACAATTCTGACATAATATAAAAGACATTTGTAATCTAAACAATTTTCTAACAAAAATATCATTCAAATATAGATTAATCACCACACAGAGCCATTTATTTCTAAACGAGGCAGAACTATTACAGATTTTATTTTGTAAATACACAAAATACGCTGTGATTAATACAAATATGATTATAAATTCAAATATTTGTATTGAAGTGAAGAGTTTATTTATACATTCAAATATTTGTATTTAAGTGAAGGGTTTATTTTATGTACAATAGTTAATATTAAGATTTATAACCTATAGTTTTGTTCACACTTGCCATAAACTCGAATATCAGTGGGAATTTAAACGATACTTTTAATTATTTAATTTACAACACCGTATATATATTCTACCTTTCATTTTCAATATTAACTAAGCTATATACACACACCGATGTATAACAATAAATAATATATATTTTAAAAGATCATCCATATTTTGTAGAAGTTTTTATACATCTTTGTATTCAGTTCAAGTAATAACTTTGTCACATTATCAACGTTTAGCAAGGGCTGCATGTTTAATAAACATAACTAGTGGTCACTCAGTGGTCGAAATTGACCATAACACACTTAAATTATAAGTTTGATCATTATTGAGGTTTTATAGTCAAAGACCATAGACCATATACACTTCTATACGTGTATGTATCAAATACATGGTAGTATGTTTTTTTATTTTAATAAGGAAATCTTGCCAGTTGTTCTCAATTGAATCTGTACCGAACTGAACGGTAGGGAAAATGTTATAACATAAGAAAACTGACGTTAATAATCGGCTAATCCTACATGAATAAATGATTTTTGTATTTGAATTTGATTTATTTCATTTAATTTAAACGTATGCAATAATAAATTGTATTACGTTTCGACTTGTAAAATGTGAACTTACAAGGATTGTTTAAAAGAGCAACACACAAGTTTCTTGCTTATTCTTCTTGTGATGAGACAGCTTTCCGAATAAGCGGTAGATTTAAAAAAATGTTGACTATTCAAAAGTGCTTAAATTAAGTTTATTTGAATAAATGATTTTCTATTCTATTCTATTCTAACAAAAAAATACATATTTTGGAAATAGGACCTTAAAGCAAAACTTTATAGTCGATTTTAAAATTTGTATATTTTGCCTTAAAACCCTTTATTATTCACACGCTAACAATGCCAGCTTGACAGTATATGAACTATTTGATACTTGTACAGTTTACAACCGTTATAAGAAGAACAAGCGAGATTCTTGCCACTTTTTTCATCATTGCCTTGCCTATATCGTATAATTTGGAAAAGTTTCTTTTCATAAAAAAAAATTATGAACTGGACAGAAATAAAACAAAAAAAACATCATACATGTCTTGTATGAATCTACATGAATTCATACCTAATTGTACATTTGACAATTACTGTCCATTTCAAAATATCTTTATTCATGTAGATCTATTACAGACTCTTATGATATGTCTGTGTATGACTGTGTATTATTATAAACATGTTCCACTATTATTTGAAAAAAATACGAGCCGAGTTTCTTGTCAGTTCTTCTCATCTCGATATCATTCCGAACTGACGGTAGATTTGACATATCATAAGAGTCTGTAATAGACCTACATGAATAAAGATATTTTGAATTTGAATTTGTCAAATCTACCGTCAGTTCGGAGTGATTCCAAGTTGAGAAGTACTGACAAGAAACTCATCTCTTATTATTTTGAAATGAGCTTGTACATTTACAAAAATACAGATTCACTTAAGGAGAGAGGGACCACCAGCATATGCTACTGTAATTTTATCAAGTCGTAATACACAGTAAAATCTGAATTAACAACTGTTACATAATAATACTCCTATCACCAATGTGGCAAAGCCTTAAAAAGACAAAGTCTGCACTTCAAACTGAACTGGGCTTTTTTTAAACCTACTTTTAATTTGTATCCGGTATCAGCGACGCGAAGAACGAGGTAAATATCATCCAAGTCACGGCTAGTAACGACTGATTACCATTGTCTGGTACAGGTGCCGCCTGCGGTGGAGTCGCGGGGGCAGCTCCTGCCTGAGGGGGCTCCCCTGCTGCTCCCTGAGGGGGTTCTACTACCGCCTCTTGTGGGGGAGCCTCCGCAGCCCCCTGCACGGGAGCCCCTTCCTCCTGGGGAGGGGTGTCAGCTCGATTGGCTGGTACCGGCTCGTTGCGGCGGTTTTCGGCTTGGTTGAGGTACAGATCTCGGAAGAAGCCGATTTGGTGGCTGGAAATTAATAAATTTGGTCTTAATATTATGTAATTCTTTATTAGAATACGAAATTAGAAGTGTTATATGTATACTAGTGAATTGTCCCGGCTTCGCACGGATGCATTACAATGATTGAATTTCTTAGATTGTTATATACTATAATACGGACGTATTATACATATAAACGTTCCTCTTGAATCACTCTATCTATTGCTGACAACTGCATTAAAAATCGTTGCGTAATTTAAAAGATATAAGCGATCAGACAACGGCAGCGAATTTTTTACTATGTATGGACTATTATATTGTGAACAGTGTGATATTAGAATATATCTAGGTAGATTAATTATAATAATAATAATATCTTAGGACAACTTACACAGCGCCATCTAGTCCCAAGCTAAGCAGAGCTTGTGTTATAGGTACTAGATAACTGATACAAATACATAGATTTTTCTTTTGTAAATATATACATATTATACATAGAAAATACCCAGACCGATACAAACAATCATACTTATGAATACAAATGCTTGTACCGTGCGAGGAATCGAACCCACGACCATCGGATAGTAAAGCGGTGTATTAAACCACTGGACCGGAGAGTCTGTAATTAATAAATTAATTATAGGTATAACTGTTTATTGTTTACTTTATATATGTCAGAACTTTTGTCTGTCATTATATGCCGTTAGTAACATCTATTTTATTCCTCTACGCTACAGAACATTCTAGAATTTCTCAAGTATACTCACAGATATCCAGCGGCTGCCAATAGCAAAACCAGTAGCAACCTGGCCGGGCTACCATACAGGTATACCAGGGAGAAGAGTATCGCCAGTCGGGAGGCTGCGTACAAGTTGTCCAGCCAGTCGCGAGCCGCCAGCGCGTCCTCGGGCTCCTCTTGCGGCTGAGGGTGCTGCGGGGGCTGGGGGTGTTGCGGGGGCTGCGGGGGTGCTTCGGGGACTGGCGCCGGTGGGACTGCCTGGGTGGCTTGCCACCTGTCGAATTTAACATTATACTCGTGACCGGGTGCTGCTTGTGGGGACTGGTCTGTTCGGGTTACAAACACTGATTAGACTATTTGCTTTTGCAATAGCATATGCTGGTGGTCACTCTACTCTCACAAATTTGAATTTAAAAATGAATCTGTATTATTGTAAACATGTACAACATTTATTTGAAAAGAATACGAGCTGAGTTTCTTATCAGTTCTTCTCATCTCGAAATCATTCCGAACTGACGGTAGATTTGACATATCATAAGAGTTTGTAATATACCTACATGAATAAAGATATTTTTAATTTTAACTTCTTAATTTTGGACAACTCTGATGGTCTAGCGGGTTAGCACCGCTTATTTTCGGTGGTCGCGGGTTCGATTCCTCGCACGGGACAAAGATTTGTATTTAGGAGCATGATTGTTCGTATCAGCCGGGTGTTTGATGTTTATATTATGTATTTATACCAGTTGACTAGTACTTAATACGAGCTCTGCTTAGCTTGGGACTAGATGGCGCTGTGTGAGTTGTACTGTGATATATTATTATTATTATGAACTAGCTGTTCCCGCGACTTCGTCCGCGTGGAATTTAGCTTTTATTTTCTAAAATAAAAGTAGCCAAGTCACTCCTTTTTTTTTTCGGACTACTCTGATGCTGTTGTTCGCAGCTGGCCTTTACAGCTTCACCGGACGTTATGGGGCGAGTGCAGATGGCACTCCAAACCAAGGAAGGACTTATGAAGCGGCTGAAGACCAACTCCTGCCTGACGGATACAACTTTAATCTGAGGGCACCACTAGGGGTTCAAATCTCGGCTCAGGCCGTCGTATATCGATCCCCGTGTGAATAGACGGGGGGATCGATCGGAGGGGGTTAGCATTCTACCGCGACTTCGACGGCGTTGTAGATATAGGGCAGGCCCTACCTCGTTGTTGGGGCGACCCATTCGCCCTACTCAATTGTGGAAGCGTGTACCCGCGCACAATAAAGTATTTATTATGCATAAGTGAAAAAATATTATCATTTTGCAATTCTCTATAAAAACTATAAGTGTGCGAAATTTCATACTCCACTCCATCATACGCGAAATTTTCGTAATAAGAATTACAAAGTTTTTGCTTCACATATATACATACATACATTTAATATAAATATACTAATTCCAACAATGCCGTTTGAATGACTCTGTCATTATCGTGGGGTGACATCATTTCATTCTCATAAAACATCTGTATAAATGCTTACATTATATTCATATATAGCTTATCTAGGTTTACTTGCGACCCGAGAATAGTAGCTACTTTGCCCAGAAGGTAAATGGCCATTCACAGAGCGTACCATATTTATATTCATATGCATGTAGTAAAAAACGGTTATTTCAATATTACAAACAGACACTCCAACTTTATTTATATGTATAGACCAGCTGTTCCCGCGACTTCGCCCGCGTGGAATTTAACTTTATTTTTCTAAAATAAAAGTAGCCAAGTTATTCCTTATTACATCAGCTACCTGCCAAAAAAAGTTCCGTCAAAATCGGTCCAGCCATTTCAGAGATTAGCCAGAACAAACGGACCGACAGACAAACAGACAAAAATTATAACAAATGTTATTTTGGTATATGTACCGTATATACATTCATATGCATGTAGTAAAAAGCGGTTATTTCAATATTACAAACAGACACTATTTAAAGGTATTTATGTATAGGTTACAGTTACTTTTCAATACTCAATGAATGACATCTGAATCCACTTAAGCGTTATCAAGCGGAGATAAACAGGAAACAAGTTGTTTCATGATAGCAAAAAATGTACATTAAAAAAAAGGCATTGCAATTAGATAAATCAGTAGAGTGGCCTTGTGACGTTTTATCTACTAATCGCCTACATTATCAAAGCCCTGTCGGGGAGTTGTATTTTTTTATATATGATAATGATGATGATGATGATGATGATGATGATGATGATGATGATGATGATGATGATGATGATGATGATCATGATCATGATGAGGTATGAAACTCTTTATTGAGAGATATCATCAGCATATTAGTAAGTGTACCTTTGTACAAATGTACACCTTTTTAAGAAAAATCTTACCTTTTTTGCGCAGACGGATTATGTAATTTCGTACACTTATAAGTTTATATAGAGAAAAAGTGCAGAATGATATTTTTTTAAATCTATATATATCTCAAATATATATAACTCAATGGTGACTGACATGTGACAATGATCTATCAACGCACAGCCCAAACCACTGGACGGATCGGGCTGAAATTTGGCATGCAGGTAGATGTTATGACGTAGGCATCCGCTAAGAAAGGATTTTGATTAATTCTACCCCCAAGGAGATAAAATAGGGGATGAAAGTTTGTATAAAACTTTATCAATTTTAAACCGATAGGGCTGAGACTTTGCATGCATAAAGCAACTTACTTACTTACATAGTCACACCCTAAGAAAGGATTTTGATAAATTCCACCCCCTAAGGGGATTAACGTGAGCCAAGCCATGGGCAAAAGCTAGTTATGCATAAAAATACATTACACACACGACCATGCATACAATACATACACGAATATATATTATTTTGTTTGATTGTTATTGCTGGTCCAAAGACATTTTGTATCTTTTATTACGATCGAATTTTCATTCGTAATGGATAAATATACTAAGGCAGACTTTATACAAAGTCGTTTGACGTATTTCATCCCCAAATATCTTGCTTTGTAACAGCATCTTGCTGTCGGCTTTTGTACATAAAAACTTTTATTATAAAAAACACTGACTAAACTAAAATTGCTATTATTCTAGTCATATTAAACAAGAAAATACAAGATAAGGAACCATCTATAAATTACGTCACACTTTGATGAGTTGATAAAGTGTGACATAGTGTGACAAGGAGACCCTAAATTGTGACGTCACTTTTCAAAATGTAATATACCGTTAAAATGTTTGTTTGCAATGGATAAATATACAAAGGCAGACTTTATACAAAGTCGTCTGACCTATTTCGTTCCCTAACAGCTTGCTTTGTAATAGCATTTTGCTGTCAGTATGTTGGCTTTTCAAGTATCATAACACAACTGACTAAACTAAAATTGTTAGTATTCTAGTCAGATAAAAAAGAGACCATCCATAAATTACGTTACACTTTAATAAGTTGACAAAGTGTGACATAGTGTGACAAGAATGTGACCCTAAATTGTGACGTCACATTTCAAAATTTTCGTATATTCCCCGTATTTGTCACAGTTGGCAAAATTGTTGACAAACTGTGACAAACACGGGTGAAGAGTAAAGTCACGAAAATCATGACACGTGCTTTATTGACCCCAAACTTTACTTACATGTTGGCATACTGTTGCATATACTGCACATACGCCTGCTGCATCATCATCATGTGGTTAGCGAGCGACGCCGGGTCATTAGGCACTGGTAGGTACTCCCCAAAGTTGTAATTAGGGTACGGGGGCACTCTACCATAATTATTTACAAACGAACTGAGGTAGTTCTGCATCTCAACCGTGTGATTCTGGTCGTTCTGCCTTGTCTCTGGTCGGGGCACAGTCTCCACTGGTCTTTCTGTGTTCTCTCTAGTCTCTGGCACGATCCTGCGCCTTATACCTTCGGTGCTTTGTCCTGGCTGTTCAGGTTCTGTCATTTTTCTTTTTGGTGTGCACACCAAGTGCATAGTATGAGCTATCTGGCTCTCATACGTTCGGAGTACGTCCTTCAGTACCGTTTTGTCTTCTAGCAGTTGGCCTGAGTATATAATCTTTTGTTCATCTGTTCTCTGCAAATTTAAAACAAACATTGTTAGAGAAATCATTATATTTCATGTATTAGTAACAATTATATCACTCTTTGAACATTTCTTCAATACTCGTGAACGAGTGTAGCTTGTAGAGATTGGTCTGCTCTAATCACTGCGACTGATTTAATCCTATTGTGTATTTAATATTTGACACCAATAAATTAGTGCTAGTTGGTAATTTGTATTCACACGTTTGAAGTACGACTTAAAAAAGTGAACTTACAACGACTATTTAAAAGAGCAACACGCAAGTTTCTTGCTCATTCTTCTTGTGATGAGACAGCTATCCGAATCAGCGGTAGATTAAAAAAATGTGAAGAACATTCAAAAATGCTTAAATTAAGTTTATTTGAGTAAAGGATTTTAATGTTTCTATTCTTGCAAAATTTCTAAATAATAATATCCTTGGACAATTAACACAGCGCCATCTAGTCCTAAGGTAAGTAGAGCTTGTGATACAAGTACTAAACAACTGATATAAATACATGCATAATATACATAGAGTGCTCCCAGACTAATACAAATCATATACGAGTATGATTTCGAGGGGGAACCGCATGAAGGTCAATCTGTACATTGCTAACAATGGGTTCAACAGTCCATTACTACAGCTCTACATTACAAACAATCCTCTTACCCTTGTAGTAGACATTTTTTTTATTGGATGATAAAGGATTTTTTTTATGGATGATAATGGAATATTGAGCGTCCGCCTGCGCTAACGGAGCTTACGCTGGCGGAGCACCAGTGGAGGATGATAAGATGAGCATGAGGTCAGGTCAGTTAGCCCATCTTGACAAATTCACCAGGAAATTGTCACGAGTTTCCAGGGGGAACCCCGTGGAGGTCAAGCTGACATGGTACATTTGCTAGCAATAGAATAGAAAAAAGAATAGAAAGTCATTTATTCAAATAAACTTACATTGAAGCACTTTTGAATAGTCATTACATTTTTTTTCGTTCGGAATCTCATCACAAGAAGAACGAGCAAGAAACTCGTCAATTTTTATTATTACTTTACATTTTTAAGTTTAAGTGTGTGAATACAAACCACCAATTAGCTTGAATTCAATAAAATACTCAAATAGAAAAAATATGGAAAATATAACCAACTGGTTAAACAATTAATAAGAGGAAATCAGTCATAGTGATTAGAGCAGACCAGTCCCTACAAGCAGCATCCGTTCACAAGTATGACGGATGAGCCAGCCATCACTGCGCTCGACCATATTTTAGGGAGCCCAATGACCCGGCCCACCACGACGCCACAAGTCTGGACATTTTAGTGAGCATGACTACTCAAAACACTAGACCACGTCAAAGCTACTTACAATGGGGTCATGAGTCCACATTACTAACAATCCCCTCGCCCCAATAATGGAATGTTGCACCCGCCTGCGCTAACGGTATACGATTGCGGGGCACCAGTGGAGGATGATAAGATGAACATAAGGTCAGGTCAGTTAGCCCATCTTGACAAATTCACCAGGAATCATGATACTTTCCAGGTGTGTGTGAAGATCAACCTGATGTGTTTTTTTTTATTGAGGGTTTTGGGCCATTGTCAGATACTTAGACCTGTAGCACTGCGACCTACGTAGATCTATTGTGCTCGCCCTTTATCAAAGTTCGCTACCTAGACCCGTCAGGGACAAGAATTGAAGGATATTCTTAGGATCGATGGTTTTTATCTCCTCAGGATATAGTGTATACTTTTCAAAGGAGATATTTCGTTTATGCATGAGTGGGCTACAATGACATGGGATATGCAGTGGAGTTTCTTCTTCTACTTGGTATGGTATATCGTTAGAAATAGGATCAAGTATACATTATTAACAATCCTCTTCCTACCTGTAGTAGACCATTGTGCAGGATAATGATTCATGAAAGCAGCTAACAATCAGTACATATTATATATAAAATTCTCGTGTCACAGTTTTCGTTCCCATACTCCTTCGAAAGGGCTTGACCGATTCTCATGAAATTTTGTGAGCGTATTGAGTAGGTCTGAGAATCGGCCAACATCTATTTTTAATCCCCCTTAATTTTTCAGTCCACCCCTAAATTTTTATTTTTTATTTTAAGGCAAAATTTTTAATTTCTCTTTTTTTATGATACAATATACAAAAATACATACAATCCTAAATTTTCACCCTTCTATCATCAACCCCTATTTTTTTATAGCGTTATTAATTTATATGGCAAAACAACGTTTGCCGGGACAGCTAGTCTTATATGTAAAAAAAAATTCTCTAGTCACAATGTTAGTTACCATACTCCTCCGAAACGGCTTCACAGATTTTTATGAAACTTTATATGCATATTCAGTAGGTCTGAGAATCGGTTACTATCTATTTTTCATACGCCTAAGTGATTATCCACCCCTAACATTTATTTTTATTTTATGGACAATTTGTTTTCAACAAGAAAATACATACAAACCCTATAAACAAACATAGAAGGGTGAAAATTTATCACCCTTCTATCACCAACCACTATTATTTAAAAGCATAAGTACTTAAATTTATATGGCAAAACAACGCTACGCTATCAAAATGCCGGGACAGCTAGTTATTTAATACTAGCTTTTGCCCGCGGATTCGCTCGCGTTAATTTATCCCCTTAGGGGTGGAATTTATCAAAATCCTTTCTTAGGGGATGCCTACGTCATAGTAGATTTATGCATGCAAAGTTTTCCCGATCAGTTTAAAATTGACAAAGTTTCATACAAACTTTCATTCCCTATTTTATCTCCTTGGGGGTAGAATTAATCAAAATCCTTTCTTAGCAGATACCTACGTCATAACATCTACCTGCATGCCAAATTTCAGCCCGATCCGTCCAGTGGTTTGGGCTGTGCGTTGATTGATCACTACGTCAGTCACCTTTGAGTTATATATATTTAGATTACTCAGTATATAACGATACTAGGTCAACATAAGTAAACTAAACTGTCTTATCTTCCGTTTCACATTGAACTATGTTTTCTTAACACTGACAATGTGTGTACTAAATATTAAAATTATACACATAATAAAAAACTAATCGTTGTCTACATGAAAGATAGAAATAATCTATATTCAAATAAACTTAACATTTTTTCAAACATAAGCACTTTTGAATAGTCATATTTTGTTGATTCTGCCACTAATTCGGAACGCAGACTCATCACAAGAACGAGAGAGAAAACTGCGTGTTGTTCTTTTAATTAAATGTTGTTCAAAATTACTATTTTAGAATTTTCTGTGAATATCTTTATCGCTGTCTGTCCCTATGTATGCTTAAATCTTTAACCTACATAGCGGATTTTGAAGGGTTTTTTGTTGATTCTAGAGGTTCTACCCTATTTCTTGTCGATATAATACCAGTTCATCTAAATAAAACCGGTTTTTTTGGAAATACTTTTATTTAGTTAACACGATATTTCAACTTTTGCGATGGATTACTTTTTGTACTTATATATATAATACATATACACCCGTGCGAAGCCGGGGCGAGTAGCTAACGAGTAGTAACTAGTAATAATAGATAAATTAGAAAAAACTGTTATTATGAGACTATCAACGTAATATAACACAAAGCTGTGATAGTTCGAATTTAGGATGTTCATCATGATAATTTCCTGATGAATTTCCCACGATGGGCTAACTGACCTGACCTCATGATCATCTTATCATCCTCTACTGGTGCCCCGTAAACGTAAACCGTTGACGAAGGCGCGCGCACCAGCGCGCGTGGAATTTAGCTTTAGTTTTCTAAAATAAAAGTAGCTTAAGTTACTCCTTATTACATCAGCTACTTGCCAAAAAAAGTCCCGTTCAAATCGGTCCAGCCATTTCTGAGATTAGCCGGAACAAACAGACCGACAGACAGAGAGACAAAAAATGTTACTTTGGTGTATGTACCGTATTTATAATCATATGCATGTAGTAAAAAACGGTTATTTCAATATTACAAACAGACACTCCAATTTTATTTATATATGTATAGATTTGAAAAAAAAAACCACACATCCGGTTGCAAACCTTTTAACTAACTAACTACATTTGTTATCAAAACCCACATACCTATTATTCCACATGTGGAGTACATTAAAATTCTCATAATTAACATTGTACACATAGCTTCAATTTCATGTAGTACTAGCTGTTCCCGCGACTACGTCCGCGTGGAATTTAACTTTATTTTCTATAATAAAAGTAGCCTAAGTTATACCTTATTACATAAGCTACCTCCAAAAAAAGTCCCGTCAAAAGTCATTTCAGAGATCAGCAGGAACAAACAGACAGACAGAAAAATTATGTATATATATGTATAGATTATTTGCACCGCCAACAACTTATCTCTGCACAACTCATGGTTGCCTGGTACAAAATGCCATTAGGTGTTAAGTCCGCAATATGTACTTTTTACTTATGTATGACGTATTTTTTAAATAAATAAAATAAAAAAAATAGGAGTTGATGATATTCTAATGCTGTTGGTCATTTGGCCTATACAGCTTCGCTGAACGATAGGGGGCGAGTGCAGATGGCACTCCAAACACGCGGAAGGACTTACGGAGCACTTAGAAATAGTGCACCAGCCAACACTGGTTTACGCTTGCAGGGCACCAGTTAGCTATTCAGACAGTGGTAAATTCACCATGAATTTATCACGATGATTTCCAGAGGAACCATGTGGAGGTCAACCTGACATGGTATATACAAAAATCAAAATCAAAATATCTTCATTCATGTAGGTCTATTACAGATTCTTATGATATGTCAAATTTAATGTCAGCTCGGAATGATTTCGAGATGAGAAGAACTGAAAAGAAAATCAGCTCGTATTCTTTTCAAATATGTTGTACATGTTTACAATAATAATTGCTGGCAATGAATCCACATTACTAAAAATTTCCCCAGATTCGATTGTCAAAGTGAACCCTAAACCTTATCAGTTTCTCAATAAAATTTCAATTGGCAACAATTATTTCTTACCATAACAAACTGTTGATTAACTAACTACATAATGTACTGACACCAAAAAAGGTCTGATATTTTTTTCAAGGACCATTGACACAGCGGCACCAAGCTAAGCAGAGCTTGTATTATGGGTATAGACAACTGATATAAATACTTAGATACATTTTTTTGTAACACATGTATGCATAATATAGAAACGAACCTGTAACTATAAGAATTCAAGTGGCCTTAGCTTTAAAAAAGTAAAGATCGCATTAATATACAATCTCAGAAAGTTACCTAGTAATGGGAACAAGAGGCCCCAATGTCAGACTGCATAGTCCTTGAAGGATGTAATGTGATGTAATGTCCTTAACTATAATATACTGAACCCGAACGAAGTTTACTAAGTAAACTAAAATAAGCCACAGCTACAAATTACACTGTCTCTCAAACCATGACATTAGCAAAATCACCGATCAAAATTAGTGGCGGCCATTTAAAATAAAGAAGAAGGATGTAATATGATAATTATTAAACATTCTTCAAGGCCTATGGAACTTAACTTCATCCTCACCTTATTATCATTGATGCATCACCAGCATATACAATATTAAAACCTGATTATGGGGGTTTTTAGGGCAAAATATACATGTACTAGCTGTTGGCAAACGTTCTGCCTTAAAATAAAAAATAATAATTTAGAGGTGGACTACCCCTAACATTTAGGGAGATGAAAAATAGATGTTGGCCAATTCTCAGACCTACTCAATACGCTCACAAAATTTTATGAGAATCGGTCAAGCCGTTTCGGAGGAGTATGGGAACGAAAACTGTGACAGGAGAATTTTATATATAAGATGTATATATATGAAGTCTTTACATGCAGACATACTGGATCTGACATGGTATTGATAGGTACAGAGACAGTAATCCTTAATAATAACAACCCCATTCTCTCAGACTGAATATGATTGAGGTAAGATCATAATTTTAAAAGAAAGTTACTTTCACATCAATGATATAGTAAATAAGCTGATATTCAAATTCAAAAATAATTTATTCATGTAGGACATTTTAGCTGCTTATGAACGTCAAATATTTACATTCTAATTTTTTTTTACCGTCCTACTACGTCCGTACTACCTACCGTCCATTCGGTATATAGATCCAATTGAGAAGAACTGGCAAGAAACTCAATTGAATTACTTTTTTTTTAAAGCCAGTTTATTTACAATGTATATTTATATAGGTGTCTATGTCTAACATTAAATGATTCAGTGCATGAACAACTATTGCCATCAAGTAATCCTTTAGTGAGTAATAGGCTTTGCTCAGTATGATTTAAGAGATGTTTTGAATTTATTTAAGGGTAATTCCAACATATCCTTTGGTACCTTATTGTAAATTTTTATACCTATTCCCATAAAAGACCTATTAACTTTTTCTAAACGATACTTGGGGACAGCAAGTTTCTCTTTAAATCTAGTATTAATATTATGAATATTGGTATGGAATATGATATGGTAAATAATAACTGTCAGCTAAACACATGAGCAGCACTATAAATCACTTTATCATGTGACACTCATTACACCACTTATACATTGCTATGTCATGCCTCCTATCCTGTAATTTCACTGCCTTATCTTCAACTGATACACATCTTATAAAGCAAGCTGTTTGGCAGTTGAGAATGGTGCTTGTAGTTTGATCGCCAAACAGTTAAGGCTAGGCTTTGGAGCTATATTGGAGCTTTATTAATTGCTTGATGATGCCTTGATCTGAGGTGAACAAGGCATCAGGAAGCAATTAGTCGTGTCTGTCGCAATATGGGTGTAGATTCAATAAGTTTAATCATCAATAGAGGTTATAATTCTTCCAGTAGCAGTGGTCAGATTTCCACACTGAATATTTGTTTACTCACATGGTTCCCCCTAGAAACTATTGTGAAAAATTCATGGTGAATTTACCACAATAGGCTAATCTTATCATCCTCCACTGGTGTCCTGCCAGCATAAACCATTAGTGCTGGCAGGTGCACCACTCCATTATCATCCATAAGAAAATATTTTACCATAGTCAGTTTATACATTTTTTTGTGTGTTACCTTAACCTCTATATACTATTGTTTTCATATATAAAAAAACAATAGTATATAGTAATACACATTAATATTTTTTACATTATCTATATTGTATATATATACAATTCTGACAAGAGATAATTTATGTTTGTGTATTATAAAATTATATATTTATATCTATGCGTGTTTAAATTACAGAAATCTAATTGTTTGCGATCGCAAACAGCCATATAATTAAATTTAAAAATAAAATTATAAAATTCAAATTTGGAATGTGACACATAACATCCATTTTGTTTTATTTTAATTTATATACATTTTGCGCTTCTTCTAGAACATTCTGTGTGTTCACTATTAAATTCAGTATACATTCTAAACACTTTTTATTTCAATAATACAACAACTTAAACATTATAATATTCCAACAAACATTAATTGTTATCTTAAAGATATACATATTAGTTGAAATTTTAATATTTTAATTAGTGATTGAACAGATATGCAGATAACAAACTCAAACTATTTGTAATTTGAGTAGTCTGTTTTTAATCCCTGAGACAAATTTGACTTTACTTATGTTGCCAGCTTTTACCTTAGTTTTTTATTTTAAATAGGGTTGAGGCACTATCACAAATTGTATTATTACCTATTTTTATAGATATATATTAGATTATTTCTAATTAATATCTATATTCTATCTAATTAGATAGAATATAGATATTAATTAGAAATAATGTATGGGTGTTTATTTAAAATGTAATAACAGAAAATTAATAAATATAAGGTTGGTGTATCAGATAGATTTTTCAAATTGACATTATTCTGGAAAACCAATACTGTCTTTTTTTAAAAACAAATGACCTTCTTATTAATTACTAGCTGTTCCCACGACTTCATCCCTGTGGTATTTAACTTTCTATTTCTAAAATAAAAGTAGCCTAAGTTACTCCTTATTACATCAGCTACCAGCCAAAAATCCCGTCAAATTCGGTCCAGCTATTTCAGACATTAGCCGGAACAAACAGACAGACTAACAAAAATTGTAAAAAATGTGTTTTTGGTGTATGTACCATATATATATATATATTCATATGCATGTAATAAAAAACAGTTATTTAAATATTTAGCTGTTTGGATGAAAAAAATTTACAGGTTGTAGCTTAATAATGTAAAAATTACTATATGTATGTAAACCACTAAAATGTATTTTTATGTTGTATAATACAATAACAACAGTAGTATATTTTGAAAATAAAATTTTGAGAAAGTTTTTTTTATTATTTTATTTCCACTCTGACAGCTGTTGTGGAAACTTCCTATAAAGCTTTAAAACTAATATGTTAAAATAAAAACCTATGGTTAAACAAGTATATATAGATCACGGGTACAACCCCACCCCACTACAAGTGTGCACATTATTTGAAAATTTGAAAGTTACATCTGTCAATTTAGTCTCCAAGATAAAAAAACAGACTATAGTTTAAATTGTACATGTTTATTCAATATTAATTTATATTGATTTTATAAAGATAGCTGTTATGAGGATGGTAAATTCTGGAAATTCATACACTTTATAAGATTAATAATTCCAGAAATATAAATTAATTTTTTTGAGAATAAAGAATTTGTTAATAATGTGGACCCAATACATGTCAAGTTGACCATAACACTGATCCCCTAGTAAACCATTGTGATAAAATGCTGGTGAATTTGCCACAAGAGCTAGATGATCTGACCTTACATCAGAGAGAGATAAGATCAGTATTAGACTATTCAACACTTGGTCTTTATTGATAATTTACTGAACATTTACAAGAAACCGGAAATAATCCCGCGCGACATCCAAGACATGCTAACTAATTTTGAAACATATATACCTATATATTTATATGTTACCCCTATATCGATAAAACTTTAAATAATTGATACAAGGATATGACTTAAATTTTGAACACGAATGAAAACATAATGAATAAACATACATGAGAATTGGCCTTTGGCCTCATCACTTGTTCAAATATGAAGAAGTATAAACGTAGACTAGGCTGTATGGTCTAAGGATCTTTGCCTGTTCCATCACTGAAAAGGAGATGGACGAATATGGGAAAAAAAAAAATCATCTTATCTTTCTCTGGTGGCCCAACAGTGAAACTGTTAGCCAATGTAGCACCATTTCATTATCATCCATTAAAAAATATATCTAAACTAAGATATGAATACAAAATTGATTTTACAATCTAATACAAACATTTTGTTTTCAAATAACGCAAACCCATTTATATTGATTATACCCTGATAAGTCGTAGTCAACGAATATCATTAATAATAACATATGATGCATTCATTTAGTACAAATTAAAAAAAATAGTGTGCGTGCGCGAAACTAATGAAAACATACCGGTTTATTCGGATACACCTCTGAAAGATGTCCCTTCAACTGGCCAACAGTCCATGATGATTGACACTCAATGTTCTGGTCCGCAATTTGTTGGTTCGGCGCCTTCACAATCAACGTAACATTATCCGGTATCATTTTTCAATCATCCAATTGTCACTAGTGTTATCTAACAGTGTACACTTAAGAAATGTTACTCGATAAAAAACGATAACACAGTATGAAAACACACATTTAATATTGAAATTCACAATAGAATCTCGAGAATTAGCTGACAACTAAGATGTTTTAGATTATACTGACTCTATACGGATATAATGAATGACGAAATTAATTCAATTGATGTAAATAAATAAGCGAAGATAAGGACGAGGAGTACTTGTCAATTTGTGTTGAAAATATCTGTCGAAGTGTCATTGGTCCAGCGGGTTAGATGACGTATCCTCCTATGTTTCCTCTGTATGCAATCTCAAAATCTGATTGGTCTATACGGCGTAAACAATATTATGATTGGCTAATAAATGATTAGTTTAATTTATCCAATCACCGTGTAGGAAATAAATGTCATCATAAGTTTGTATTCAATTACATGAAAAATAAGTTATTCTCTATACATACAGATAAATGAATATTAAAAAAATATTTATATTCGCTATATACTTTACAGAAACGTACCAAATAATTTGTTTATTAGTTCCGAATTTCAGTATGTACATTTTTTAAAATATAATATAAACAATAAATAAATTTTGACAGCAAATCAGTATTGTGTCAAATAATTAATTTATATCTCAAGTTTTATTTTAGTAAGTGTGCAACAGCGCCATCTGTAATTAAAATCGAAGATCACATTCAAAACACAACTTTAATTATTATTTATGTAGTTTACTTTAACAGCTGTTCAGTAAACATAAACAATAAGATTTAATTGCTCTTGACTACTTTGTCTACTAACTAAAAATAATTCCTAATGACTATATTGAGACCACCCGATATAAACGTACATATAAATTGGATCAGGCATCCTAATACAGATGGCGCCTAATGCTTACTTAAACATTGTATTGATAAGACGCTCACTTAGTTGCTTTTGATTATTGTGTATATTTAGTTAAATAAAAATCAAACTCGAAATAAGAAAAAACTTTTATTCTAAATTTAAACTTAATTTCTATACTTAGTTATGTTTTGTCTAGAATTATTCTGTTATGTTTATGATTACAAACTACATGTGTAACCTTTTCTAAGTGTTAGTTAATCGAAATAAATATTTCAGATTTAGAATACAGTACAAAAATGGGTGTTACTGTGTAAGTGAATGAAAGTTGTTGTGTGTAAATAAATAAACGACATATCTGTATCTTTAATATATCTTTTAATGGAATATACGTTTTGTAGGTTACAGCAATACCCGGTGCCCGAACATAAAACTGGTACTTATGTGATAGAATTATTAACTAAACGAATATTAGCTCTTGGAGCGACCCAGCAGGGCCAGTTTCTTGTGGATTGCGAAAGTTATCTATCACTCCCACAAATGGGTATGTATTTGTGAACTAGAAAGAAATCTTTGATTTTTTAAAATTACTATGGCGGGAATCGATCGTTTGGCCCATCTGATCATAAACGTTTGTCATAGCTGTATAGACTCCTGAAACACCAACGCCGAATTTTTTATATTATATTTTTTTCCGTACCATCCAGTTCAGTATACAGATTCAATTGAGAAGAACAGGCAAGAAACTCAAATGAATTTTTTATTTATTAATATTAATTTTTTTTTTAAAAAGCCAGTTTATTTACTATGTTTACATATATAGGTGTCTATGTCTAACATTAAATGAAGATCCCATGCATGAACAACTATTGCCATGCATGCTCGTCATTCAAGTAATTGTTTAATGAGTAATAGGCTTTGCTCAGTAAATATGATATTTTAAAACAGATCTTTTAAATTTATTTAAGCATAATTCCTATATCCTTTGGTATCTTATTGTAATCTTTTATGTCCATTCCTATAAAAGACCCATTGAATTTTTCTAAATGATACTTAGAGACTGCAAGTTTGTCTTTAAATTTAGTGTTAAGGTTCACCTTGCTGGAGGCCTTCCCACGCTGCATCTTCCGGTCCGCGGTCGCCATGCGAGGACTTTACTGCCCCCACCGGCCATCTGTCCTACAAGCTATGTGCACTGCCCTGTCATTGACACTTCAGTTTTGCAATTCTTCGGGCTATCTCGGTCACTCTGGTTCTTCTGCAGATCTGCTCATTTCTGATTTGATCATGCAGAGAAACTCCGAGCATAGCCCTTTTCATCACTCTCTGAGTGACTCTGAGCTTATTTATGAGGCTCATTGTTGCTTGCCGTATGTTATCACCGGGAACACACATGGGTTGTAAACCTTCGTATCTGGACGAAAAGATATATCGGAGCTTCCCAAACGCTGCACATAATCTCTAACTAACACCAATTTTGATTGGTAATTTTGCCTTCCATCTATCTGTCCATACTCACAAAACTCAGTCTTTAGTAAGATAAATATTAAACAATATATATAATTTATTTAATATATATAAATGTTAAATAAATGAAATTGACTTTTTTAATTTCCAGGATCAACCAAAACTGTTCACATCTTGCACAACTCTGAGCAGCCAGCATCGGTGTTCTCCATCCTGGAGAGTGGCACAAAGAACATCCATGTCATAGCTGATGGCCTCTTCGACTTGCTGATGATGAAACTTTCCCAACACTACACATCCAAGAAACAAACTAAGATAGAGAGCAAAGGTCCTAGGTTCGAACTTGGAGATTTTTGTGTCAAACTAGGCTCAGTGACAATGAATCAGAATTTTAAAGGGATATTAATTGAGGTACAGTATTTGTTATTTATTTAATGAGTAATTATGAGGATGGTTTATATGTATAACTAGCTTTACCCACAACTTCATCTGCGTGGAATTTAACAAAAAAAATTAATTAGAAAATTTTTCTAAAATAAAAGTAGCCTAAGTTACTCCTTATTACATCAGCTACCTGCCAAAAAAAGTCCCGTCAAAACCTAGCTCTTTCAGAGATAAGCCAAAACAAACAGACAGACAGACGAAAATTGTAAAAAATGTTATTTTGGTGTATGTACCGTATTTATATTCCTATGCATGTAGCAAAAAACGGTTATTTCAATGTTACACTCAGATCAATGATCAAGATCAATGTTCATATAGACACTCCAATATTATTTATATGTATAGATATATGAAATGAAAAAACCAACATAAAATATTTTTTTTTAACAAGCTATCACAAGTAAAAAAACATTTCAGGTGGAATACCGACCATGTGTAATGGCCAACGCAGTTTGGGGTCTACTCCGGGAGTTCCTGCAGGGTCTACTCGGACCGTCAGTACCTGTACAGCCTCCCCAGCATCTCCTCAGCAAGATGAACGAAATCTATGCCCCCATAGACACCATATACCAGTATTTAGAACATTTTAGTGCGTACAGAAAAGTTACTGGTTTGAGAAATGCGTGAATATTTTTTTTTGTGATTGAAGAAGTTTGAGAAATGCCGAATTTTTTTGTGATTGATGTTTGGGAATAGATTCTGAACTGGACATGTATAGTTTTGTAATTACAATCACATTGGTTGATGATGTAGTGTTTAAAAAAGATGTAATTGTAACATAAGTGTAAGATTTTTTACTGTAAAATAAGAATTAATGCAATAGAAATTTCATGTATTACTTATTTCATTTCATACAGCGTTCGGGTAGCTCCGATATATCTTTTCGTCCAAATTACAGTGTCTCAAGACGAAGGTTTACGATCAATGTGTGTAGCCAGTGATGACTTACGGCACAGAGACGTGGTCGCTAACTATGGGCCTCATGAATAAGCTCAGAGTCACTCAAGGGCAATGGAATATGCTCGGAGTTTCTCTACGTGATCGAATCAGAAGTGAGGAGTGAAATGTCTATCTCTTAATGATGGTGGGATACCATAATTATTTTTTTAAATGCGAACGCGAACTTTTTTGTTGAGCTTTTTAAGATGTAGAATACTGTAGGACATTATTTTGATAGATCTCGTAGGGTTAAGCCAGCGTTTGCAATGTAAGCGCCAATTTACGACATCACATTAGAAATTTCTAAATTTATCAGTGTATCTCTGTAATATTATATATATAAACCTTCCTTTTGAATCACTCTATCTATTAAAACTGCTTCAAAATTCGTTGCGTAGTTTTAAAGATTTAAGCATACATAGGGACGGACAGACAGCGACAGCGACTTTGTTTTATACTATGTAGTGATGATAGTGATATTTATATATTACAGGAAAAAACTTCCATAATATTTACTGTTTCCAATATAAACACAACATACTTGTTATCATTATAAACATATTTGTTTATAACAACATTGTTTAAGAATAGTCTTACCATGTATATTTGTTTGTCACAATTTTCATTTGTCACCTCATTTTTGTGTATATTATTTATTGGCATTATGTTGAAATGTGTAATACAGTGGTCCTTGTATTTTTTATTGAAGGTAAGTTTTATATTTACTAGCTGCGCCCGCGGTTTTACCTGCATTAAATTTACTATATAGCCTAGTAACTCTCCTGGCAAACGTTGTTTTGCCATTGTTAGGGAAAATACTCTCTACTACCAAAATGTTAGGGAAAGTACTATGTCTATATATAGGGAAAAATATGTGGAAGCGTCTGTCACGTACCTGTATGGTTCTGCGGATTTCTTGGGCTTCAGGGTCTCGAAGGTATCTTCGCTAGCTTTCCAGTTTCACAGTAGATTTAACACAGTTCTCATTTATTTTAATTCACAACACAATGCGCGCGCGCGTCAAGGCCGCTGTACGGTCAGTTCAGTACTGGGTAAGGGAGGGGAAGGCAGAAACCGCGGGAACACAAACTAACGGACTCTAATATAATAATCTGTGCTTACGATGATACAGGGTAGATTTTGAACAGCCATATAGATTAATAACGGTATAAAAAATAGGGGTTGGTGACAGAAAGGTGAAAATTTAGGGTTGTATGTGTTTTTTAATGCCACATAATAAAAAATAAATTTTTTTTTTGTCGAAATAATGAAAAAATTTTTTAGGTTTGCCACCCTTAATACATAAGGGTATATAAATTAGTTATAAAACTTCTCATGCCTACTGAATATACATATAAAATTTCATCAAAATCGGTCAAGCCATCTTGGAGGAGTGACATGAATCTTTACAGTACCTTATATTTATCTATTTACTAGCTGCGCCCGCGGTTTCACCCGCGTTAAATATCAATAGAAAATATACACGAGCTATATTACTAGTAAAGTTTTATAAAAATGTGTAGTAGGTTTTGTGTGAAAGAGTAACAAACATCCATCTATACTCACAAACTTTCGCGTTTATAATATTAACTAGCTTTTGCCCGCAGCTCCTACGCGATCGCTCGCGTTAATTTATCCCCTAAGGGGTGGAATTTATCAAAATCCTTAGTTAGGGGATGCCTACGTCATAGTAGATTTATGCATATTTAAGTCTCAGCCCGATCGGTTTAAAATAGACAAAGTTTCATACAAACTTTCATCCCCTATTTTATCCACTTGGGGGTAGAATTAATCAAAACCCTTTCTTAGCGGATGCCTACGTCATAACATCTATCTGCATGCCAAACTTCAGCCCGATCCGTCCAGTGGTTTGGACTGTGCGTTAATAGATCACTATGTCAGTCACCTTTGAGTTATATACATATATTAAGATAAGATTATGAATTACAGTGTCAGTAATATGGTGTGTGGAATTAGACCAGATCGACTGCGGTGTCGATCATGAGCCTGGTGTAAGGTTGGGTGACGTGGAGTTAACTGAGTATCCGTGGTTAGGGATACTATACTATTCTAATTGTAAGTACCAAAATCAATCGAATATTTTTAAAGGACGATAATGAATTGGTACATCCGCCTGCGCTAACGGTTTACGCTGGCGGGGCACCAGTGAAGGATGATAGAATAGAATAGAATAGAATAGAAAATCATTTATTCAAATAAACTTACATTGAAGCACTTTTGAATAGTCATAACATTTTTTTTTTTTTTAATCTACCGCTCATTCGGAATGCTGTCTCATCACAAGAAGAACAAGCAAGAAACTTGTGTGTTGCTCTTTTAAATAATTTATTCTTACTTACAATTTAAGTTTAAGTGTGTGAATACAAACCACCGATTAGCACTAATTCAATTAAATACTCAAAAAGAAAAAAATATTGAATACATAACCAACTGGTTAAACAATTAATAAGAGGAAATCAGTCATAGTGATTAGAGCAGACCAGTCCCTACAAGCAGCACCCGTTCACGAGTATGACGGATGAGCCAGCCATCACTGCGCTCGACCATATTTTAGGGAGCCCAATGACCCGGCCCACCACGCCGCCACAAGTCTGGACATTTTAGTGAGCATGACTACTCAAAACACCAGACCACGTCATAGCTACTCACAATTGCCATCTGATGTTTATAGTATTCACATTTCACATAAGAATGCATGCGGCAATTAATACAAAACCCGCTACGCTTTCATATTTCTAAAATAATTGAATCAAGAAAGCAATGAGATAAACAAATTATAACGTTGTATGCTAATAAACTAATTATTTACTTGATATGTTGTCTTCTATGAATTCGTCTATCCTGTAATAGGCTTTCTTACATAAAAATTGTTTAATATAAGATTTAAATTGCCTCTCTGTCAGATTTAGTGCAGATTCTGGCAGTTTATTATAAAATCTTACGCAATTACCATAGAATGAATTACTGACTTTGTGCAGGCGGCATTTAGGTAAAATTAGCTTATTTTTATTGCGTAAGCTTCTATTTGTACAGTCTTTAAGTTTTCTAAAACTGTCTAAATTCTTCCGTGTATACATGATATTCTCATAAATGTATTGTGAAGTAACGGTGAGGATATTTGAATCTTTAAAACACTGACGTAATGACTCTCTTGAACCCATACCATAAATAGAACGTATGGCTCTCTTTTGTAAAATAAATATAGTATTTATATCGGCTGCTTTACCCCATAGTAGTATACCATATGACATAATGCTATGGAAATAACTAAAGTATACAAGTTTAGCCGTCGCCACGTCTGTTAATTGCCTAATTCTTCTAATTGCATATGCAGCTGAACTGAGTCTATTGGCCAATTTTGAAATATGGGGCCCCCATTGTAATTTCGAGTCCACTGTTATACCTAAAAAAACTGTATCAGTAACAAAATTTACTATTTCGTCATTAAGCAATAACTGTGTATTTATTGGTCTTACATTAGGAAGTGTAAATTTTATACACTTTGTTTTGCTGGAATTTAATAATAGGTTATTACATGTAAACCAATTTAATATAGCAGACATAGCACAATTTACATCGTCTAATTGATTAGTTTGACGTCCAATTTTAAACACTAACGAAGTATCATCGCGCGCACTATATCTGCAATTTTCTCTACCATAAAGGGAAGGTCATTTATGTAAATTAAAAGAGAAAGGGGCCTAAGATTGACCCTTGTGGAACGCCCATTCCAATATTAGCTCCCTTAGATTTTATACCGTCAATATCTACAGTTTGGACCCTATCCTCTAAATAAGTTCTCATTAATTTTAGATCATTATCTTTTATACCATAATGTTCGAGCTTGTACAAAAGTGTTTTATGATCCACGCAATCAAATGCCTTTGATAGGCCACAAAAAACTCCGAGTGCATCCTGTGACTTCTCCCATGATTGGAAAATATGTGTTATCAGCGCTACACCTGCGTCAGTGGTAGACTTGCCGGCGGTGAAACCATATTGTTGACTGTGAAGCAGTCGGTTATCCCTGAAGTGTTGTAACATTTGATTTAACATTATCTTTTCAAACACCTTACTTAGAACTGGCAAAATAGATATAGGTCTATAGTTCCCTGGCTCAAATTTATCTCCTGATTTAAATAGTGGGATTAATTTGCTAAATTTCATTAATTGTGGAAAAGTCCCATTATCAATACATTTATTAAAAATAGTAGCTAGATATGGAGCAACAATATCTATGAAAGAACTAACTACTTTTACAGACATGCCCCAAAGGTCTTCTGTATTTTTTAAATTTAGATGTTTGAATATTTTTATGATATGAACGGGGCTAACATGTGAAAATTTAAATCTTAAAGCACAACAACCGATATTAGACTCTAGTAATATTTTTGCTCGAGATGGAGATGAGTCCAGAGAAGATGTAATATTAATCGGAATATTAGCAAAAAAATCTTCAAAAACATTAACTACATCTTTTGTTGCTGTTATTAATTTATTATCATAATTTAATGCAAATTGATTATAGGCTAATTTAGATCTTCCGGTTTCTTTATTTATAATGCCCCAGATGGTTTTAATTTTGTCAGAAGACTGGTTAATTTGTTTATTAATATAATTAGATTTAGCCGTAATACAAACTTTTTTAAAAATTTTTGAATAATTTTTCACATAAGTGGTGAATTTGTCATCAAATCGATATTTTTTTTGATCGTATAAATCAAACAAAATATTTCTACTTTTAAGTATACCTACTGTTGCCCATTCCGTGAATTTAGATTTAACATAAACTTCTTTTTTCTTGAAAAATTGTTCATATTCTCCTGATAGAATAGTAATTAGCTTGGTGTAAAGATAATCAGGATTATTACTATATTGTAACAGCAAATCCAATTTATTTTTAATCGCGCTTTTGTATTTGTTAATATTGTAAACATTTATTTGTCTTTTTGATTTTTTATTATTGTTGACTTTATTGATCTGACTGTTAAACTTAACAACTTGACCACAGTGATCTGAAGGAAGTTTATTTATTATGAATTTTTCTGTATACTCACAGTTACAAAAAACATTGTCAAGACAAGTAGCAGACGTGGCAGTTACACGAGTGGGTTCATGAAAGACATGACTTAAATCAAATGACTGAAATAAACTAATAATTTTTGTACATGTGGGTGTATTACAAAGAATATCAACGTTAAAATCTCCACATACAATAATTTTTTTAAGACTATTAAATATTTTTTTTAAAATATCCTCCATCACCCCTTCAAAAACATTGTAATCACTATTAGGAGGCCTGTACACACATATAAGGATATAATTTTCTAGTTCTATACAAGATAATTCTATACAACACTCAATAGAAAGTCTAACAATGTCAGCACGTTCCTTTACTTTAATATTATTTCTTGCAATTATCATAGACCCGCCTCTGTTAACTGACTTTCTATTGAAGCAGCTGACAACGTTATAATTATTTAAATTGAACATCATATTGCTCTCTTTAAGCCAATGTTCTGTGAAACAGACAATATCAATATTATACTTTTCTAAAAATAATTGTATAATTAACTCGCTGCCGGGAAAACTTTGTATGTTCTGATGAACAATTATTAATTCTGATTGCTTTCCCTTTGTCTTTGTGAGCAGTTTAAATCTGCAGTCATAGTATTTATGTCACAAATATTAATAGAATTATTTGTTATGTCAGTATTTTTATGTTTAAGTTTACCATGTAAACTGTTCATGTAGTCAATATTATAAGCCACTAAAGTGGCTATTTTATTTTCCGATGATTTAGAGAGATACATTGTATCTTTTGTCAAATAAAAATCACTAATAAAACTATTAGTATCAAAAAATGTAAAAATGTCACTATGACGACATGTCAACATATGTAATAAGTTATTCAGGTAATGTACCTTACTGTTAATTTTTTTATGAAGATGTCTATTTGTGTAAGGAAAAGCGCACAATACAATCCTATACACATTTAATTGTAATAAATATTCAATTCCTTTAATTACATTCTGCCTATTTAATTGAATACTATTACCAAAAAATAACACAACTGTGGTCATATTGTTCATTTTTATAGATTTAATTTTATTTATTATTTGTGTAAATGATGCTTCTGGCATACAGTAGTTTAATAAATCACCCTTAAGATGATACTTCAAAATAGATCCAAAGTTACAGCCTATTCTGTCAGAGAACACCATTGTGCTACTCTTAGGGTTACAGTCACTGGCACAAACACCCTGAACTTCATTTTCCAGCACAGTTATAACTGAATTATTATTTGATATATTTGTGTGATTACATGTACAATGCTTAGTCAACGACTCAAAACGGTCAGCATTGTATTTACTGACATCAATCAGATCATCCATTGCTAAAATATGCTCCTGGATTTGTTTCTGAGAGATAATATACTTTGTATTTAAATCATGAAGTGAAGATTCTAAACTATTGATTTTTGAAGTTAGGTAGTCTGTATCAATGTCATATAACTTTTGGCTTTCCAATAACTTATTATTACACTTATTAATATAATCATGCAATTTTAAATTATTTAAAGTATTTCTTTTCAATAACTGACCCTTTTTACAACGCTTATTTAATATATTCCGAGTCCTAATAATAAACTTTTTTAGTTTTAAATATTTTTTTAATTTATTATGACTCAACATACAAATGTTATTGTTATAGTTGCCTAATTTAGGAGATGTATCACTAGTATGGTCAATCACAACAGGATGAGTGATGATAGGATGAACATGAGGTCAAGTCAGTTAGCCCATTGTGAAAATTTACCAGGAATTTATCACGATGAACATACGTTAATAAAGTCTCCAGTGCAGGATGATAGGATGAACATGAGGTCAGGTCAGTTAGCCCGTTGTGAAAATTTACCAGGAATTTATCACGATGAACATACGTTAATAAAGTCTCCAGTGCAGGATGATAGGATGAACATGAGGTCAGGTCAGTTAGCCCATTGTGAAAATTTACCAGGAATTTATCACGATGAACATACGTTAATAGTCTCCAGTGCAGGATGATAGGATGAACATGAGGTCAGGTCAGTTAGCCCATTGTGAAAATTTACCAGGAATTTATCACGATGAACATACGTTAATAAAGTCTCCAGTGCAGGATGATAGGATGAACATGAGGTCAGGTCACTTAATAGAATGACTACTACCTGAATGAATTACCCTAACATTATAAGGTTTCCAAGCAGTCAGGCTTTTTAACTCTGCCCAATAGTTTAAATATAGGTATATAATTGGAAGCTTTTAGTCGCAGGTTGTTTAACAAATTTGTTTAAAGAAAAACTAGTGTGATACGTAGATATTAGTTGCCCTCACATACGGCCAGAATTGCATCGAGTTTAATTAGTTCTTGCAGAAAGTTTTCATAGCAGCTCGAAATATGTTTATATCAATGTTTGGAGTTAGGGCATGCGTCAGTCCTTGACGACGCGGAGGCTCTTGTCCATTCAACCTTTGACCTGTAGCCAGACGGCAGAAAAACTCGCAGTTTCGTTCAATATATATTTCATCATCTGCTTCTTCCTTATCCCATTTATTTGGGGTCGGCCTAATATGTTTTTCGCTTCCATTCATCCCTGTTCGCAGTCATCGCGTTATTTACTTCCTTTCTTACCATATCATCTTTCACACAGTCCATCCATCTCTTTTTCGGTCTTCCTCTGCCCTTTTTTTTTTATACTACTATGGTGGCAAACAAGCATACGGCCCATCCCTTATAACCATCCACATTCATATGTAACACCTTTCTTAAATTCGTTCAATATATATTTATCAATGAATAAATAGCAGTTCTTATAATATTATAGTAATGAGGAGACCATTTTTATTATTGTCCTTAACTACTCGATAACGCAACTTTTTGTCATCGGCCTTTTTGCGGGAACCGACTGAACTGTCAAAACTGGCGGTGTTGCCACAAATGTTTATTTCATCATCAACAGACGGAGATGTCGGCGAGAGTAGAGCGGTGGCGACTGTCGCACTCATACAAGAAGAGTTCGTGGTAGCAGTAGCAGCTGATATTGGACCCATGCCTAAACGTAACTTTAGGTAATTGTAAATTTAATAATAATGACCCTGAACAATTAACAGCGCCATCTAGTCCCATAGTAAGCAGAGCTCGTGTTATGGCTACAGACAAGTGATACATATATACTTACATATATCTTTTTGATACATAATATACATAGAAAACGCCCAGCTCGATACAAACAATCATACTCATGAATACAAATGTTTGCACCGTGCGAGGAATCGAACCCGTGACTATTGGAAGTAAAGCGGTGTCCTAATCTGTAAGACCACTGAGGCCGTCCAGCTAGAACAAAAATTTTACAAATAATTAAAAAAAAAGTAACATGCAAGTATCGTGTTGTTTTTTTTTAATTATTGTCCAGAATGAAATTTTTAAAAATGTTATGTGAACCCAAACTGAAACAAGCAGCACTCGTTCACGAGCATAACACCCCCTCCGATCGATCTGTTAAATTCAAACGGGGATCGAAATTACGACGGCCTGAGCCGGGGTTCGAACCCCTAGCGGTGCCCTCAGACTAAAGTCTATGCGTTATTCTTAATAAACTATATTACTGTAAAGTTTCATCAAAATCCGTGAAGTAATATTTGCGTGAATCCATCCGTACTCAAAAAACTTTTTCGCGTTTAAAATATTACTAATGTAATTTTTTAGTAATAAGTATAGTATAAGTAAGGAGCCAACAGAATATCAGCGCTGCAGAGTTATCTGTAGCATTATGCTGAGTTGGCTGCCTTTTCACTTTTGCGGCACATAAAGTCACCTACATTTCTTTTATTCATTCGTGTTTTTTCTGTATCTCATGTATGTTATGTGTCTGTAATTGTGAATAAAGAATTTATCTATCTATCTAATGTAAGATAAAATGACTATCAACCCTCATTCTGTCAGGTAGACAGTTAATTTACTTACCATACCAGTTAAATAACAAAAAAAATTGACAGAGCAAATTCACGGGTTCTTCTCGGCGAGGACTGGTCTGCTGAGGGTCGGCGCATCAGAAATTACGTGCTGCATCCTGAATATGGTGAAACCTATAACACCATAGCACTGGTTCAACTGAAAGACCCCGTTAGAGAACGTTAGTATATTCTGTTTTTTTTTCGGACTACTCTAATGCTGTTGGCCGCAGCTGGCATTTACAGCTTCACCGGACGATAGGGGGCGAGTGCAGGAGACACTCCAAACCAAAGGAAGGACTTACAGAGCGGCTGAAGGCTAACTCCCGCCTGACGGATACGACTTTAGTCTGAGGGCACCGCTTGGGGTTCGAACCTCGGCTCAGGCTGTCGTAATTTCGATCCCCGTTTGAATTGGACTTGATTTTAATTGGAATTGGAATTTGATTTGAATTAGAATTGATTTTGATTGATCGGAAGAGCGATCGTTGGGGCACCAGCGTGGAGCGCCAAGCTATAAGTTTATATTCTACTAGCTGTACCCGTGACTTCGTCCGCGTGGAATTTAACTTTATTTTTCTAAAATAAAAGTAGCCTAAGTTACTCCTTAATTTATCAGCTACCTGCCAATAAAACTCCCGTCAAAATCGGTCCAGCCATTTCAGAGATTAGTCGGAACAAACAGACAGACAGACAAAAATTGTAAAAAATGTTATATGTAAAATGGTGTATGTACTGTATTTGTATACATATGCATGTAATAAAAAACGGTTATTTCAATATTATAAACAGGCAGTCCAATTTTAATTATATTTTTATTTAATAAATAAATAAATACACTATTTTAATTCTACAGGTAATATAAAACCACTCTGTGCTCCGCCCGATTTGCTGAGGAATCCTGAATTTTATGTAGTCAAGTTCAAAGATGGTATGTACATATGTACATAGTTACGTTTTTATATATCTGGCTACCCGCCCCGGCTTCGCACGGGTGTACATGTATTATACATATAAACCTTATTCTAGAATTACTCAATTTATTGCTAAAAATTAAATACTATCAAAGTCAGTTGCATAGTTTAAAAGATATAAGCGAATAGACAGCGGAAGCAACTTCATTTTATACTATGTAAAGAAATACATAATAATCATAGAACACCCAGAACAATACAAACATAGCACTCTTCCATAGTGCGGTTTTCTAGAAACTTTTTGCCTCGCACAACCACATTGTGGAATCACCTTCCAGCAATCGTGTTTCCGAACCTATACGAAACCTTCAAGATAAGAGCTTATTCCTTTTTAAAAGGCGTACGTACTTGCAATTCCCCTGGTGTTGCGGGTGCTCATGGGCGGCGGTAATCACTTACCATCAGGTGTTATAAAAAAAAACAGTTATACTCATGAACACAAGTGTCTGTATCGTGCAAGGAATCGAATCCACGACCATCAATTGTAAGGGGGTGTACTAAACCGCTAGACCACTGAGTTCGTCACTCGTTTTTGAAACAAGAAAACTAATATCAATCAACTTTGATCAAAGTTTATCCTTATTTTCTTCAGATTACAACCAGTTACAGAAAGAAGTACTGCCCGTGTCACACATACCAAGTAACATGTGTAGAGATTTCTACGTAACGGCAAATGTGAGTTTTGTAAAGATTTTTTAACTACGTCTAGGTAATGAGTAAAAATCGCGGGATCTTACTTTACGTTTTATTTTTATCGAGTTCCCGATATTTCGGCAGTGTTTCAATCGCCATGATCATGATTCATGCGTACATGATTTCCACGAAAATTACATTATATCATCATACATATATCATTTATATATATGTATATGTATGAATTATAAGTATATATTTATTGTTGCTCTCACAGAAAGAAAATAACAATATGACGACCTCGGTGCTCGATGGTCGCGGGTTCGATTCCTCGCACTAAAATTGTGACACGAGAATTTTATATATGATGTATTATTGCTATTCCACGTATATAAGAAGTGTCTGTCTGTATGTCCCACAGCTGTATGCTCGTAAGATGCGGCCACCGCACGTGGCGTGTGCGGTGTGTATGCAGACGACGCGGCCGTGCGTGTGGCAGGCCGGCACTGCACTTGTCAGTCGGGACGTGTGGGGACGGTGGCAACTGGTTAGTGTCGTATACCTTATTTATACTAATATTACAAACCTGAAGGGTTTGTTTATTTGAACACGCTAACCTCATGAACTACTGGTTCGAATTTTTTTTTTATGGATGATAATGGAATGGTGCACCCGCCTGCGCTAACGGTTTACGCTGGCGGGGCACCAGTGGAGGATGATAAGACGAGCATGAGGTCAGGTCAGTTAGCCCATCGTGACAAATTCACCAAGAATTTATCACGATGGTTTCCAGGGGGAACCGCGTGGAGATCAACCTGACATGGTGCATAGCTAGCAATAAGATTATAAGTCTACATTACTACCAATCCCCTTTCCCCCCTACTGGTTCGATTTGAATAATTCTTTTTGTGTTGGATAGGCCCTTTGTCAGGGAAGGCTTTAAGCTATATAACATTAAATATTGCAAAAGGTGGGGATATAAAACGCAGACGAAGTTGCGTGAGTCAGCTAGTTAATGTTATAAACGCGAAAGTTTGTGAGTATGTATGGATGTTTGTTACTTGAAACTTGACAGTAATATAGCTTATATATACATCAGAATAACATATAGGCTATAAATTTCACGCGAGACCGCGGGCACAGCTAGTAATACATATATAATAATAATAATAATAATCTCAGGACAATTCACACAGCGCCATCTAGACCCAAGTTAAGTCAGCTAAATCTTGTGTTATGGGCACTAGATAGCTGATACATATAAATATCGATATTTTTTTTTTATAAATACATACAGATTATACATAGAAAACACCCAGACCGATTCAAACAATCATACTCGTGAATATAAATGTTTGTGCCGTGCGAGGAATCGAACCCGCGACCATCGGTCGTAAAGCGGTGTGCTAGACCGCTAGACCACCGAGGTCGTCGGTATATATTAGTCATTATATCTTTACATAGTAAATAAGGAAGTCGTTTCTACTGTCTGTTTGCTCAGATCTTTTAACCTACTTATTTTAATGCAGTTTTTAGCTTTAGATAGAGTAATTCAAGAGGAAGATGAGCATGAGATCAGGTTAGTTAGCCCATCGTGACAAATTCACCAAGAATTTATCACGAAGGTTTCCATGGGAACCACGTTGAGGTCAACCTGACGTGAGCAATGCATCATTGCTAGCTATGATTGTAGGGACTGGTCTGCTCTAATCACTACGACTGATTTACTCTTATTAAGTTCTCAACCAGTTGGTTGTATATTTAATATTTTCTCTATTTGAGTATTTAATTGAATTAGTGCTAATTGGTAGTTTGTATTCACACAATACAATTTAAAAATGTAAAGTAACAATAAAATTATTTATAAGAGCAACACGCAAGTACCTTGCTCGTTCTTCTTGTGATGAGACAGCTTTCCGAATGAGCGGTAGATTAAAAAAATGTGATGACTATTCAAAAGTGCTTCAATGTAAGTTTATTCCAATAAATGATTTTCTATACTATTCTAATGAGGTCATCAGTCCACATTACTAACAATCTCATTCCCCTCACCATGGTACTGTTGTCAGCTGGGTCTGGGCGTCCGCGGACCTGGCTGCGGCGCCCCGTCCCGCTACCTGGACATGATGAGCTACTACCCCTGGATAGAGGCCAGCCTCAGCAAGTTCCAGAGAATTACCATCTCTAAAATATCCAAGCAGAAGTATGTCCTGCGCTGTGAGTATTTTTTTATGGATAGGACTAGCTGTTCCCGTGACATCCTTCGCGTGGAATTTAACTTTATTTTTCTAAAATAAAAGTAGCCTAAGTTACACCTTATTACATAAGCTACCTGCCAAAAAAAGTCCCGTCAAAAGTCATTTCAGAGATTAGCAGGAACAAACAGACAGACAGAGAAAAATTATGTATATATGTATAGATTATTTGCACCGTCAACAACTTATCTCTGCACAACTCATGGTTGCCTGGTACAAAATGCCATTAGGTGTTAAGTCCGCCATATGTACTTTTTATGTGGATTAAAGTTATTTAAATAAAAAGTCCCGTCAAAATCGGTCCAGCTATTTCAGAGATTAGCCGGAACAAATCTGTATTCATTAACTGTAATAATATATTCTCACTAACGGCGCTAGGATGAATTCCGAGGAGTTAAACCACTAGATCACCGAGGAAGTACATTAATTTTATGAAAATTGTGTAAATGATTTACTTGTAGTTATGAATTTATTTTATTGAATTAAACTTATCACACTAGTAGAATAAAAGGACAAAAAATAACAGAATAAAACGAGGACATTTTCTAATAGACAAAAATCGAGATTACTCCTTCCGAGGAATCTCAATACTAAAAAAATCATAGGTGATATAAGAACAGAGAACATAAATAGTTATACAGTGTAATTTTTAGTTGCAGATACAGGGTATTTAATTATGCTTACAAGAGATCCCAGCCCCGGCTTAAGGAAATATGTAAATAAGAATATGTGATTGTTGATATGTAAAAATTTGTAAAACATCTTGGTTAATGTAATAAAATTTATTATTATATTTTAAACTTAAGATAAATTCTCATCTCCCCTCTTAAGGAGAGGAGATGGCAACTTACCCCCGGCAGAAGCACAGTCGGCCGGGGTTCAGGGCCCCAGGGAGAGAAACCGGCGTACAACGTGCAGAATCTAAGAGCACCGCTTTCTGCATCTTTCCCGGGAGTGAGCCGCCCCGGAATCCCAACCGTCTGAGATGTTGTTCCAGACTGGTTGGGATAAGACCGTTCACTGACATAACGATTGGAATGATTTCGGTGGACATCACCCCCCACATTTCGGTCACCTCGTGAGCCAGGTCGAGATATTTTCTCTTTTTCTCGGTTTCGGCTTTCACGAGGTTCTCGTCATGCGGTATGGTGATGTCCACCAAAAACACCCTCGAGAGTGCCCGATCCATTACCACGATATCAGGTTTGTTCGCAAGAACGGTCCTGTCCGTGATGATGGATCGGTTCCAGTAGAGCCTGACGCTGTCGCTTTCGAGGACCGGATGGGGCTCGTACTTATAGTACGGCAACCTATAATTCGCGAGGCCGTACTTCAGAGCTAGCTCTTGATAGAGTATTTTGGCTACCTGGTTGTGTCTGTGCAAGTACTCAGTGTTGGCATGAGCTGAACAACCCGAAAGCACATGTCTGAGTGACTCACGAGGAAAAATATAATACAAATGTGTATCTGGATATATTCTAGCTAACGGTGGTTCGAACATTCAGCGTTTCGGTGACTGCGATCCTGAGGAGACCCAGAACTTGGCGTATCGGGAATCAATCGTGCTACGAACCGACAACACCCAGTACCAGTTCCTCACATACAACGTGAGTTACTGCTAAATATTTCTACTATATCTTATATATAAAATTCTCGTGTCACAGTTTTCGTTCCCATACTCCTCCGAAACGGCTTGACCGATTCTCATGAAATTTTGTGAGCGTATTGAGTAGGTCTGAGAATCGGCCAACATCTATTTATCATCCCCCTAAATGTTAGGGGTAGTCCACCCCTAATTTTTTTTTTTATTTTAAGGCAAAACAACGTTTACCGGGACAGCTAGTTTACACATATAATTTTAATATAATAATATAATTATTAAATAATCATTATATTTTTTTATACGACGTAGGTGGCAAACAAGCATGCGGCCCATCTGATGGTAAACGGTTACCGTAGCCTATGGATGCCTGAGACACCAGGATTATCACTTGCGCGTTGCCGACCCTTAAGAAACCTTTATATATCCTTCTTAAATTCAGCACGTGTCATGCGATATAAATTAATATCGCTATTAAAAATAGGGGTTGATGATAGTAGGGTGAAAATTTAGGGTTGCATGTAGTTAATGCCGAATCAGATAAAAAAAAAATATGAAACAAAAAATTAGGTGTGGGTACTTGGTTTATTACACTCATCATTGAGGGATACAAAAATTGATGTTTGCCAACTCTCAGACCTATCCTATATGCACATTAAATTTCATAAAAATCGGTAAAGCCGTTTCGGAGAAGTTTGGTAACAAACATCGCGATGTTAAGGAGGAGAGAAGAGAACCACACCAAGGACCATATGTTAATTTATCCCCTGTTCAACAGATGACCATATATGAGCATATGGAGTACACCTGCCTGACCCTGGAGCTGGTGAACGCATCAGCTACCTCAGAGATGCGTGTGAAGCATTATTGTCCGCGGTACGGATATGGTCCTGCCTGCCACACTTATAAAGGCAAGTTTTGTGTTTTTTTTACTAATTATAGTAGGATATGGTCCTGTCTGCCACACTTATAAAGGCAAGTTTTGTGTTTTTTACTAATTATAGTAGGATATGGTCCTGCCTGCCACACTTACATATAAAGGCAAGTTTTGTGTTTTTTTACTAATTATAGTAGGATATAGTCCTGCCTGCCACACTTATAAAGGCAAGTTTTGTGTTTTTTTACTAATTATAGTAGGATATGGTCCTGCCTGCCACACTTATAAAGGCAAGTTTTGTGTTTTTTTTACTAATTATAGTAGGATATGGTCCTGCCTGCCACACTTATAAAGGCAAGTTTTGTGTTTTTTTTACTAATTATAGTAGGATATAGTCCTGCCTGCCACACTTATAAAGGCAAGTTTTGTGTTTTTTTACTAATTATAGTAGGATATAGTCCTGCCTGCCACACTTATAAAGGCAAGTTTTGTGTTTTTTTACTAATTATAGTAGGATATAGTCCTGCCTGCCACACTTATAAAGGCAAGTTTTGTGTTTTTTTACTAATTATAGTAGGATATAGTCCTGCCTGCCACACTTATAAAGGCAAGTTTTGTGTTTTTTTACTAATTATAGTAGGATATAGTCCTGCCTGCCACACTTATAAAGGCAAGTTTTGTGTTTTTTTACTAATTATAGTAGGATATGGTGCTGCCTGCCACACTTATGAAGGCAAGTTTTGTGTTTTTTTATGGCAATTTTTGTCTTTTTTTACTAATTATAGTATAGGGGCCAAACAAGCTTAAGGCTCACCTGATGGTAAGTGATTACCGCTGCCCATGGGAATTGCCGGTACTTTAAGGACTTTATGGAAGAGGGGAAAGAATTAGGAAAGGGATAGGAGAACGAGAGCGTCTAGAACCACCACGCGAGACGTCATGTGTTATGAACTAACCGTATGGTGCATCAACTAGCTATATATATATATTTATTTTGTGTTTATATATATATATTTGTATGATATTGGAATGGTGCACCCGCCTGCGCTAACGGTTTACGCTGGCGGGGCATCAGTGGACGGTGATAAGATGAACATGAAGTCAGGACAGTTAGCACATCATGAGAGATTCACCAGGAATTTATCACGATGGTTTCCAGGGGGAACCGCGTGGAGGTCAACCTAATATGGTACATTGCTAGTAATGGGGTCATTAGTCCACATTACTAACAATCCCTCCCCCCACTAGCTATATATTCTTGGCACGTTTTTTTATATTCACCTTAATTATCAACAATAATCATCATCACACAAATTGTCGCGGAGTTTCCAAAAATGGGACAATTCTGCGTGCCAGAGTTCATTTTGGGGACATCGGGACTCGTAATTATAAAAAGGGACAGTTCCGTTTGAAATGGGACGTCTGGTCACGTTATACATATATGACGACCTCGGTGGTCTAGCGGTCTAGCACACCGCTTTACGTCCGATGGCCGCGGGTTCGATTCCTCGCACGGCACAAACATTTGTGTTCATGAGTATGATTGTTTGTATAGTTCTGGGTATTTTCTATGTATAATATGTATGTATTTACGAAAAAAAAAAATCTATGTATTTGTATCAGTTGTACCCATAACACAAGGTTTAGGTAGATTAACTTGGGTCTAGATGGCGCTGTGTGAATTGTCCTGAGATTATTATTATATATACACGCGCACACCTCCAGCAATCTCTTTCCCTCTAAAGGTGGGAAAATGTAAATCTTGTCTCTTTCTAGGTTCTACCTTCGATATATCGGTATATTTAATATTTTCTGATCGCTGCTTCTTCGAAATGTTCGCGTGGGGCTTCCAGAAGAACATGACCTTGTTAGACATCCAGGAGTGGAAATGGGAGGAGGGGACCTACTACGAGGACTTCTCCATGACCAGAGCTGAGTACAGGGGGCCGTCGCACATGACCGAGTTCGGATACGAACCGCTGGATGAGAAGATGTGGGTGCCCGAGTATGACATCTGGACCACAACCGAGTATGATAACACTACTAGACCTACTACCACTCCACCGGCGGGAAAAGAAGGTCTTTATTTATTTATTACTCTATATTCTCTATACTCTATATTAAATAGAATATACATACTACTAGCTATGCCCGCGACTTCGTCCGCGTGGAATAGTGAATAAAGGTAAAAGTTTGACTAATTTTACATGTCATATTTATTTATATTATATTTAAATAATAGCCTAGTAAATAATTTTCAAACATCTAGCTTTAAACATTACGATACTACCATACAACCTTTCATATCCTTTAGAGAAAATCCCTCATGGAGACCCGCCGGCCCCGGGGAAGCCCGCGGGTACTGTGAGACTCCTACTCACTAAAAACTCCAAGATGTCCCTCATCCAACGCCATGTGCCGGAGTCGCGGGATCAAATTATAGTCGACCGCAACTCCGACGGCGGTGGCCCACTCTACAGCGGGCCCCATTTTTGCGGGAACCTTTCATATCCTCTTTCAACCCATTACAACCCCTTTCTTTGCATTAAAACCTAACCTGTGTCCTCTCCCAGGGTCTAGACTATCTGTATATCAAATGTCATGTATAACAGTTCAGTAGTTATAAAATATACAATAAATATAAAACCCCATGCTTTTGCCTCGAGAGAAAACCTCTGCAAACCTCTCTCTCTTCTATTTCTAATGAACTCCCCATTAGAAATAGAAATAGAAATAATCTTTATTCAAATAAACTCATTACAAGCACTTTTGAATAGTCATATTTTGATTCTACCACTCATTCGGAATGCAGATTCATCACAAGAATAATGAGCAAGAAACTTGTGTGTTGCTCTTTTTAATAGATGTTTATCATTCTACAATTTAATGGGAGAAAGCTCCTCTGATACCGCACGAGACCACTTAAGGTCTCGTACAGTGAGGTTTTAGAGTTTTTGGGGTTTTTCAAGAAGGGTATATAAAGGCTTCTTATGGGTCGTCAACGCGCACTTAAAACCCCTGGTGTCTCAGGCGTCCATAGGCTACGGTAACCCTTTACCATCAGATGGGCCGTATGCTTGTTTCCAACCATAGTAGTGTAAAAAAGTGTCTCACACGAGTCTTGCGGATGTAGAGTTTCAAGTTCAAATCTTCAAACGGTTTTCACGCACTAAAATTATATAAATATTATGTATATATTGTGTAAATTCATTTCCAGAAATAGGCACAGAATCTGCAGGCCGGATAGAAGGGAAGGCCGGAACCACCTCGATACCTTTCAACGATACCTCAGACACGGATTCCGAGTTCATCTTCGGTATACGGTGGTGAAAGGTGATGAGACGTCGTGCAGTGATGAATTCCATCATCGACATTCATCATAAAATCATATCTGTTGCGATATGAATGGTCATGCTATGGAAATGGAATGGAAAAAAAGTGCTACATATAATACATAAATATATATTTTTTTGTAAATACATACAAAAAATATATAGAAAACACCCAGACCGATACAATCATACTCATGAATACAAATGAGTGTGCCGTGCGAGGAATCGAACCCGCGACCATTGCTAGTAAAGCGATGTGCTAGACCGCTAAACCACAGAGGTCGTCAACTTCAACCCCTATTATTAAAGATGTTCTATAGTTATATATATGTTATATATATTGTTACAATTTCACGACTATTCTGACTGAATAAGGAATTATGTAAAAAAAACTCAATTTCAAGAAACAAACAATGTTTGTTTGTTCCTTTGTAACGCTTTATTGTACAGTAAATACATTTAAATTAACTAAAGATACAACGATCTTAAAAAATAAGTTGTACAATAGCGGACTTATCCCAAATGAGGGATTTCTTCCAGTCAACCTTTGAATGACTGAAAAATTGTGGAGTGGTGGAAAAATATATGTATATATACATATACATGACAATAACAACAAAGGAAAAAAAGCAAACTTATATATATATATATATAACATCTAGAATATTAAATAAATATTTAAGTATAATATATAAATATATCTACATATAAATAAAATAATAATAATAATAATGAAATAAAAAATATATAAATAGTAACAGCAGAAATTTATAAAAAACTATATATATGTGTACATGCAAATAATAAACCTCTTTTGTAAATAAAATCTTTTATTACACATTAAAATATAATATATAAACATTTATAATGTTCTTTACAATTTAAAAATAATATTGGAGTAAAAACTCTGTAAAAATATTAATACAATAAACTTGAGTTTTGTATAAAACAGTAAAATATCCTACATGAATGATTGTTTACTTTTGTACAATGTCACTGTTATACAGTTTTAAATAAATAAATAGTCATGGATGGTCTGTATCCCCAGTCTAGGTACCCCTAGTCGCCCCCCGATCGATCCCCCGTGCAATTCAAACGGGGATCGAAATTACGACGCCCGGGCGCTCCACACTCAACGATCGCTCCTCCGATCAATCCCCCATCCATTTCAAATGGGGATCGAAGTTACGACGGCCTGAGCCGAGGTTCGAACCCCTAGTGGTGTCCTCGGATTAAAGTCGTATCCGTCAGGCGGGAGTTGGCCTTCAGCCGCTCCATAAGTCCTTCCATTGGTTTGGAGTACCATGTACTCCCCCTATCGTCCGGTGAAGCTGTAAAGGCCAGCTGCGGCAAACAGCATTAGAGTAGTCCGAAAAAAAAATAGTCTATATAATGGTACCAATAGCATTATATAGACTATTTTTTTTCTCTCAATAATAACACAAAACAATTCATACAGCGCCGTCTAGATGGAAGTGGCAATTATGAGGTATATAATTTTTCCCATTGACATGAATAATGTAATAACATTAAAGAAACTTATTATAAATTTTCTAATGACATATTGTAAGGGGTGAAAACTGTGATCGGTACAGGCTATGCTGTAAATAATATAATTGACGTAGTGGAGTAACCTGAAACAGTCATGCTCGCTATAAAGTTCAAACTTGTGGCCGCGTGGTGGGCCGGGTCGATGTGACTCAAATATGGTTGAGTACAATGATGGCTGGCTCATACGTCATATTCGTGAACGGATGCTGCTTGTGGGGAATGGTCTGTACAGGTTGTGAACACTGATTAAATTTTTTGTTCTTTGCGATAGCATATGCTGGTGGTCACTCTATTCTCCCAAATTTCAATTTTAATGACTGTATATTATTATAAACATGTTCCACTATAATTTGAATTGATGAATTGATGAAATACAGTTTGAGCTGAGTTTCTTGTCAGTTCTTCACATCTCGATATCATTCCGAACTGACGGTCGATTTGACATATCATAAGAGTCTGTAATAGACCTACATGAATAAAGATATTTTGAATTTGAATTTGAAAGTGGATTAGTTTCCCACTATCGTCTGTTTTTTAATCGGGGAGACTAAAAGTGTAAATGTCAAATTTTCAAATGTTACCATAATCATCTACGAGATGGGGCCTGCCCTAACAACGAGATGGGGTCTGCCCTAACAAGGAGGTGGGGTCTGCCCTAACAACGAGATGGGGTCTGCCCTAACAACGAGATGGGGTCTGCCCTAACAACGAGATGGGGTCTGCCCTAACAAGGAGGTGGGGTCTGCCCTAACAAGGAGGTGGGGTCTGCCCTAACAAGGAGGTGGGGTCTGCCCTAACAAGGAGGTGGGGTCTGCCCTAACAAGAAGGTGGGGTCTGCCCTAACAACGAGATGGGGCCTGGCTAACACCATATATAATTTTTCCCATTGACATGAATAATGTAATAACATTAAAGAAACTTATTATAAATGTTGTAATGACATATTGTAAATTTAATTAAATTATTTAAAAATAAATGGAAATCGATACAGATATATAATATTGAAATGTTTGTTATTATATAATAAAAATTAATAGCTTTACACTAAATGCATATGAAAGTACACATATATGGTACTTACATCATGTCGTAATGTCTGTCTGTATGTTCTTGCTAATATCTGAAACGGCTGGACCGCTTCTGACGGGATTCTCACTCGCAGATAGCTAATGCCAACGAGTAACTATTATTTTTTAAATTTTATTCATCTTATTAAAAAAAGAAATTCCAAGCGAACAAAGTCGCGGATAACTTGTAACTTGTTTCGTGTAACGAAAATAAATTTTAAAAGTGCATTCTTAATTCAGGATGGAATTTAAAATTGCCATTTACCGTCAAGTACGCCATCAGAATGTTTTGTTATTTCATTCATATAAAAATAATGTACAGTAAATCGACCAATATAATTTATATATTATGTAATTTATATTGATTTCCATATATAGTCTTACGTCGTCTTTTTAACATTTCTTTGTCAATTCTTTTATTTAAATAGAATAAATCATAAAAAAATACGCATATTTTCCCCTTCCCATACATTTATGTAAATATGTAGACATATACCATACAAATACCCTTTATGACTAACTCTGTATCTGTATACTTATAAAGACTGACATACATATTATTTTATATGTATCCTCTGTCCACGCAATGCACCACATTATTCGCCTCCCGAAGTCTACCCTCCTTCGTCTTGAAAGGTTTCATCTGCCACACATCATCGATGTTCAATTTTTCATCACCCTGTAAATATAAAAGAATCAATTCAATTCAATTTTTCATCATCCTGTAAATATAATAGAATCAATTCAATTAAATTTTTCATCACCCTGTAAATATAATAGAATCAATTCAATTTAAAATTCAAGTTCAAAATATCTTTATTCATGTAGGTCTATTACAGACTCTCATGATATGTCAAATCTACCGTCAGTTCGGAATGATTTCGAGATGAGAAGAACTGACAAGAAACTCTGCTCGTATTTTTTTTTAAATGTTGAACATATTTACTATAATACAATTTCATTTAAATTCAAATTTGGGAGAATAGAGTGACCACCAGCATATGCTATTGAAAAAAAAACAAAAAATCTAATCAGTGATCGCAACCTGAACAGACCTGTCCCCACAAGCAGCACCCGTTTACGAGTATGACGGATGAGCCAGCCATCATTGCACTCAACCATATTAGAGGGAGCACATCGTTATTTCCGATGGTTACAGGTTGGATAACTCACACGACATAAACATTTATATTTATGAGTATGATTGTTTGCGTCGGTCTGAGTGTTTATGTATTTACGAAAAAAAACTATGTATTTGTATAAGTTATCTAGTACCTATAATTCAAGCGTTATCTAGCTTAAGCGCTGTTGAATTGTACTGAGATTATTATTATTATGGAAATCTAAAAACTTCAATAAGTTTTTTTTTAATTCAAATTATTTTGGGGTTTTTGTTTTCAGACATGTCAACCTCATTATTATAAACTAATCGGAACAGTTCTTAAAAATAATAATAATCTTGTATATTATGTATGTATTTACGAAAAAAAATCTATGTATTTGTATCAGTTGTCTAGTACCCATAACACATGCTTTAACTATCTTATCTTAGAAGTAGATGGAGCTGTGTGAATTGTTCTGAGATTATGATTATTATTATAGTCGGAACATTTGATTGTTTATTAATAATTATTATTAATAAACAATCAAATAATTGCCAACTTCGAGGGATCTATTTATTAAATTGCTTTTATCAGCGCACACAAACAAACAGCAATATCAGTAGTTTTTTACCTTCATCTCCATATTGACAGCATCCTCAGGCGCCAAAATAATAAACGGGGTCGACTCAAAACTGAACGCCAGTCCAAAGTACGAGTATTTCTTTATCTCGGCCATATAGACCTCATATGAATACAATTTATCTGGGTCACTGCCCAGCTCTCTTATTTGTTTCGCCAACACTTCGTAATAATATTTCAGCAATTCATCATAGTACTTATCCCTCATGTCTTGGGTAGTGCATGCGTATACCACAAAAGCAATATCTAACACGGGGGATGCACACCTTGATAGCTGAAAATCAATTATTTTCGCATCTACCGGAGAGCTATTCACATATTTGTATAAGAAATTGTTGGTCCAAGAATCTCCATGGGATATTACACCAGTCTCTAAAGTTCCCGTTGCAGCAGCGATCATGTCGTCGTAACGTTCAGGAACTGCAAATTTCTTTATCTTCTCCACATAAATTGTATTAGGATACTCTCTTTCTACAGCATCGATGGCTATACCACTGATTCTGTTCCAAAACCTTGTATACCAATCTCGGAGCCTGTCATGATAGTATGTCTCGAACACTTCGGTCCTGATCTTCTCAAATTCCTCAGGTTGTTGATCTTTCATGGCAAAGGATAGTGCATGGAACTGTGCAAGCACTTTAAAAGTTATTTTACAATGTTCATAGTCTATGCCTTCTTGTCTAACGGCGCTTCCAAAGTTTTCTAGCGACGCATCTTCAAGACAGATCACGTCATTGACTCCATCGCTGTACGATAGGAATAATTTCACATATTTATCGAAAGGATCTGATACAGTTTTGGTTGATTGAAATTTTATTAACGCTGGCAAGACTTTCTCATAGAAGTTTATCTCGTTCTTGAAAAACTCGTCACTTTTGTATGTTAATCTTCTAGATAGACTTTTAGGTATATTCTTTAATATAACTTGGACATATTTGGATGTGTCAGCTCCGGTTTTGCCGTGTATCTTTATTTTGATAAGTTCGCTCAGATACGAATCGCCTTTGCCGGTGTCGCTCAAATACTGGAAATGTAAAAATATATAATAAAAAATTGTGTTTTTCAAATGTATAGTATTGATCTAGCGAAAATAGAATAAGTAAATTCTTAACAATACAGCTAATAGTTATGATACTTGAATTGAATATATTTTTTATTATCCTTATTAATATTATAAATGCGAGAGTAAATCTACCGCTTTACTATCCGATGGTCGTGGGTTCGATTCCTCGCACGGTACAAACATTTGTATTCATGAGTATGATTGTTTGTATCGGTCTGGGTGTTTTCTATGTATAATATGTTTTTATTTAAAAAAAAAATGCATCTATGTATTTGTATCAGTTGTCTAGTACCTATAACACAAGCTTTAGCTAGCTTAACTTGGGTCTAGATGGCGCTGTGTGAATTGTCCTGAGATTATTATTATTATTAAATCTGTGTGTCTGTCTGTCTTGCTTTCACACCAAAATTACTGAACCAATTAAAATAAAATTTTATGTACGCTGTAGACGCTGAGGACATAGGCTACTTTTTAATGCGAATAAAGGGTTGTAAGGGGTTGAAAGTGGAGATGAAACGTTCTATGGAAGTATCATCATTTTCAAAGCTAAAATTTACTTTTTAAGCTTTTAACTATCAATATGATATTCAAAGTTTGTACGAATTGTATTCTTAAGGGGGTAAAATATAATAGGGGATGAAATGAAAATTCCTCATTCATCCTGTCTATTCCTTGCGAACGAAGTCACGGGCACAGCTAGTTTCATATAAATTAATATACCGTATAGGACAGAATCTGCCAAACTGAAGAGGAAACGCCGCTTCACATCCTATGTGGTTGTAGCCCACTCATGCATAAACGAAATATCTCCTTTGGAAAGTTTACACTCTTTCCCGAGGAGATAAAAACCATCGCTCCTAAGAATATCCTTCAATTCTTGTCCCTGACGGGCTAGGACGGGGTAGTTCGTAGCGAACTTTAAAAAAGGGTGAGCACAATAGATCTATGTAGGTCGCAGTGCTACAGGTGCTACAAACATCTGACAATAGCCTAAACAACCCAATAAAAAAAATAGGACAGGATAGGGAATTGTCAGTAATGTGGACTGACAACTCTATTCCTAGCAAGGTATCATGACAAGGTTGTCTTTCACACCGGTACCCCTGAAAATCATTGTGACAAATATGTAATAAATTGGCATGACCTGACCTCATACTCTACTGGCACCATGCCGCCACATAAATTTAAATTAAACATATATAAACCTATAAACACTTTGGAACTGGGGGGAATTGGATTGTTAGCAATGGGAACTAGTAACTCTCATTGCTAACAATGTACCATGTTAGGTAAACCTCCACGTGGTTCCCCCTGGAAACCATCGTGATGAATTCATGGTGAATTTGTCACGATGGGCTAACTGACCTGACCTCATGTTTATCTTGTCATCCACCACTGGTGCCCCGTCAGCGTAATCCGTTAGCGCAGGCGGGTGCACCATTCCATTATCAAACACAAAAAAAAAATTTGGAACTTCTTTCATTACCTATACATTTTTAATAAATTATGAGTGTTATATAATAAATAAAAATTACATATATTATGCGTGACTATAATATCACTGTCATATTTTTTTTTATAATATTCTCAATTAGTAGTTTTATTTAAGTTAATGGAATGAAACATAAGGAAAAATAATTTTATATTGCTAACAATAATGGTGCATTACCTCCCAGTGAGTGAAGGTCATTGGTTCACCAAACCATTGAGTGAGTGAGTAGCTGAGCTTCTCGTTGGTGAGCGCTGGAGAAATATGTATCAAGGTAGAAAAGTCTTCTTCAGCCATTACTAGAAGAATATAATATTTATTTATAATACCGGGTTCAAGATTCTGTATGGTTCTTTTTGTATACAAACGATATAATTTGGATGAGATCGGAAACAAAATTATTTAATACTCATAATTATTACATATCAAACAACCCATTACATACATATCATACATATGTCTATTCCAATTGGTTTGAATTGGAATATACATACAAAATTTTAATTGAAGCTTACCAAAATACATTAGTGAAAACTAAACTACAAATTGGTTACTTATTTGTGAGTTTAGTGAGCACAAACACAAAGACAAAAATTCCAATAATTATTAGTTTGGGTTCTATTATGTAAAGTGATATGTTAAATTTGTATTACACATAAATATCTTTAAAAATTTAACTAATTTGTGAAATATGTAGGTGTGTTACAATACAGAGTATAGAGGAGTGATATCTTAGTTCTCCAGAATACATAATTCTGGCTGGTATTATATTAGTTTAAGTTTTATTTTAACATGTTAAACGCCATGTCAGATCATGTGTGTCTGATGCTAAGAAGTTCTACATGAGCCATTTCGGACATATACATCTGACATACACAATTTGGTAGATGCTGTGTTAAAAACAACAGGTTGATACTTGTATCTTCTTTGAATGTGTCAGACATATAAAACTGACACAGCTTGTTGAGAAAAAGTTTTAATATAGGCCCATGTCAGTCATATATATGTGACATAAAAAATAGTGTTGTTCCAGGATTGGGGAAAAAAAAATTGTGATACATTAAGTTTCCTTGATACATTTTTAACTAAATTAACTATGAAAGTTACCATGACCCATGTGAAAATTTTTCTGACATTGTGGCGATTAATGTGTTAATTTATTTATGTTATATAGTATAGGTATTGTGGGATTGTCATAGTCACATTTTTGTACAAAAATGCAAAAAAAAATATGGAATATAAAACAGAATACATGATAACATACCCGCGTTATTAGATATAATCATTACATAGATGATCTTATGTCCATGATGCTTACCATTTACCATCTACGGAGCAACCAGCTTGTGTACCATTACAGTCACATAAAAAAATACTACTACAATATTGATCTGATAGAACTTTACTTAACTTTAATTAATTTACTCATTCATTTAAAACTCTTTTAGTTATATTAGTAATTTATAGGTTGACTTAACCAATACATATCTTACTCACTAAAATAAATTTAAAATTATTGGCTGGAAATTTACCTAGACAATTTTTTTTAATTCTTATATTTTATGTAACAAAAACTTTTTATAATTTGAAATAATAATCATAACAATCTTACTGAAACCCGGCGCAGATTCCAAATTTAAAATTAATCGAAGTTCTGAAGGTTTGTTGCATATATTTCTGTGCCTATAACTCCGAATATAGTTTCACTTTTAATATGTACTCTATGCACTTGATATGTAATTATTTTAATTCAATAATACGAAAATTAAAGTTTCGAGGTCAAATCTATTTGATTTGAGAGCGGAAACGGATAGATCCTGCAAGGGGGTGGGACGCATATTTTTAGACAAACCATTAAATTAAATAGTATTAATTTTTAAGTATTTTATAAGAATTTGTTGGTCAATATAATTTGTTACTGTTATGTGTAATGTCACATTGACGTTTTGAGATGACGTTACAGCTAATGACGCAATAGCCTGGTATTCTCAGTTTCAAATTGAAACTACAAGAACTCGCGATCTCAATGTTTAAGAAAAGTAATCTGAAACTGAAACTAAACTGCTCTGAATAAATTTGTTACTGTATGAGTGTATTATACTTTTAATTGTTACTAATTTCACAATTCAAATTCTAAAATAAGTAGGTAATGAAATTCTATAATGTTATGTCTACAGAATACGATTATTAAATAAGTAATTATGTCTTTTATATTATAAAAAAATTTAGATATTAATCAGAAACAATATATTATTAATTATTTCCTTTTCTATAGTTTTCAATACATTTTGACTCATTATTTCTTTTAGCATAAAATATTAACTATGTTTGGCATTGGCAGCCTACTTGTTTTTATAGAATAAGAAATATGTATGTATGTATGTCAAAATTTGTTACAATAAAAATATAAGTTGAAAACTGTTAATTTTGTATCATTATCAATTTATCTCGCCGTCAATATATATATAATTAAACAATCACACACTAATTTTCAACAATGTATTCAATATATTTGTTGTAGATAAAAAAATAACGGCAATTTTAATAAGGTGGTGTTGCAAAAACTTTGGTTGCAGTTTCGACTTAAATATTGGGATGGTATTCTTGTTTATTAAAAGCAATGGACTTGTAACAACAACGAGAGATAAGGAATTGGCGGCAATTTTTAAAAATCTACTGCTAATTATTCATTAAGAACTTAAGCAATATTAAGCTTTTAATAGTGTTCTGAAACTAATGGTGTGAACGTTATTTGTACACAGTGGGGGTTTGCTACGAATGGCTCCAATATACATAGCTGTACATTGCTATATTAACATCTTGCGAATTCTCCAGGATGGTTATACTCGCATACTCACTCCTTCATTGCACCAGTGAAGGAGATATTCTGTTTATACCATTACGGAAGTCATAAAACTAGAATCTTTAAAATAGGAATCTATAATATATAAAGCTGCATCTATAATAAAGATACATAAACTCAATTCACTAACAATAACTACAGTTTCTAAAAATAAATAAACGATTAAATTATGTACTAAAAGAACTATTCCGCGTATTGCGGTCTCTCTGTAGAAACTGAACAAATTTATTCGACATTTGTTAGAAAAGGTTAAGTGGTCTTATTTACTTTATCGACAAAGAGTAAAAGTTTCAAGTATATAAAGTTTCAGACAGTTCAGAGAACTAATTTTAAGATCGTGGCACTCAAGTATGAGAACAGACTAGACTAACTATACCCCATACTACTGAGTTCTGAATTCAAATCTATTTTTTTTTGTAACTGAAATGGAGAACAATATGGCGGCATTCCTGATGGTAAATGGCAACTATCGCCTATTTTTTTTAAGGATGATAATGGAAGGTGCACCCGCCTGCGCTAACGGTTTACGCTGGCCGGGCACCAGTGGACCATAGATAAGCATGAGGTCAGGTCAGTTAGCCCATCGTCACACGCGGCCTCCCCAAGGAAACCATCATGATACATTCCTGGTGAATTTGTCACGATGGGCTAACTGACCTGACCACATCTTATCACCCACCACTGGTGCCCCAAGCAGGCGGGCGCATTCCATTATCACCCATTGAAAATAAATAAAAAAAAAATCGTATCCTGTAATTTCACTGCCTTATCGTACATTTCAACGCATCTTAGAAAGTAAGACAGAACCAGACGACTTTGAGCTAAGTCACTTTATACGAAGTGTAGATTCGTAGAACAATTTAATTTTGAATAACTTCCAGTATATTCAAACACAAACAAAAGCATCATCCAGATGAAAGCGGGGACGTGTAAATAAATGTAGGGAAAAAATCAACAATCTGCTTTCAGCTAACGCACAAGGGCTGACTACAAAGTACAAAGGACTGCTTGGTAACTCCTCACGGGGCTTCCGTAGCCACAATCAGTCTTTTGTATCAAGAGACAATAATCTACAGCACCTAATAAACAATAAATTTACCATAAACACATCTTATTATAATAACGTTAGAGTTCAAAATGGCAACGAATTGTAGTTTCTAATGTGCACGGTTTATCTTTGCTGGCACTACATAGACGTCATATTGCCCGAAGGCGCGAATCAAGGTTTTCTCGCGTCGTTTCGCGCCAAAACAAAGGTTTTTCAACTTCTGCCGCCATCTTGTGTGAACTTTTGTAGTGCAAAGGACTTTTTGAAGTTTTTCTGGGCTTAGGGGGGTTATTTCACTTGTCCTTTTGTGCTTATGTGGTGAATTTGTACTTATTTAAATATTTATGTTGTATTATGTGCGGATAAGGATTGGAATTAAGTTACTTTTACTAAAGAAATATCTACTTAGATATTATTGTAGGTACTTATTGAAACTTATATACCTGTATACCACTCAAATTTTATATTACAATTTTAAAAGACAAAAAAGTGTGTATTGTGTTATCTACCTTATGATATGATATAAATAAATAAAATAAAAATAACGATGATATGTATATTCTTACTTCGTCGCCATAAAGTCAACGACAACTCGACGATAAAGTCTATCCTTAGATAGACATTATCATCTTTTTGTATAAACTATCAAAAAAGACCATAAATATTTTTTTTTTCCCATATTCGTCCATCTCCTTTCAATGATGGAACAGGCTGAAGAATGCAAAGATCCTTAGACCGTACAGCCTAGTCTACGTTTAAAAAGACCATAAAGAGTTTTTTGATTCTTTATTTCAGTTTTATCACAGATACGATAATATTGCATGGTTTTATTTAAGTACCTACTTACCTACGTACCTATAATTTATGTATTTAACGTAACGTAACGTATAACGTACGTATTTATAATGGAGATTTCTTATTTAGTGATGTACTGCGTAATATAAAAGTCTCTTTTTAAAACACAAGAACATTTAATTTTAGATGTTTATGCAAATTAGCTGTAGGTACATGACATTATAGTAATAGAAAAAGTGACCGATGGTGGGTGGTGTTGCCACCTTCACGCTTTTAATTTGACTCAGCACTCATTAAAGTGCTAACACTAGGTACTTATTTATTACACCACTTTAAAAGTCTTATTTGAAATGCCTAAACCGTAGTATATATATTTTACTGAGTAGATACTGAATGGTCTGTCTGGTAGAAGAAAGAAGTGTAATACTACCCGAATAATTTCATATTTTCGAACTTATTTATCACATCTGAATGTTACTTATTAAATTTGATTGAATTCATTTCGATTCGATACACCGCTTCACTCGTTTCGCGCCAAAAATTAGCCGGCTGATTTCCTCGCCAGCAACGTAGGCAACGATTTATAGGTCAATAGGCAACCGATATAATGCTGTTGACATTCCCGTACGTACGTTTCATTCGTTCATTTATAATTCAGTTGTTCACTCACGAACTGAGACTCGGCATCCCAGTTTAAACCCCATTGGGGATACGTCTATAATGCTACTAAATTGTAAATGTCCATTTCGACTTTGAGTGAAGTTCGAATTTCGGCTATTCTAAATTATTCATGTTAAATTGGTTGCGTAGAACACCGCGTGCCCGTGTGTGGTGCGGTGGTTTTTGAATATTTCAGTGTTACGAAGCGATGAAAGTGCCGTTTTGGTATAATTTAATTGGATTGCGATGTGATTTTGTGGCATACACTTCGCTTTACATTTTCATCTCACTTCAAAAAGATTAGTAAACGATATATCTATCTATTTAAAAAAGAAGTAAATTATTATTAATACCAAAGTTATATTATCAGAAATGATACGTCGATGCAGCAGTACAAGATTTTTATTCGAAGAATTAATGACGAGCGTGCATGGCATTGCCATGCCAACAACTATTGAGTTGTTCATGCACGGGATTTTCACTTAATGTTAGACATAGACAACTATTCAAATATACATTATAAATAGACTGGTTAAAAAAAAGAATTTGTATACTGAACTGGACGGTAGGGAAAAATATGAATACAAAAAATTACATTCATAAGCGGCTACAATGTCCTACATGAATAAATTAATTTTTTTTTTGTTTTATTTATCCGTAATGGAAAGGCAAAGAGTCTAAGCCCATACAGCCGTTGTCTTTGGTATAATTTCTGTATTTTAATTTCTTTTTTCCTTCTTCAGATATCTTTTACTGTGGAGACAATATATTTGATTTGACGGTTGTCACTTACCTTCAGGCGGACAGTCAGTTTACCATTCCATTTACCGACATAAACTTCATAACTACATATTATTCATTGTTCATTTCTATTGTGTACTAGCTGTGCCCGCGGTTTCGCCAGCGCGTCTATAGCCTATGTGTTACACTGATTGTGATGGATCGGATAAATCGATGATGTTGTGGGTAAACATATACTAGGTTCCGGGACAGCGGGTACATAGGTTGAGTGTATTAATAGAATGATACCTTCCAATCGATATAATAATTATATATATTCTCATATATAAAGAAATAAAAATATTTTAGTAAATCGAGAAAGAAAATATAATGTAACTTTTTACAATAATATTAGGAATGGACTACCAAAAATTTATAAACATATTATTTTTAAATATAAAAAGTTAAACAAAAGAGGTTTCACAACACTGATGTCTAGCTGACCCTTGCAACTTCTTCTGTATCACACTTATTATACACACATTATATATAGTCCAATTTACATAATATCTTATTAAATTATAGCCTATGTGTTATTCTGACGTATAACGTGACGTTACTGTAAAGTCACATCAAAATCCGTTCAGTAGTTTTTGTGTGAAAGAGTAACAAACATGCATCCATACTAACAAACTTTAGCATCTGTAAGTATCAGTATGTAATATTATATTATCTGTGGTATTAGTAAGATT